GAGTGTTAGTAATCTTCTTAGTATTAGAGATTGACCAAGTTTCTTAACTTTTTGTAGTTATAATGGAGTTTTCAACTTTGAAACCGAACATTGCCTTAATCTTATATAGCACTTGCATAATCACTAATCACTTGTAGTTTTCTTGTTTTCCAAGTTAGTGTGACTCTTTGATTTTGCTTTGTTCATTAGTTATTGTTGTTAGGCTGAGATTTATGTGTTTTTTTAGGTTTGTAATAGTTTTGTTTCTATTTTTTATTTGTTTCATGTAATAATTTTTCAAACTTTAATATTTTGATAGATTATTTAAATTAATGTGGTGTTTTTTTAAATAGGGAATGTTATTGCCAAGACTTGAAAATAAATGGAATCCATTTACGTAGATAGATTTTTTTTTATTTGAATTAGTGGGTTTTAACATTGCCTTGGTAAGAAATCCAAGATTATTATTGTTGTTGTTGTTGTTGTTATGATTATTGAATATTGGAGAGTTCTTTTTAATTACTATTATTTGTTTAGATTTATGACAGAGAGGCTAACAATGAGAGAGAGAGAGAGAGAATCTAAAGAAGAGAAGAGAGTATGTTGGATTTGAAGGGACGAAGGGAGAGCTAAAAATAGAAATTGAACGGACGGGGATGCCGCTACGGGTGTAATTTCCAGTATGTGAGGAGGACGGACGGCATCCCACCAACCCTCGTCACTCGATATTATGACCGCTAGAAATATTCCATTTCAAAAATTTTGAATACTACCACTTCTACTACTCCGTATTAATTAATTAAGTAATTACTCATTTTGAGCTTCGACTTTTGTAGTTCAACTAGGAAACTACCAAGTGTCGTATGTGGTACTCCTATACTATAAGTGAGCTTTTCCCGTTGATGACTTCAAACCGGGGCCCACTAGGAGCCTCCGTCTCGTCGCATACAGTTGGCACGATTACGGGATTTTTTCGGATAAATTATTCATGGGAGATAGACAATTTTAAAATCTCACTCGGAGCCTCCTCTCGTTGTTTGGACTTTAATCTTATTATTATTATTTTTAGATTTATTTAACAATATATATATAAACTTGTAGCTAAAATTGTATTCCTATTTTCGTTTATTTCGATTAAGAATCAATTAGTTATGGTCCAATTTTAAGGCCATAGCGCATATGGAGGGAAAAAAACAGTTATTATAAGTATTATTCTATGGATTTTATGTTGATAAAATCCATAGCGCATATATATTTATGTTGATAATTTTAAAGCCATAGCGCATATATATTTAAATAAATTTTATGTTGATAATTAATCTAAATTGACTATTGAATTAATTAATTAATAAACGAGTTATCGATTATTCTATAGAGATGATTCTTTATCTATCTTATCATTTCGGATATATGTTACGTGCTAGATTTTTATTTTATTATCATTTGTGTTATTTTCATGAAAAAAATATTCATACAAATTTATTATAAGTATTTAAATATAGAAATATAATCACATGGGTATTATAATAAATATACAATAATACATTTTCTTTCCTTCCTCTTTTTACAATTATCCAAACAAGGTAAATATATTTTCTTTCCTTTCCTTTCCACTCTTATCCAAACAACAAGTGAAAAATGATTTTCTTTCTTCCCTTTTTTCTTTTCTCTCACTTTCTTTCCTCTCTTTTCTTTCCTCCCAAGAGGAATTATCCAAACAAGGGTAAAAGAAAACCATGAAACACCGTAGCGAAAGCACTTGTTCATTCTTTTTTTGTTTTTCTTTTTTTCACTTCTTCGCAACAACCCACAGCTCCCTTTTGATTTTAATAAACTTCACTTTCGTTTTAGTCCTTGTTTTATAACTTTTTTTCTTTTTGGTCATTAAAATTTACTATATTTAAATTTCATCAGTCACTATTCATTTTTTTCCTCTCTCTTCCCTCAAAGCTCCCTTTTACTTTTAGTAAACTTAACTTTCGCATTAGTCCTCGTTTTATAACTTTTTTTTCTTTTAATGGTTAAAATTTTATTATATTTGATTTTTATCCTTATAATAAATTATTATTTTGTAATTTTTAATTTATTTCATTTTAGCCCCTAAAATTTTAAAATAAAAATTTTAATTCCCCGATTGATGCACTACACATGCTTTTTTTTTCCTTTGGTTTTTTTTTTGGTACTTTTTTCCATCAATTTATGTTCTTTTTTTTTATTTGATTGGAAGTTAAAATTTTAAAAATCAATTTTTTCTTTGCTTTTTTCATTAATTTATGTTTTTTTTAATTGGGTATTAAAATTTTGAACAATCAATCATAACTTTTTTCTACACAAATTGATGATTATATAATATATTTTTTTATATTTTAAAATTAACATATACTTCAGACTTATATTACGGTTATTATTTAAACTTCATTATTTGAATTTATCATTTTTTTTAATCAAAATTATCATTCAATTAATATTTTTTATATGAAATTTTATTTATTGATATTATATAATTTTTTTTTCTATATTTGAATTATAGAATAAAATTTTAAAACATGATTTTTTTTCATTCTTTTTTTTTTTTCACTTCTTCCGCCACAGCCCACAATTCTCTTTTGATTTTAATAAACTTCACTTTTGTTTTAATCCCTGTTTTATAACTTTCTTTCTTTTTGATCATTAAAATTTACTATATTTGAATTTCATTAGTCACTATTCATTTTTTTTTTACCTCTCTCTTCCCCCAAAGCTCCCTTTTATTTTTAGTAAACTTGACTTTCGCATTAGTCCTTGTTTTATAACTTTTTTTTCTTTCGGTGGTTAAAATTTTATTATATTTTATTTTTATTCATATAATAAATATTTTTTTAATTTTTAATTTATTTCATTTTAGCCCCTAAAAATTTAAAATAAAAATTTTAATTCCCCGATTGATGCACTACACATGCCTTTTTTTCCTTCTATTTTTTTTTTGTACTTTTTTCTATCAATTTATGTTCTTTTTTTTATTTGATTGGATGTTAAAATTTTAAAAATCAAAATTTTCTTTTCTTTGTTCATCAATTTATGTTCTTTTTTAATTGGGTGTTAAAATTTTGAACAATCAATCATAACTTTTTTCTACACAAATTGATTATTATATAATATATCTTTCTATATTTTGAAATTAATATATACTTCAGCTTATATGATCGTTATTATTTAAATTTCATTATTTGAATTTATCATTTTTTTTATTAAAATTCTCATTCAATTAATATTTTTTATGTGAAATTTTATTTACTGATATTATATAATTTATCTTTCTCTATTTTTGAATTATAGAATAAAATTTTAAAACATGATTTTTTTTTAAAATAAATTGGTATAATATATATATCATGAATTCTTATAATTTTTACATGATAGTTGCATATATATAAATAAATAATTATTTTATTCTAAAAGATTAAAAGTGTATTTCAAATAATTTATCTCAGTTCACTAGATATGGTCAAGACATATAAAAAAATTATTGAATCGTTCATTTTATTAAAAATTAACTATATATCTTCCAACATAATACAAATTATTTACTATAAATAATTTTTTAACATTATAAAACCAATTTATTCAAAATAAGATAATTAAAATAATTTTTTAAAGTAATCAACCAATTATTCAAATACTGTTTTTTATGCTAATTTTATTGATTGTTTTGTCAATAAATATATATAGATCAAATGCATATACTTGAAAAAAATTAATCTTCTCACCAACATTAAATAAGAATAAAATTTTATTTTTTCATTAGTTAATTCTTATGCAAGTCTATACATTAATTGTAAATTTATTTTTTAAATTCATTCTTATAAAAAATATAATTTTAAAGTATTTGCTTTTGAATTCTTAATTAATTTTTCAGGTTTAAAATACAGTATTTGCTTTTGAATTCTTAATTAAGAATTCCTAAATAATGAAAAATAAATCATGCTTTTTAAGCATAAATTTTATGAAAAACACACAAAAAATAGTAATAATTAAATAAAAAATTATTACATTTTGAAATGATTTTATTCTATTTACTAGTAGCATTGCGCAGATAATTTTAAAAATTATTTTTTCTCATCATCATTAAATGAGAATTCTTTTCATTTGTTAATTTTTGTCAAAATCTGTTCATTAATTATAATTATTTTTTAGAATACAATATTGTAACAAATATATTTTTAAAGTTTTTTCAATTATTGATTAATATTTTAGTTGAAAATATTATAATTTTTAATTTTAAAATCAATCCATAGAGAAGAATGATTAATTTTTTTTAGTAAAGAATTTATAAAAACATTAGAAAAAATTAATTAAATTAAATATTATAATTAAAAAAATAAAATTTTAAAATAATTTTATTTTATTTGATCCGAGCTACGCCACGCTCGGGCAACCGGCTAGTAAATTCTAAACAGAGTCTGCTTCTTTTAGATTTCAAGTTCCAACATCTTCTGCCGCTTACGATAATGAATCGTCCCTTAGTACTTTTGTCAGCCCAAAAATTTAGAAAACCAAAAAATAAGTCTCCACCAAAACAGATGTTATCCAAGTTTGCCACATCCAAAAGGACCAAAACGCCAAAAATAACAAGCCCACCTCTATTTCATATGAGCTGACACGAGCATAGATGACCAGTGGCAAAAAAAAAAATAAATTGAAAACTCCACAAAAAGTCTATCCATCCATACGTGAAATCGACTCAAAGACTCAAGATTGACGCCATTGGGCTGATTTTGCTGGGTCCATGTCAGCTGTGATAAACCCTAAACCGTAATTTTCTCTCCAAACTCTACTCTCTCTCAATTCTCATCAGTCTGCTACAATCTCTTCAAAATTTAGCAGAGAAAACGAAGGAAAAATAACGAAAGTGCTAACAAAATCCTATGTGTTTCTGATTCGAATGATTTTGAGTTATAAGTATCTAATACATAGTTTGTTCTTCATCTGCTGTTGGTTGTGTAGGGTTCTGTTTTTCTTTATTTATTCGGTATAGGCACGCAATGGTGTTTTGCAGCTCTTGTCGAAAAGATGTTCGTACAAATTATGACGAAAGTGGCATCTTGTAAGAACCGTATTTGTCATTACATTCTAATTTTTGTTGTTTCATTCACGATTGTTTATTCTGCTAGACGACATAAAATTCAACTTTTTTTTTTTTGGTTTATTAATTTTGAGTTTTGTGTTATATGTATTTTTGGCGTTGTGCAGGTCATGTAGTATCTGTGGGAAAGTTCTGCAGTTCACTAATTATTCAACTGAAACCACTTTTGTAAAAGATAAGTCGGGGCAGGTGCTTTCTCTTTTCTTTTTATGCACTATTTAATTGTCTTCTCATTGTTAATGGAGTGGTTAATTACTGCATCTGATGTTCTTCTCTTTTTTAGAGCCGTGCGGGAGGAACATTAATTTGGTCTGTTGAAAGAGAAAACGCTTCACGGGAGAGGTTGTATGAAAGAGGTATGCTTTGTTTGTTGTCCTTCTTTCACTCTTTGTTTTCATGACAATACACTAAAGTTGTAGTAGATTTTTTTCCTGTTATATGTTTGTGGTGGTTGTGCCTGTTTAAATTTTTCCAAGTAAATAGGAAACTGTTGAAGAAAGTGTTTACTAGTTAAACAACGAAAATTGTTTTCTTGAATAAAGCTGTTTTTTTTTTTAATCTAATTTTGAAAGGTCCTTAACTTGAGTTCTTTTTAGGTTAATAAAAGTGGTAATGAAGATATCTTTAAGAGATCTAGAGTTCTATCTTAAACTGAGAGAAAAAGAAAAGAAATCGCAACCAATGGAGCTACTTTTAAGTTTTTAGATATGAACAATAATCCTTGTTTACTGCAATAGAAGCCTCTGTAGAGTAAGAAGTCTCAGCGAGGAGTGATTCTAACTCTTAAAATAATTAATCACAACAATGAAAAAGACCTCAGTAAACCAACTAATAAGAGAGACATGACAGGATAAACCTTGATTGGGGGGAAAAAAACACCAACTAAGTAGTCCCCTAATTGTTTTATTACTTAGGCTTTCCTTCTTTACCAGGTAAGGTGCCACCTATCACTGTTCATGACCAGAATAGTTGTTTAATGTCTAAGAATTTATGCACTTTCATTCCATTCTGAACATTGACAGTGGAATCACATGGATATCATGAACTTTTGCATAATGTTTTTATTGGTTAATTTTCTTTTGTCCTGCAGCATATGATGACTTGCTAAACATAAAAAGTGGCTTAGGCATGGGTGAAAATCTTGCCATAGTTGACCAAGCTATGGTGTATTACAGAGTATGTTTCCTTGCACCTAAGCTTCAATACCACATGCATGTTTTGATCAATTGATTGAATTATCTTGATCTGTTATATGAAGATAGCAGTTGAAAGGAATTTCACTAAGGGGCGTAGGACAGATCAAGTACAGGCTGCTTGTCTTTACATTGCATGTCGGTAAGGAATTCATCTCTCTGACTCATTTGTGCCTTTTCAGTATCCATCTTTCTGAGGAAACATGTTATGCCTATGTTTGTAATCATTGAAGAACAAGTGAGGTTTATTAACCTTCCAAAAACACCCTTGTTTATTCTCTTAACCACACTTATCAGGGCAGTTTTTAACTCTTCATAAACATTTTAATTTGAAGGACCTGGACAAACATTTTTCTATATTCCATGATAGAACGTGGACAATTAAATATAGGATTGGAGGAGTACTTTTTATTTCATTTGTTTTGTTATTTCCATTACTGTTTTTGTGGTTAAGATTCCCTTTCTTCTCTTCTTTTTCTTAATATATTTTGCTTATTGCATGTTTTAGTTGAACAAGAAAACTAAACTCAACTAGGGTTTAATTAGATGGTGTTCCCTAAGGAAAAATAGAAGAAAGTAGGAAATGAGTTGATTGTCATTTGGTATTATCATATGAAATTTACTGTTGTTGTTAGAGCTGCCTTGTTTATTTTTTTTTGCTTTGTGCTTGTTTTCAAACAGAAAGACACTTGAGATAAAAAAATGAACTAAACCTTCACTGAATTGGTTCTAACAATATGGTGATTTTTTATATTTGATTTTCTTCGTGGGAGAAGGGGGTGGGGGTGTTCTTTGTTACCTCAAGGCCAGTGGAAGCTTCATACAAGATTGCGTGTCATGATTTTTTGCTAGAATTTTGGGAAATCAATCAACTTGCAATCAATATTCATGTTCACTTTTTCCTTTGGAACCAAAAATCAGATTCTAATATCCAATTACAATACATCAAACTAGACCCTATGGCTTCCTTCCTTTGCATGACAATAATTTCTTACATTTTTGCACCTCTATTTCATCTAGACTAAAACCAAACCAACTTCTTTCACCTTTCTATTTCTAGTTTTGTCATGCATTTATGTTTGTTCATTAATATGAAACCTTGGGACTACATTCTTCTCCATGATTGTGACTTATGGTCAACTTCAGTTCTGGTTGCATTTATCGACACTGTGTTACTAGCAAATAGCAAACACATGGGTTGCCACCCTCTGTATGTTGGTTAATTTATCCAAGGCCAAAGAAAAAGTAGAGGATAGGCAAATTTTTGTGTCAGCCAACTTTAATGAGGAATCTATCGCTATCATCATCAGGTATCTTCTCACTGTTAGATGCTCTTTATACATATCTTTTATCATGCTCATGCGGTGAATGAAAACTCCAATCTCCAACGTTCACTAAGGGATTTATCTACATATTTCATTGTGCAGCTTCTCAAAATAAAGTCTAGAACAGGGTCTCTTCTTTCCTCTCTTCTTTTTATTTCTCGATTAACTACATTGGGAGAAAGATAACTTCCATAGTTGGTCTTCCTTACATAAACCACATTGGTTTTCAAGTATCATTGTCGCACCACTTAAATATGTGGTCAAGTTCTCTCTTCTAGATCTTCATAATGTGACCCATAAGTCTACAACCATTTGGCTAGCAGATATAATGTTTTTTCTCCAATGATGTGTTTAATTAAAAAAAAAAAAGATACCTTGGAAATGATAGTCAAAGGAGGTGCGATTCATTTGCAATAAAGGTATACTGTTAGACCATTTTCCGAATTTGACTTACCAATTATTGGGTATTTGACAACTCTGTAGAATCTAGCATGAGAAAGTTGTTTATTTTTTTCTCTTAAGTTGATTCATGAATGTGTTTAATGTACAATCATACTTGGATTTAGCAACATTGACATTTTCTGATATGACTTTTGGACTTTTTTTTTCAGGGAAAACAGAAAACCATATCTTCTTATTGATTTTTCTAATTACTTGCAGATAAATATGTGAGGAGCCTTGTAATTTCACAGCCAAATTTAGCTTGTTGTCATTCCTATTATCCCTTGCTTATGTGTGAATAACATAATTTTCTTTTGAAATTGTTTACAGTTATGTACTAGGTGCTGTATTTTTGCAGCTCTGCAAAGTTTTAAATCTTACCGAGCATGCCATTTGTCAGAAACTTCTTGATCCTTCCATTTTCATACATAAATATACAGCTAGTAAGTTTCTATAATCACTTGGATGCTGATAAGTTAATTTATTTTAGCAATAAAATTTAGAGGGCATTGGATGTGTTCTCTTGCCAATTAATGGAAATTTTTGTAATGCAAGGTTTGGAGGTCTATCAAGCAATACAAACACTCCATCCCCCTCCATACTAAAACCTTCTATTTATTTAAGTAACATGTTATCTTTATTTGATATGAGTGTACAACGATTCCTCATCTAACTTTCTCTTCTCCATCTTCCCCACAAAAGAACTCCATCTTATCTATCGTGTAAACTTTTCCTTTTCCATTTCTATCTCGAGCTTAAGGGGTACATTCAGATCTTCTGTTGGTATTCCTAGTGTTCTTTGGTTTCTCTTTTCTGAATCCAAAGAGGAAGAGTATCAATAATGGTTCGATCAGATTCTTGAAAACTGTATTCTTTAGAAGCTTAGAGAACATCAGCAACACCCCCCACAACCCACCACACACACACGCAACCCTCTATTTCTTTTATATGGGAGTCTTTAAATTCTTCCATGTGGAAACTAATTATATGGGAATCTTTAAATTCTTCCATTTGGAAACTAATATCTATTATAGATATTTTTTTTCAAGTAGTGGATTGTAATAACCATTGTTTGTATTTTTAGGTTTATCAGGGGGAAAAACAAGGAAATTTCTGATGATGCACTGACCATTATAGCAAGCATGAATCACCATTGGATACAGGTGTGAAATTTTTTTTCTGATATTATGGGAAAGATGAACATGGTTTCAGTTGTTTTATTGGATACTTTTTTAGCTATCCAGAGTCTCATAATGTTTTCTGTCTGATTTATATTACTCTCAGACAGGGAGAAGGCCCAGTGCATTATGGGGTGCAGCATTATATATATCTGCACTTTCACATGGTCTCAACTGTTCCAAATCTGACATCGTAAGGCACGCTTGAAATATTTATTGATGTGCAGTGATTAAGTTAATTATTGACAAAATATTAAATGGATTCAAAAGTCATCTGAATTGTATTAAAGTTATTTGATTGATGTAGAACTTGGCTGTCTTGCTACTTGAGTGCTGCTCCCAATTAGCAATTGTTTAGTGGGGTATGTTTTTCTCATACGGGCAGCTGTAGCTCCTAACCAAAGAGATTAAAGAAAAGAAAAGAATAGGAGAAGTTGTTAGTTGCAGAGGTTAGTGAATTCAAATAATGACTTGTTAGCTGTGATCTTGATTAGAGTGGACTACTTGTATCAGACTATAAGCATATGTTAAGGCTTAGCAATGATACTTTGCTGTCTTGATGGCATCTACAAACACTGAGTTATGCTGACTCCTTACTGTGGCATAACCTAGTCACTATTAAACATAGGGTTCATCTGATATTGGTGGATTGAATTCATTAGCACATTGCTGGTAAATCCATATCCTTGGTATCGCAAAGAAAGATGTAAATTGCGTTGAAAGTCACAAGACTTGGAATACTTGTTTGATTACTTCACTGAATAATTTTTTAACTCATTCATAGATTGAAGCACCAAGTCAATATTTGGCTGTATGAGAACCAATATGCTCATGTTTGAAACTGGTGAGAGAAATTGACTGAAGAGCATGTTGAGACAAGGGTGGAAGGTGGGGAAAAGGCTTTTCTGAGAGGTGATCATGAGGTGTGGAGGAGCTAGGCAAAAGAAAGTTTAGGTTGCTTGAGTTTGATTATCCACGAAGCTTCTATTGGGCTTGTCTCAATTGATATCTATGTTACTGGTTACTTTTATTCTTTCTAGATTCGAAATTTATGCATTATTTCTTGAACCAATAAATGACAAAGCAACATCTTATACTTGATTTACAAGTCAGCTACATTAGTTTTCATTTCATGTTTCTAGTATAATTTTGTCTCTTATTTTATGAATTTTATCAGCCTCGAGCCTACTTTTTTTTGTCAGATAGCCTACCTGAGATCTGCTAGGATTGGCATTTGATCCATGTTGTGGTTATTGATGCTTGCTTTAAATCTTATGCAGTTAAGGTTGGTGCATGTTTGTGGAAAAACACTGTCAAAAAGATTGGTTGAATTCGAGAATACAGAGTCTGGGAGCTTAACGGTATGTTTCTGGAAGTGTTTCATGACTCTTTAGGCTACAGTTGTTCAGATCGCAGAAATATAATGCATTGTGTCTTGAAATAGCACATCTATAACGTAATAATATTCTAGCTGTCTTGTGGGCGAAAAATTAATAGATGTGTTTATGTTATCATCCACCCTGAGAAGCTACGTGCAAATGCTCTTGTGTATGTGTAATAATATTCAATGTCTTGTTGGCCAGAAAAGACAAGATGTCTTTCATGATCAACATTGAGATAACAACCTGAGAAAACATATAAACCACCACGTCTCCATTCACCAGCTCCCCTCCTACATACAATTCAGTAGAACTTTTCATGCTTAGATTGATGTGGTTTGAGGTATTTCATGGTAAACAAATGTTTGCTCGTCGGAATTAACAATTTGTTTTACTCTTTGGCAGAAAAGCTGCCTCTTTTGAAAGGTGACTCATACTCCATCACTTTGAATGGGCCAACTTTCATTTTGCTCACATCTGAATGGAAAATCGTGTTTTGCTGTACCAAGTTGCATTCTTTTTATACCTTTCACTATGATTTATTTACTGATCAACAAATTAAACTTTACCATCTAGTTGGCAGGTTATTCTTATTTTGACATCTGATCTCCAAACAAGGCAAATTTTCTTTACCAATTTTTGGATAGAAAAACACAATCACTAAGAGACTAAAATAACGGGCAGAGCAGATAAGACATTCTCCTAAAAAGAGAGCTAAGGAGGTACTGGTAAAAAGCTCAAAGTGAAACATCAAAGAGAACCCAAAAGCACTATCATATATCAAAGCTACAGGAAAAAAAAAAAAAACTTCTTGTACTGAAAAGTTGGCATTATTCTCACACTAGATGTACCATATAATAGAAGACATGTCACAACTTTACTTTACCATTTTCTAATGACTTGTATTGGGATGATAAATTTGAGAGATTATTATATGTCTGTTATTCAAACTTTTTCTTTTTTTCTATTTGAGTGTTCCTACTTTATTTTGCTATTTGAGTGTGCGAACTTTTAGTTTTTTTCTAATCAAGTGTTTCTCGTAGGTTCCGTCAAATACATGTTGACGTGGCCGTTAAATTGACACATCAACATGCTGACGTGTACACCAAATGTGCATGAACTTTACGCTTAATTTCTAAACGAGTGCCTGTGCTTTTTTTTTATTATTATTATTATTTATTTAAGTGTACATGCTTTATTTTTTTCTATTTGAGTGTGTATTTTAAAAAAATTATCAATTGAGTGCTTATATTTTAAAAGTTAACTAATATCCATTTCCAAATCTTATGCAGATCATATTTGATCCAGTTAAATAAAATTATAAATAAAAATGATAAAATAGTTAATAAAAATTTATTAAAATTAAAAGAAATAAGAAAAAAGCATAAAAAATAACTTTTTAGGGACCATAATTGACCAGGTAAGAAAATAAAAAATAATAAAGCAAGAAAAGAAATGAAAAAAAAAAAATTAGGTTTTTGATTATGTTTGTATATACAGCTACCCCAAGCCCTGTCTAACTATTTACGGAATCCACTGAACAAAACTACCTAAAAGCTAAAATAACTGATGCCTATTACCATAGGCAAGTCTATTGCACATGTTGTGTTTGATAATCATAAACTTTATAAACAAAAACAAGAACAGGCAAGTCAATATGTATAAATATGCTCCTTTACTATAATCATTAACTAGATGGAGATTCGAAGCATATAAAACAGAGTAAGACAGTAAGGGTTTGAAGGTTAAAAAAAAAAAAAAAAATTAAAAAAAAAGAAAGGAGATCTTGTAGTGGCTCAGTCATGTCCATTTCTACTACCACTCTTGCCTTCAGAATTTCTTACTGCCGTTTTGTCTACTCAAATGACTCTCCCTTGCAATGACTAGCTTGTATTATTTTTTAGTAGCATCAAATCTATTTATTAATTTTGTTCAAGCTCACCAATGGGGTCTGCTGATGTGCACTTATCTCTCTCAAGGGTATCCTAACCATTCTACAAATTTCTGACAGAGATGCTAAAAGATTGATGAATGTAAATCTCAAAAAACATATATTATAGTTGAAAATCACTGTTGAGAGAAAGATTTGCAAGTTATTTTTCTGATCTGCTTGATTTAGGGCAGTTTCTAATTTTGATAAACAAAATAAGCCAACATCATTATTTGTCATCTAAGCTATTGGTATTGTTGATTTTTGTTTTCAATGTTATTTTCTCTGCAAAATTATGTTGCGTGAAAATTTAGTTCTTTTATCTTTCTGCACTATTAGATTGAGGAACTGAATGCAAAGGCGGAGGAGCTGAAAGAAAGTTCAATGCCACATAGAAATTTTGGGGAGCCATCTAGCTCAAAGGAGCTGCTTTGTCAACACAAGGGTACAAATAGACCTCCTTTTGGATTTGGACTCTGTAAAGATTGCTATGCTATAGTGAGTGTTGCTCCCTTTTATGGAAAATTACATGGTTTTCGCCCCAGCAAAAGATGTTACAATTCACATTCCTACTTCTGATGCAGGTAATAGGATTTGAAGGAGGATCAGATCCTCCAGCCTTCCAGAATGCTGAGAGGCAAAGAATGAAAAAATCATCTATTACGCACAACGCGAGTGACTCAAATTCGGTTAGCACGTCTTCCTTAAAGCTAGAGTACTCTTAAACTTATGAACCTAACCATTTTCTCTCTACATTGGCTTTGTTGCTGTTAAAATATTCATGGTTTAATCGTTTCTGATGTGCAAATTGCTCTTTGGTTAGTAGTTCAAGATGAAAATGCTTGCTAAAATTTGCTTCTTTTTTTGTTTGGCATGATAAAATGCTTGTAGTTGAAAATGTCTTCTGTCTGGGCTTCGATTTTTGGTTTTTCTGATTTAATAAGCCCTAATAGAATGCTCTAGTTTACAGATACTAAGTTGCTAACTGCTAAATTCTTCTCTAAACATTCTTTCTAGCCAAGTCAAGCATGAACTTCATCTGCTTTGTCTTCCATCTCTTGCTGCCGTCACATATTACAGAAACACCAAACAAATTCCCATTGAGTTTATCACAAATTATCCGACATGGATGTCACTAGCTCTGTTTGAAATTTCTCTTCTTTTTGGTTGTCTTCAATCCACCATTATTATCACTTGGGTTGCATTAATGGGTTGGGGAGCTTTTTCATGTAGAAACTGATCTCTTGGACCCTGCTTTTGTGGGACCGTACTAGGGAAATTGGCTTCCTTTATTAAACATATAAATTATATGTAGAGGACAACGGACTTGAGATAGCACTCACACTCTGAGGTATCTGCTTTTCCACAGTAGTCAATTAAGTTTTTCTTCTTCTCTCTTTGTTTTTTTTTTCCTCAATATCTTTTACTGTTGCACATGTGCACACACACACAGCCAAGTGTGGTGTTTTGTGTATTTTTCCATGGAATCAATGAAGATATATTGCAGTAAGGTACTTTGGTTGTATTAGATAACATTGAAAAGCATATTTGTATAAAATTGTTTTACCACTAAACGATTTTTATTGGGAAAATATTCTTATCATAAAATTAGAGAATCGTGGAATTTATTGTATGTTTCTGATGTTATGCTATGACTTTCTGATGAACTTTAAACTGATCTTTGCTTTTCAGCTTTTTAATTGTAAGTTGTTATTGGTCTTATATCCTCGTTTTCTTTAGTTTGCAGAAGAATTAAACGGCCAATGCAAGACCAGAGTTGAAGAAAGGCCAACACACAAGCCCAACGGTGATGGTGAGTTTACCCTCTTTATACTTATGAAGAGATATATGGTTTGGATTTGTAATGATCTTCTGCCAAAATACTTGAAAAATATTTACTTGAAACTAAAATGTTTCAGGAGCTGCTCCAGCCCATTTAGGCAGCGATTCTGATAAACTGCATGGTGTGGATGATATGAGTTCTAAAGCTTTTGACGAGTCAGATGGCTTTTCTGATATTGATGATGCTGAGGTGAGAACCAAAGATTCTAACATTTTGTGTTCTCTTAGGCATATCATTGCTCGTGCTTATCCCATCTCCTACTCTGTGGCACATGTGATTAACATGAAAATTAAGAGTTTGTTTGGGGTGGGTGGGTTTTTGTGTGTTTGGGAGGGGGGGGGGTGTTCTAAAAGTTTTTTAATAAGTGTTGGCTTTATTTGCTTTGCTCATGGTTGCTTCAGTGCTTTCTTGCCAGAAATTTTATTTGGAGGAACCAATTGAAGTAATAAAAATCTTAAGCTTGCTCGTTGCAATTTACACATTCCAAAATTTTCAGAATCATGCTTTTATCATGTTCCAAAAACAATTTTGAGCATGAGTTGCAACACTGAATTCTTGAAACTGAAACCTTTGTGTGTTTAAGCTTTGTGATTTGTGATTTTCAGGAATTTTTTATCTTCCTCATCATCCGAAGCCCATCTTATTGCTTGTGCTTCATGTTCTATATTAATGCAATGTATCATAAAATCTGTTGGGCTTTGAATTTCTTTTTTCTTATATGATTTGGACAATATTTGTCATTCTGGATACAAGTTATTGAAACTTCATTCAGGAAGTCTGTAATACCTTGTCTGTTCAATTTTTGGTCTGTGTGTGCGTGCATGCACCCTTGTCCTTGCATGCGTGTACTCATGTGCATGAATATTTTTAAAAGTTTTGCACTGCAGGAGTTTGACATATCTGGCACTTATTACTGTTGCACTACTCTTTTTCCAGGATTTTTTTTTTTTTTTTTTTGTGAAATAATAAGATTTTAATTCTCATGATTTTTGTTCACATACTAATTGTGCGTATTTTAACTATGCTATTCAAACAGTACCTATTAAGTCAGTTCATTCTGCTTTGCCTTGTTTTTCATGAATGAGTTTATATTTCTATTCATCTATATCCATTCAATTGCATGTTTTATTTTATTTTGTTGATTTCATTGTTTAGATATTTTATAGGTTGATAGTTACCTTCACAACGAGGAGGAAAAACGTTACAAGAAAATCATTTGGGAAGAAATGAATCGAGAATATCTTCAGGTAATTGAATCTTCTGAACTTAAATTTCTGCCAATATCTATATCACAGGTTAAGAACCACTACTGGGTCCAATCGTAACACTTGGGCTTGTAAATAACCATATCTGCAAATTCAAGTCTTTATAGCATTTATTTCTTGCAAAAATGCTGAAGGCTAGGTAAGTGGGCCCATAGCTGGTAAATTAGCATCAATATCTTTATGGATTTATTTAATTTGTAGCTTATCTTTTGAGAAGCTATTTGACAAGTTTATGCTGGTGTTGCAACTACCGCAACTGTATTTTCTAGCAAATTGTGATACGATCTTCACTCCAAAAACATATACCGCAGGATCCATATTCTCCATGACTTAAGAGTGTGCTGAATTGGTTACTTGTCTGTATGCAGCACATGGTCATCATGCAACATATAAAATTATTAAGTGGTTTTTCTTGAGCTTATTATATAGCCATTTTTTTCATTTCTTTATCTGCTTAGCTGGCACCTTGGGAAATTGCCTGGTATATATTTGATTGGCTTTGCATGATAAAATGCTTTCTATGCAGTTGTTATTCTTTTTCTAGTTCTATGGATTTAGCTTTCATTTCATTGGTGACTGCTATTTACAGGAACAGGAGGCCAAAGAAGCAGCTGCAGCGACTCTTAGGGAAGCTTGGGAGGAGAATTTCAAGAATTGCCCAGAGGACTTGCAAGCTGCAAAGAAACTTGATGCTGCTGTAAAAGCCGATTTAGCAAAATCTAAAAAGGTAAATTTCTGCTTTATTGGAAGAGTTTTGAGATACTTTATCATTAGAAGATTTCAACTATAGTTTTGTAGTATGTTCCTCTTGTCTTCTTCATATTGTAAAATATTCCTTGGATTCGTCATGCAGTACAACAATATAAACGTCCAACTGTTTTTTTTTTCCTTGCTGAAGTTTTTTGTTCAATGGTTTTGTATATAACTCTTAGAACTTAAGGCATAAGTGATGGTTAACCCTCAACTTAATTTGAGCCCTTATTTCCATTCAACTTTCCAACTGTGGAATACAAATATTCCTGAAAGTTTCAAATAGCATAGAAAGCCTGCCTATGATTTAATTCATGTATGTTTTGTCACTAAGTGACATAAATTGCTAGGGTCTATGTACTTCGATTTTCTTTAATCCAGTGCCAAAAATAAGTGCATAAAATGTCCATATAACTATATGCTTTATTTTCATTAAAAGCCAAAATTAGAGTCTGAAGACTGTAACTATTCTACATTTCTATTCAACTTTTTGTTCCTCTTGCAGACATTCATAATGCTATAGTATAGGTTGTTTAGAAAGTTGAATGTGAATTGTGATGATAGATATTGGCTTTGTCAAAAAATTGCTGAGTCTATGAGCATGGCAGCTTTAAATGTATTTCCATCTCCTTTTTTTCAAGTGTAGAATTTTAACGATGTTTTTTTTTGTTAGTTTCCTACTATGTCCTATGTTGTGTGACTAGTGTTCTGCAAATATCCTGTGAGCATGGCTGCTTTAAATGTATTTCTATCTTCTTTTTTTTCAAGTGTAGAATTTAACAATGTTTGTTTTTTTATTTTCCTACTATGTCCTATGTTGTGTGACTAGTGTTCTGCGAATATTTATTTGCAGGAAATGCAACAAAAGCGAGCTGCAGAAGCTAGGAACTCAGCTCCTGCTAAATCTGCTGCAGAAGCTGTCCATCGAATGCTAACTAAGAAGGTAATTGACATGGATAATAAAGGCTGTTGTATCTGCAAGTTACTGTTGTTTTGATTTACAACATCAAAAGCTGCTAAGTAATTAATTTCACTCTTGGGGCAACATTCAGGTGAAGTTTTAAGTTTTAATTATGGAAGATTAGTTGACTAGCCATTTGGATGACAGAATTTGAAATCAGACTGTAGTGTTGTTAACAGTTGCCCATCTCAGTTCGGTATTTGTTTATTGATAATTTAGTGTATCCAATCAAAATGTATCACATGGAGTCTACAACATGAACATCGTAAGTGGCTTCACTAAGACCATTTCCTGGATATAGTGACAAGACGAATATAGGTGGAGTGGGATATTAGCAAAAATTTGATGCAACACAGCTATTACCTTGTTATCTAGACAGCTAGCTGCTTATGTTTAACTAATTATTTAGGATATCTCTTTCATGTGGTTAGCTAGTGCAGTTTCTCTTCAGCTTGTGGTCTTCTTACTTTTTTAGGGAAGAAACCAAAGAAATGGTAGAATTTGACTGATTTGAATACTTTTTTAAGGAATTATAGAGGATTTGTACTTGTGTGGAGTTAGACTTATGGGAAAAAAACTTTGATTGGTCCATAATGATGGTTTGTTGGTTAAGGTACAATACACGTATACACACATATGTAGGCACACGAGTCATTAACATCCAGAAGTCAACAGTTTTTTAAGAGTCAAAAGGACTGAGGTATTTCAATCTTCTCCAGCAAGAAGTTTGCTGCAATTTGGGTTAATTAAATCCATTATGCATTTGGGTTTGTTTGGAAAGGTTTTGAAATTTGGAATGAGTTCTAATCCTAAACCCAAACTTTTCTTTGTTTTTGTTTCTTTTTATTGGTAGTTTCTTAAAAATGTAAAAATAAAGAAAAGAGAATGAACATAGACGTAAGTTGCAGCTGCACCTGTTGGAATGAAATCAGGGAAACTGTCTAGGATAATTTGGTGGTATTTGGTAAAAGTTTAAGAAGGCACCAGTATCAAATAGTGTGCCCTTTTTTTATTTTTTGCTTCCAACAAATGATTCAGCTGAATGGCTTTATTGGATTGACAGAGCTATAGGATATCGTGTTAACACATTTTGAAGTCTAAGACAATCAGTCTAGTTGTTTATGCATAAATTTCTAAACAGGAAAATAGAAAAGAAAATTTCAAGCCGTTTGGTTTATTGAAATCCTTTGTGATGGTTTCTTATTTTTATGAGTTGTAATTGATATAGACTCTGGAACTTTATTTAAAGAATATTAAAGATTGGTGCACGAGAGCACTCTTTGGAGAAATTTAAAATCAATCCAGCTCATATTGTGAAGAAATTTTTATTTAAATTGAAATCTTAACGAGAAACGACAGACAATGGCTTAGAAAGATTTTGTAATAGAAAAGCATCGCCAATTGAGGCTTCCTAGCTCAAAACCCTAGTAATGACCATATTATTCATCCCTAAAGAATGTAATTAGGCTAGTCATATCATGTTCAGAATTTCAGGGAAAGAACAGGAACTGAAAAATCTGGAACGGATATCTGTTCATTCTCAGAAGAAAGTTTTGTTTGCTGGTTGGCTACAGTGGCTTTCTGTTTCAATTCATGTTATTTATGTGTACACGCTGGCTTTTTTGTATAAATGTCCAAGTAATATATTTTCTCCATTTTGTATTTCGGGTTCATTGGTATTCCCTAAGCAGAATCCATTGGCATGGTCTATTTTTCGTTTACTGAGAAATGTGATTATGATTTCTTTTGCAGAGACTCAGTTCGAAAATCAACTATGATGTATTGGAGAAACTCTTTGAGGATTCTGTATGTTATTGCTGTTTATCTTTTCTTCTTTATATGTACATCATTCCTCTTCTTTTCTACTTTTAATAGATTAAATTTAGTTCCTATGGCATATCTTTGAAAGAGCATTTCCATTTTATGATTCAAAATTATCACATGGGAAAAGTTCAAATTTTCATGCCACTACAGCTCATTTCCATTTGCACTATTCAGTTGGTGCATCCTTGTATGGTCTGAACCACATTTTTAAGAATCTTTCTGCCAACTATGTTCAGTTAGAGTCAGGAATAGTGTTTACAAATGAATGAATGACCACCTTTACCCCTTAGGATATTAAGCTGCAAATAGTAAATCTAATGCTGTAAAGATCAAATTTGAAGCACCCTTCAGTTGCAGTCATGGACCGTGCCCAAGTTTGAATGAGCTGTTCACACATTTTAGTTTCTATCCTTGGATAAGCAAATGAACTTTGTATCTTCCACTCCTAGAGGAAGGTAGAGTTTAATTGTCCGTGTCATTTCAGATGCTCAAGTTTCTTATGGACTACATTCCATGTACTTTTTTTCTTTCCTAAGGATGAGTACCTAGCATCTTAGAAGTATCGAAAGCTGCTTTGTTCCTTCGTAATATTTTAGATTCCGATGCATGTATGTCCGTGAATGATTGGAGTTTTGTTACAGGAGGCCAAGGATGCCAAGAAACAGCAAACTGAAGCACATTCTGACACTGTTGACAAGGGGCACCATACAGACGGCAGGGATCGGGAATTGGAGGATACTAATGAAAATGATGGTTTGGGGCCACTGGATGAAAATGAAGGTGATGCTGTTGGAGAAACATATGATGATTTTCTTTATGATGAAAATGTTTCTGATGATGACTATGGTAACAGTTTATGGTAAAAGCTTTGATGATTGCTAATCACCGAAGACAGTTACTCTTTTATTATTAGATACGTTCTATAACAGAAGTAATTCGAAAAAAAATAAACATAAAATTGTATTTTTTTTTCTTATTATTATTAGAATTCCAAAAAAAAAAAATACAATTTTAAATTTATTTTTTTAATTACATCACAAGCATTTAATTAGCTAAACATTAAAAACATTTTTTAGGAACAAGCACGACTTAAAATATACAAGCCTAAGGTAGTGATTTTCTAATGTCTAATTGGTGTGTAATTGCCGACAAGAAAACAAATTAAGATACCCAATATATATATATATATATGTTAAGTATGAGGCCTGGTCCGGCGCCTTCGAAATCCACTTGATCGCAGAGACGGCTGTCTTCCGTTGAAAGACAACAGAGGTTCAACAACTTGAGAAATCTGCCATCTTTGCAGCCCAATTAACGTATGCATGACCAGGAAAGATTTTTTGGGTCGGCCAGTCTCATGACTTTCCTGGTTAGTTCATGCTATATTGTCTATTTAACTTAAATCCATTTGTTTTAAACATTAAAATAAATCTCTTCCTTCTGAATTAAACAGACGAGGTATGTACGAAATATTGTTTTAGGTTTCGTCCACATTCGGTTTGGACCTTTGCCAGCGGAGCAGAAATGGTTACAGACCCCTTTCGTTGTATAATTGACATGGCCCTTCTAGAAATGAAGTGAAAATTGGGGGATGAAGCATTAAAGAAAATTGGGTATGTCTCCCTCATGCTGGATTTTGAATAGCTGATGGCAGGCCGAATCTGCTATTGGCGTGTTGCCGCTCAAGCACCACGAGCATGCAATTGACACAGGTATGAGAATAATGGAGGTCTCTTCTGTTTTGAATATAAGAATGACACAGGTAATGAGATAATAGAAATTGTTTCTTCGTCGGTTTATATAGTTAAAATTATAAGAATATATGAAAGCTATATAGTTATATTTAAAAGTTTTAAAAATGTTTCAATTGAGCGTGTTAATAAAAAAAATTTAAGTTAAAAACTTTAATTTACCTAATTAAATAAATTTTGATTGAATTTAAATATGAGATTATTTATATTATCAATCAAACTTTTTACATTAAGCACTATAACTTAATTTTTTAATCTACTTAAATTATTTATCAAACACACCTTTAGTATGCAATAAAGACAACTTCAAAATTGATTTTGATATATTTTAATTATATAAAAATAAATAAATAAAACACGTGAATTTTATTTTTTAATTAGTTATTTATTAAAAAAGACTTATTCAAAAATCCGTATATAGAAAAAAATAAATCATATTTATTAACAAATAAAATTATATGACGAACGAATAAAAATTAATTTGATGAGAGTTTCTATAAAAAAAATGACAAATTGGAGTGATCAAATTTAAACAATAAGAATCAATTTTTTTAAATACAAAATTTATGAAAAACATAAAAAAAAAAATTAAATTAAATAGAATTTTTTAATTAAAAATTATGAAATTAGATGAAGTTTTTTTATTTTTTTATTTTATATATTTGAATTGATCAATAATATAATGTAAATAATCGAATTGAAATAAACATATTTTATTGGTTTGGTAGTATAACATGTGAAGTTGACTGGCTCTAAACTATTGATACAGGGATCTCTCCTATATATAAACATCTCTCGTTTTATTTGGGATTACTATTCTACGTATATGTTCCAATCAAGATCAACCACATGATGGATTGACAATCCAACAGATAATGGTCAAATGATAAAGGCGCTAGATTGTGATCTTTGAAATATTGGAGCCAAGCATTGCAAAGCACGAAGACTGCAAATCCAAAGGATAATCGAGTGGATTGGTGAATACTGAATTGGAGTGGAGAGGGGACAGATGCCTTTTTGCTGTCTCATAAGAATTTACTAGAGAGGCTCCCTCGGAAAGCTGCAATGCCATAGCTTTTGACTCAATTTTGCTCAAATGAAAGAAGCCGTTATAAAAAAGCTCGCCCAATCATTGGTAGGTCTTTTGTGCGCTCAGCTTAATTGGTGGCGCAATTCATTCTGGTATCCTGGACACTCATTATTCAGTGATTCGAGATGGGATCCAAGTCCAAGTGGAAAAGCAATTAATCAATCAATTGGAAGGGATTCAATCTAGCATGCGACCTCATCTCTCTTTTCTTATTAATTTGATGGGCGACGACATTCTTGAATGAAGTCTATCCAAACTGAATTAGCATTTATCAAAGCCTTACGGGATTTTGAATTTATGAAAACTAAACTTAAGGAGCAGAACTTGATCCTAAGGGTGGGGGAATTAGAATTAGAATATGATCTGATCTAATAGAGAAGCGACGAGGGAAGATGCTCTTTGTTTTTTTAACTTCCTTCGTTCAAGAAGAATGACTTTGCCTAACAGTTTCCCAGCCTCTATAGCCTCTTTTCAGCGGCTGACATAAAATATACATCTGTAGAGTTCTTTCGAAGGTTTTATCCGAAGAAACACGCAGACGTGGATCGAAGAGGAACCGATAATACTATACTGGTATATAAAGGAGGAGGGTTGTGCTATTATTTCTCTCCTGTGCTAATATTCGTGAAATTTTATAATATTAAAAAAATAATTAATGATATGTATAATAGTTATTTATGAATATATTTTGAAAATAGAGATAGCTCATACAAGAATAATAAAAATTTTTTCATGTTTTTTTAATTAATTTATTTATTTTTAAATAAATTTATGAAGTAATTATTTTATATATATAATTAAATTTTTTTTTTAATGAATGATAAAATTTATCTGATTGTTAATCTCTCACTCTCTACTAACGACACAACGGATCCACTAAAAGGCTCTCCAGTAAAGAAACCCTCGAATCCTGCGTTGAAGTATTTAAAAGTCTTAACTTGAAAACAAAGGCAAAAAGTTCTCAGAAGCAACTATTCAAACTATCGTTAACGCTACGATGGAAGGTCAATTCAGAATTCAAGTCTTTGAAATTGACGTCAAAGGAATCTATACGAGATATCATTGAAGTGAGTGAGATCCTTAAGTAATCGGTCCCAGCTTTTGCTAACTTGAACTCTTCTCTATCAGTCTATCTAACCTTGACCATCAGACATTTCCACAAGAGCTCTGTACATTAGAGCTATGGCCGAATTACCATCTGAATTCCCATCGTAAAATATCAAGGGATCCCATACTGAGGACTAGCGAGTGGTCTCCACTTGCAGAGATTGAGAGTATTGACTGCAGCAGAATACAAGCTTTACTGGGAGGACGTGAATGATATTTACAGTACTTGTGAGGGTATTCTAGTATTTTCGGCTATCTAATTTTATGAAAATTACAAGTTCGTTCTGGATTTATCTTTTATTGGGGACGGAGGGGTGCTCCATCAGTGGAAAATTTTGGGATTCCCCATCTCAACTCCAGAAATGTCCAATGCACCCCTCCTCCGTTGCACATTGTTGCTTTTGTATTCGGCCTGGCCTACATTGCACGGTATGATGGGCTAGCTTACTGCCCATTTATAAGTCGACTCGAGACCGACTTTATGTTCGTAAATTTGCTGATTTTTTTTTTTTTTTTTTTTTAAATGAAGAGTGTGAATTGAACTGTGATCTCTCTCAATTCATTGACTGCTACCATCATTCTACTCAAGATTGTTTTGGTGGTTAAGAAGGTTGGTTTTCTTATTTAATTTTCTAAGTTCAAATATTAAGATCTATTAAAGATGTTTTAGAAATAATTTTATATTACTCTTTAAAATATATATTCGTAATTATTTGAATATCAAGATTTTGATATCATTTTAAAAATTTATTTTGGTTGTTAAAAAGGTTGGTTTTCTTATTTGATTTTTTAAGTTTGAATATTAGTTTAAAAAAGCTTAAGAAATAATTTTATATCACTTTTTAAAATACATTTTCATACCTGGTGGACATTAAAACTTTGATATCATATTAAAAAATTATTTCAATACAAATCTTAAAGTGTTGGGTGAGTTTTAATGAATGGTTTCTTATATTACTTTCTTACTAGAGTAGTATTGGAACAAATTTAACTTCATATTTTTTTGGTCCTTTAAATGCAACAGTGACCTTTTATTTTTATTTTTTTTTAATTTGAAGAAAATATTATTACTATTTTGTTGTTTTGATTTTAATTTATTTTAATTGGTCAAATATGACACACAAATGAATGTGAAATTTAGAAGCATCTAATTGATAAATTTTTAAAGATTGAGTTAATTTGATTTTTTTTTTAATTTGGACAGATCATATTTTATTCTTATTTTCTTATAACTTGAAGAAATTATTATTATTATTTTATTTAAGTTGGTCAAATATGATATACATAAAAAGGTGAAATTTAGAAGCATCCAATTGATAAGTTTTTAATATATAGTACAGACACTAAAATAGAAAAATTAAAAGTATGTATATTCAAATTAACAAAAATAAAAGTCTGTCATCTCAGATTGAAAAAAAAATGTAAAGTTCATGAACATTTGATGTACCTATTAATATGTTACCGTATTAATTTAATAGCCATATGTGTTTGACGGAATTTAATAGAAACATTTGATTAAAAAAAATTAAAAATTTACACATTCAAATAGTAAAAATAAAACTAAACACTAAATAATTAAAAAAAAAAGTTGCACACTAAAATTTATCAAGTAAATTTTGATACTAAAATTAAAGTTCAAATTCATTCCCTATACATATTAGCCGACCCATAAATTTGGAGGCAGTTTTGATGGGAATGAAATTTCCCCAATCTAAAAAATCAAAATATCCAACAATTCCTTTGATAACCCAAATGATCATGCTGAGATCCAAAAAGTAACAGTACCATTGGATCTCGACATGATCATTTGGTTTTTAAACTAGTGAAAAAAACTCAAGCGTTAACGTACCCTATTGCCAAATCAGTAAGAGCATTAACAATATTATTCATGCAATGTGAAAAGCTAACCCTGTCAACCAGAGTAACTAATTTTTTAATCTAAATGGAAAACAGAAGTTATTTACATCTATCTCTGCACTCCAAAAAAATTAATGGAGAAAGCAATCAATTACAGTACATATCTAAAGAAGTTCATCGATAGAAAGGTGATAATACAATTTCTTGAGTTTAAAAAACTGATCTCACCTCTCTTTCTTGTAGTACAATTTAAATAAGGAATACTTTGGAAGGTAGTGAAAACATCTATAACTAAATCAGCCAGCACATGCAGAAGCAAAGAAATACTCACATACACACACCTTAGCAGCCTAGCTAGCCTAAAGAATAAGAAATGATGTACAATTAATTAATACTAATACAGAGACACAATTAAGAAGAAGATTAGCTTAATTACTAATTAAGGAAAAGGGATGAATGATCATCATCATGGGCAACTGGGGTTTCTTCCAGGACCCCCATAGAAAAAGTAGGTGCCCCAATCACCAGTCTTTCCGTTTTGGACGTCATAGCAATTGGATTGCTCGGTAAAAGTGGCAAGCCCTTTAGGATCCCTGAGATTGTTGGATCCATCAACAATTTGAATATTCCTGAAGTAACCAGCTTTTCCAAACCCTTCTGCAGGGAAATGCCCACTTCCCATTTCAGTGGTTGTGTGTTGCTCATCAGATTCTGAGTTTACAACCTCACCTCCCCACTCTATCATGCTTGCACTGTCGCTCAAGTAGGAGAAGAGGAAGGCTGGCCAATATCCCAGCACATAGTCATTCCCAAATTGCATCCACCAGTTTCCCTCTTTTGGGTCCTACAAACAACACAAACAACATTATTGAATGCCATGTGCAAGAACAGAATGTCAAGTTGAAGATAAGTTAAGGTCAAGAGCGCAGCATCCCTTGCAAAAGCTCGGGAGCGAAGCTCTCGAAACATCCATAGTATTTTGAGCAAGGTGTATAAACCTGATAGTATTTTAATAAATCTAATTGCTCATACTGTAAATATGAATAGTATTTTTTGTATTAATAAGAACTTTTAGTATAGTTGTCGAGTAGACACAATTTGCTGAGTTACGTAAATCTTGTGTATGTGGTTGTTTTTTGTTTTTTCTGCTCTATCTTCTTAGTTGATTTTTTTTTTTTTGAAGAAAAACAACATAAATATGTCAGAGATTCTCTGCATCCCTAATTTGTTTAAATTTTCAAATACGGCTGTAGATAGATTAATTCACATGCATGTTTCTTAATATTCTTAATCATATACCTTCCAAACAAGTAGGTTGATATCATACTGGGAGCCACGATAGCCAGAAAGAGGAAAGATGCTTGCACCCATTGCCACTTCATTGTTGATTTGAATAAACCCTGTGCACAGCAGATTGTAGCAACCGGTGGCTTGATATGCATCACTCTGTCATAACGCAATCAGCATTATTACTTCATTAAGTGGTTAAAAATTTGGCCAACCCATTATTAATATTTAATAAATGAACTACGTACTGATCAGGCAAACAAGAGATAATATTTAAAATGCATGAAGACAAATTGATTAGTTGCTACTTACAGTCCAATAAGTGAAGAGCCTTGTTCTGTTATCTCCGTATAGATCTGGACTAACCTGTATTTACAGACGTATAAACCATAAAGAGCAAGCAAGACAAGAAAGGAAAAAAACAGAAACATAATGTTTATGGTAATCTTAATGTCTGATTTTTTGAAAGAAAATTTGTTAACTTGGATAAAATAATTATATAAATTACCTGCCACCCAGCTTCAATGCTGTTAAGATCTTGACCAAAAGTACCTCCAAGGATCCAGATCTGAGACAAGCTGAATTCATTAGGCTGTTGTATTTCGGGTTCCCAAACGTTAATGGTTGCCTTGGCTCCATAATATTTGTCTCCTTCCACATACACTATTGCATGCTGATAAAGACTCCAAACAAGAAAAACAAATACATATAATTTAATTAATTAAAGAACCAATTAATTATGAAATTTAAAGCTATATATAGCTGAAATTAATAATTAAATTAGTCAAGCTTCTTTAATTTCTTTGCTTTACTAGCTAGCTACTGTATTAATTGAAACAAAATGAACAATGAAGTATGTAGCACCTGATGGCCAGATTGAGTAATGAGGTCAGGTTGGGCAGACCTGGGTTGATGAGGAATATTTTTGGTGTGCTTCTTCTTGCCAAACCTTTCAACAGAGCTTGCCCTTAAAATATCGTCTTTTTTAGTTCTCCTGATGGGAATAGTTCCTTCAGGACACCTTCCTTTCAAGTGCCACAACTGGGTTATGGGTTTTGATGATCTTGTTTTCTGCTCAGACACCTTTTTGCTTTCCTCAAACTTAGTCCCTTCTGGGTGGAAATTCGGTCTCGTCTGCAGTTAACAACCAAGATAAGATATATAGCTCGTTATTCGTACCTAGCTAGAACCGAATAACAATAATAATAAAACAAGAAATTAAGGAAGGAGCTAGCTAGGACAGAAACCATATATATAAATATACACACTCCATGGACTTGCCTGAATTGTATGGTTCTTTAGCAGTGGATGGTCAAAAGCCGGTTGGTGAGCAATATGGACACAGTCGATGACATCTCCATCCGGGCTCTGTTTTACAGTGCGTGATCACTTGGCAATAATTATAACAGTAGTAGTAGTAGTAGAACGAATTGATCATGATGATGACCAACAACTTAAAAGGTAGAGCAAATAAATAAATAATAGTAAACATAAAAAGTAGAAAATTAAGGGAATTAATTAAAGACGAGAAAGGAGTGAAAAGAAAAAAATTAGGTAAGAAGGAGAAGCTGACCTTGATAGTTTTAAGAGGAGGCTTATTCAAGCGCTTCAAGTGGCGGCTAACATCCAACATGTTGTGCTGAGACATAGACATGCTGCTGCTTTTACGTGCTGCAGATGTCATTTGGCAGCTGCAGGATATTATGAAAATCAACCAAATCATCATCAACAAGCTGATACCACCATCACCACTACTACTCCCGCTACCGCTCCTCCTTAGTAAATGCGCCGCCATCATGACTAAATAATTAATGTGTATATATATTCCTTTCAACTCCTCCTCGCCAGCCAAATTAATTGTCAAGATAGCAAGTATGTGTGTGTGTGTATATATATAAGAAGAAAATAGTAAATTAACTCGCTTAGCTGGCATTCATAATTCAACAAGTAGTTGAAGAAGAAGCGACAGAAGCACTTGGGATTTGGATGGGGACGGGATTGTGATGGCGCTTAGTAGCTAGTGCCTAGCAGTCATATTGTGGTGGGGTGAGGGTTGTCAACATTTGAGACCTTAATTTGCCTGCCTGCAGTGCTCAATGCAGCTTATGCTCTCTCTTATCCTGCGCACCCCCACTACGTCCCAACCAACACCCTTTGGCCTCTGATTCATTCCCTACCATTTCCATATACAGACAAATGGCTTCCCCACTATAATCCAATAAAAATTGCCGACGCCTCCCTTGTGATTTATGAATATATCCCTCCATCGCTCCCTCGCCTCTTTCGCTGGCATTGCTTTCGCTACAACTGTAGTGGGAAGACCAGTGGGGGTAGAATGGGAAAGGAAAGATACTACCAGAAATCATTAATAAAAAAATATATGGATGCTCATTGGTCATGGATTAATAATAGGGACATCAAAACTTTTGATGTCCCTGTGGGGAATTATTATAGCTACCTAACCTACCTTTAGTTATGCCTTTTTGTGAAAACTGAGAAGCCAAAAGGGAGAATCTCACATTTTTTTGAATTTACTTGCCTATCCTCTAGCTAAGCACCTTGTTTTTGGTTCACGTGATGACATTTTGAATTTAAATGGGTACCCCCACCTCACTCATTTATCTAATTTTCATCCCCTCTCTATAGTTTTGTCACTTGGAAGAACGAATAGTCCAAAAAAGCTCTTCCGTCCGTCTCAATCCTATATCAGATATGAATATATGCGCGTTGGATCCAATCAGATTACATATCAGATATATTCTTTCACAGTAAAAAAAATTTAATAAAAAAATACATTCAACTTTTTATATTGATTTTTAATATTACTTTTACAATAATTTTTTTTATATGATTACAAAATAATTAGTAAACTAACATATTTCTCTTATGTCGTGTCTTAAAATTTTCTAAAATTATGGCGTTATAAATTAATCTATAAATACCGTTTTATGCATAAAATTCTAAGTTAATCTTTCTAGTTTTTTATAAGAAAGTAAATAATCTCTCTCGTGTTATAACTTGGTTTTTTAATTCCCTTTTAATTTAATTTATTTTTTGTTTTAATAAATAAAAAAGGTAAAAATATTAATAAATTTTTTTAAAAAATAAAATAATATTAAATCAATTATGATCTCATTAAATAACTAATTATTTATTTTTTTAAAAAAATAATTTATGATTTACTCTAGTTTTATTATTTGTCAAACATGATCTACTAGGTAGAAAGAATAGAGTTGAGACCTGTGACGTGAATGTAATAAGAAACACCCGTGAATGTGTCACGGACTGAAGTTACAGGCCAAATCATTGATGTGGACAAAAATACAATAGTAGAGAAGAATGGACTCTTCTTCTTCTTCTTCTTCTTCTCTTTTCTTTTAAAAAGGCTGTCTTAGGCTCCGTTTGTTTCATAAAAAAATAACTTTTATAGAAAAATTAATTCCTGAGAAAGCTGTTTTTCAAGAAATTATTTTTTGCTATTTGACAATTACATAAAAAAATATTAAAAAATAACGTTTGTTTAATACAGAAAATTAAAATACAAAAAACAATATGTGATTATTATATCAACTAGTTTTGAGAAAACTTCAAAAATACATATTTATAATTTCACAATATAAGATACATTTAGAAAAAATTAATAAATATTTATAAATAATGACTCTAAAATTTTAATTAAAAAAATAAAATTTACTTTTTTAACCTTCAAACCAATTCATCAAAATTAATTGGGATAAAATCAAGTCAATATTCACATTTAGTATAAAAAAAAAAATTCTAAGTAACCATAGCATTTTTATTTTGGTAACTCAATTAAGATTTTTTTTTTTTAGAAATTAAACTGATAATTTAATCCAAAATTTATTTATTGTAAATTATTAGTTATCATTTATAGATAATTATTTATTTGGTTTCAAAAGATTAATGTTGGAATAATTTGTAACTAATTATTTACTACAATTACCAATAAAATTTTACAATTGATTAAAATTACAAGTTATTGATTTAGTTGCAAATGAATGTGTTGAAAAAATAATGCATTTATTAATGAATTAATTAATTTTAATTTTTTTAATAAAAAATTATAGTCTTGTAATAATCATTTTCAATAATTTAAGTATAGTGTAAGTGGTGTTTGAGATAATAGTAAAGAAAATAAAGATAAATTATTGAAATATTTATTATAAAACTAATTTTAAGGTGTAAAAATGGTTTTTAAGAATATTTAATGTATCTATAAATCAATAAATCAAACATTAGTAGAAATAGAGAAAAATAATTAATTAATAATTAATAATTAATAAGGAATATTTAAAATTAATTTGATATATTTTAAATAAAAAGAAGAGTAGAAAAAATTATTAAAATATATCAATAAAGAGATAAGTTACACGAAAGTGAGACAACTCATAAGAAGAAAAATGTTTTCTTCTTTTTAAACTAGGAAAACATTTTTTCAAAAAAATCTATCATTTTCGATTGACTGAAAATCATTTTCCGTTGACTTTTTTCCTAAACGTCAAAACAAACACTGAAAAAATAAGAACAAGTTATAACTTGTTTTTCTCGAATAAACACAGCCTTAGCTAGATTTCGGGCTTTTTACTTGTATCTTGGGCTGGACCCATGTGAAGCTCTTTCGGCCTGGTTGGGCCTGGTTAAAAGGCATCTCAAGTGATAGCATGTTAACAGAAGAAAAGGAAATGAGGCCAGATTCTTGGTCTGGCCATGACAGTAAGGATTGTCGTTCATAGGTTTGATTTTGATCCACAAAGGCAAAAGGAGGGGTTGATGAACCTCCTAGGGCTTGGTGGTTGACGGACGCTGGACAAAGGTTTCGTTTTTTTTTTTTTTTTCCTCGAGAGAGAGAGAGAGACGAGAGAAGTATTGCTAAACCTTAGATCTATGCTATTAAATCAAAATATGAATGAATATGATTTAGCATATACAAAAAATAAATAAAACCTTAACTACTTATTACTCATTTGAAAGTAATACTATTTTTTCCCCTCGCCTAATACAAAATAAATAATAGAATTAGGAAAATAATAAATAATAAATAAACTAAAATTAAATATAGTTTCACAATAACTACTTTTGTTTTTTTTTTGGGTGAAATTTTTATTCGTTTTGATCCTTGTTTTGTTATCTTATAAGTTTTGGTCATGTGATTGTTGTAAAGTTTTCTTCTTCTTTTAGTTTTAATATTTACTAGTTTTTTTGCCCGCGTTACACTACGAGTTAGATAAAATATATAAAATCATTTAGAGAAATCATTTCAGTTTGATAATATGTTTTATAGTGTGAATCTATAAAAAATATATGAAATTAAAGGTGAAAAAAATTATTTAAAATTTTTTTAATCAAAAATTTTGAATTCAACTATTTCTTATTTGTATTTTTCATAATTTTTCATTTACAAAAAGGATTTATCCTTATTAATCTATAATTTATTAACTAAAAAGAAAATTAAATAATTTTTTTTAAAAAAAGCTTTTGTATTTTATAAGATTGTCTCGAAAAACATAAATAACAATTATTAAAAGCTTACATAGAATTGAACAAATAATTTTTTTATTTAATGTTGATGAGAATATCGATTTTTGAAAAAACAAATGTGAATTTAATTTTTATATATTTATTTACAAAAGAATGGATAATATTAAAATAAAAAACTATATTAATTTGAATCATTGAGTGGTTAAGCCAAAACATTATTTTAATTATTTAATTCAAAAATATATAAATAAATAGTAAATGCTTAGTGTAGAAAAGTAATATTATTATAATATGATTATAATATTAATAACATATGACTATATTAAAAAAATGACAAATTAAATTAGTAAATTTTAAATAATAAAAATAATTGAAAGAAAACACTAAAAAAGTGAAACCATATCACAATATAATTAAAGTTTGAAACTGAAAAAAAATATATATATAAAAATTGAGGAGCTAAAGTGCTAAAAAAATGACATGAATAGTGAAAGGAATAATGATTTGTGAGTGTGTGAATGATATTTTAAATAGTGAAACTAAATAGTAAAATCATGTTTTACTTATATTATGTGAAACTAAATAGTGAATAATTTTTTTATAATATTATACTTTTATTTCGATCCTTCAAAGTATAAAATTATTCTTATTGTGCTCGTTTTTATTATTTTATTTTAATTTCTTTAAAATATTATATTGGATTATTAAAACTAGGTTCTTTGGTTTTATTTTAATACATCATTGGAGTAAATTAGCATGCCTATTTATTTAAATAATTTTTTTTATCTTGTGAATAAATAATTTGATTGTTTTTTGAAGAAATTATTTATATTTAGGGGTATAAGAACAAAGTTTTATAAGTTTTGATATCAAATATGAATATAGAAGAATAACAAAACCACAAACTTAAAAGAAAGACTAAATTAAACTTTTTATTTGTAGATAGAGATAATAAAATCTCCAAAATCTTATGGTTCCTAAACCGCTTTTTTGGCTCTTTAGCAAAAGTTTTCCTTTTGTTTTGGTCCTTATTATGTGATCCTTATTTGGTTTTAATCATTGGAGTTTTGTTTTGTGTGATTGTAATCTTCATTTTATGCATAAATATGAGATTTTTAGTTTTATTGTTCCTATGTCCTTTTTGACTTTTAGTGATTTTTTGTTTTTCCATTTTGGTCTGCATTCTATGTTCTTTATTATGTTTTTGTCATTAAAGTTTTATCATTTTACATGCATATAAAATCTTTATCATTTTGTGTTGGGTCAAGTTGAAATAATAGTCTTTAAGGTTCATTAGCTCATATATATATATAACAAATTTACTCATATCTAGATAAATAAACTATAGATAAAAAAATAGACGGTGAAAATTATAATCATCTAAGGTTCAAAACTTATCATATTATTATTTTAATTGTAATAAAATACATGATTGTATCAAGCAATATTTAATTAAAAATGTTGTATTGCTCAACTTTGTTGGTTTTTTTTTTATATGGTTATTTTAAATAATTGTTTTGTACAGAATATATTTTATTGTAGTCATCATTTGATATATTCTTTTATTATTATTATTATTATTGTCCAATGAAAAATCAATCTGAGACCTTTTATTTTTTATTTCTACAAAGTAGATTTATCTAAAAAATTTAAAATAATACCTCTCTATATGTTGTTTTAAATTTTCTTATTAACACAATTACATGAATGGTTAGAACTAATTATTTTTTATGATGGAACACATGAAAAAAACGCAGGATGCTTGCAAATAAAATAAAAAACCCTACTAAACACGCCATTGAATTACTTGGAGCATTTGATGACAATCAACACAAGTCCTTCTAAAACCTTGACAAGAGCATAGAAAAATTTGAGCAAGAGTTAAAGAGAGGTTGTGGTAGAAAATGTACTATATTTGAGAGAATGTGATCATAGCATGCCATACATAAAACGAGACTGAATAGCACATGAAAATTTATTTATAATGATGTTTTGATGTGTATACTGTATATAATATCAGATATAGTAAAAAGTAGTTGTCTTCCATCCAACTGGAGTTCTATTGTCCAAGTCTAATTGGCAGGCTAGAAGTTATAAGCATGCCCACATGTACATGTACATGTGCATCAGTGCACAGAGTCAGGACAGCATCAGCACCCAGCTTCCAGACAGTAGTAAAAGTACTTGGTCACATTTTTTATTATTTTTTAAGACTCAACCCCCTACAACTTGGGGCAAAACTCTGACAATGGAAAGCAAGCAAGTATGATAAGAGCAGAAGGCCTCAGTGGGTTATGTTTTATATATACGCCATCCCCTAAGTCTAAAGTGGGGTTATTCTCCATGCCTCCTAATAGCACAGCCTTAACAAGCACGAATAATGATTCAACACCCTGGTCTTAGTTATAGAAATGGCAATAAAGAAAGAAAGAAAAGGAAAAGCAAATAAAGCTTGGTTGGAAAGATATGAAGAGTAGGCTTTTTATTAGTATTTGAGGCCCCACAGCAAAGGACCTTTTCCCCCGTGTGAAATAGCCAAAATCCGGCACCGGCATGCATCTCATATCTTATCCACCGGCCTTCCTTCACCACCAAAAAAAAAAAAAAAAAGTCTCACAGCCCACAGGGCCCCCCAGGTTTGGTTAAGGTAAAGAGAGGGGTGCATGTATGGTTATGGTGGTCCACTGGTTCATGATTTCCATTCGAGAAATATATAGGTGTCTTTCTGTGACTGGATTCTTGCAGTCAGCTTTCCTGTTTCTTTCATCTTTACAAATGAATGAGAATCACCAAACTGTCCCCTTTTTCCCTCCAAGCCATTGACTTTGACAAAATGCTTGAGATATACCATTATGGCAGACCCATATATACACACACACACATCAAGCACTCTAAGACCCCGTTTGGCATTGCGATTCGAACACCACCAAACTTGTTTAACAATAGTACTGCTTAAATAGAATCGGCTTAATTTAACAATGCTGCTAAACCAGTACTACAAAACTATGACGAATGAGCCTCTCCAAAAACAATCAAGGCTGCGGTCATGCAATGGAACAGTACCTTGACTTTGGCCATCACCATAACATAAATGTATCTGCAGGTTCATGGGGATTAACTTCTACTTGTAGCTTCTACGTACGTATGCCTTAAGCAATTAATGAATAGAATGTGGGGGTGTGGCGCCAGCCGCCAAGTCAGCATCCTATGTGTAATGAGCAAAAAAGCTGGCAATGGAGTGGGGGCGGGAGGTGAGGGGTGGCTGCCTGGCTGACCGCTTCCTTTTGCTTTTGAGTTGCCACCACCCTGCACTGCCTCTACTTTTGAATTCCTTTTCAACATTCTTTTCTACTTTCAACTTCTTTAATCCAACACGCAGTGGCTCTATGGCCATCCTTGATTAAAAAGACACTTCCATTCTCCTACCTAGCTAGCTAATACATTTCTCCTTCATCTTCTTCTCCCTCTCTCTTTCAAAACCATCACTTCTTTATATCATTCTCATTCTGAAGTTCATTTGATGATCATATAATTAAGCTTTTCAATATGGTAAGCTCCGCGATCCTTTTTTTTTTGGTTCATTTTCCTTTCTTTGATTTACTAGTAAAATATTGAAGTAATTAAACACTATGTTCTCTGTCTTGGATGTTGTATCCAGGGAACTCCAGTAAACATCATAGTTGGATCGCATGTTTGGATAGAGGATCCTGAGGAAGCATGGATGGATGGGGAAGTTACAGAAATTAAGGGCAGAGATGCCACCATAGTTACCACAAATGGAAAAACTGTAAGGCTTCCTGTTAAACTTATATCATCCAATCTCTTCCATACTAGTTCAGATCATGTAAATATGGGAATCTAAGTTTGAAACACTCTATTCTATTCGAAGGATTTTCTACTAATATAATAGCAAAACTAAATACCTTTGAAGTTCAGGATCGGAAGGATGAACAATAGATCCATTTAAAATTCTGCATGTATGCTAACAACACCTATTTGAATGAATATCTTGCAAAAATCAGAATCTGCTAGCGATCCAGCACACCAAGAAACTTTAATTATTTTTATGCATGTTAGCTAGGTATAATTAAAGGGAAAGGCAAATTGTGGACAAACTAACATCAATTACGAAATGGTTGATAAATTTAAATACTCTGTAACGTCTGCTTATATAATTTAACTTTAAATGCAATTTTCTTCTGAACAATAAGACACAACTGTTATAACACATGCTAGGTGTTACAATAGGGAAAAAAGAGAAGCTTATATCACTCAACCAAAATAGCTCTTTCATTCATTAAATTTTCCTGACTCCACAATTGGTCAAATATATTTTTATGCTAAATTGTTATGCTTGAGCTTTCTTCTTAGAGACCAGCCTCCGACATATCAATTAGCTACATGAAGTTCAAAGTATTGGTCGGTATTAACATGAATTCATTATTGATTCTTACCTCAACTCCAGATAGTTGCAGATATTTCAAGTATATATCCAAGAGACACGGAGGCTCCACCAGCTGGAGTCGATGACATGACCAAATTAGCATACCTCCATGAGCCAGGAGTCTTGCATAACCTTGCTTGCCGGTTTGCACTCAATGAGATATATGTGAGTCAACATTACTTAATCCAACTGACACCACCGTATATTAATTAAGTGAATATAATTTAGTAGGGATTAGTCTTGAAAATATAGAATATAGATTCATGTCAAAAGCAGCATACTGATGAGCAGTACTGAAATAAGCAGACTTACACTGGGAACATTCTAATAGCGGTGAATCCTTTCCGAAGGCTACCACATTTGTATGACATCCACATGATGGAGCAGTACAAAGGAGCTGCTTTTGGAGAGCTAAGTCCACACCTTTTTGCTGTGGCAGACACTTGTTACAGGTAATAGTAACAGATCAAAAATTAAGTTTAATTAACATGCATGAGCTGATTTCAACATGTTTTGTAACTAATATATATATATATATATATATATATATCTCTAATATGATTACTTAAAACATCAGAGCAATGATAAACGAACAGGGAAGCCAGTCCATTTTAGTAAGCGGAGAGAGTGGAGCTGGTAAAACAGAGACGACAAAAATGCTCATGAGATATCTTGCCTTCATGGGGGGACGATCAGCAGGCAGTGAAGGAAGAACAGTAGAACAACAAGTTTTGGAGGTAAGTTAAAAACTATATATGACAACATCTTGCCTTTTAGGTTATTCAACTACTGAACCGACTGAATGAAGACTTAAATTAATTTCCACTTCAGTCCAATCCAGTACTGGAAGCATTTGGGAACGCAAAAACTGTCAAAAACAACAATTCGAGGTGAAATTTAGATGCTCTATCTGCGTTCTATTTCTTCCAAAATTTTGTGTTAAACTTACAAAAATTGGATGGTCAACCAGTCGATTTGGCAAGTTTGTTGAGATACAATTTGACAAGCATGGGAAGATATCTGGAGCTGCAGTTCGTACTTACCTTCTTGAAAGATCACGGGTTTGCCAAGTCTCTGATCCGGAGAGAAACTACCATTGTTTTTACATGCTCTGTGCAGCACCACCAGAGGTGATTTCCTGACAACCATGCAAGCATTATGGCTTTCAGGAAAAGCTATCTAACTGATGTTCCCTTTCAGGATGTCAAGAAATTCAAGTTAGGGGACCCAAGAACTTTCCACTATTTAAACCAAACAAACTCTTACGAAGTAGCAAATGTAGATGATGCAAGGGAGTATTTGGAGACCAGAAATGCAATGGATATTGTAGGAATCATCCCGGATGAACAGGTGTTTACTCTTTCCATCCATACAGGAATGGATTATGTATTTATCTGGCAGTTTAGCTTAGAGATACATATTCTAGATTAACAAATGGATGCTTCTCTTCTGTAGGATGCAATATTTCGCATAGTAGCTGCAATTCTCCATCTCGGAAACATCGACTTTGTCAAAGGGAAGGAAGTTGATTCGTCTAAACCTAAGGATGATAAATCACGCTACCACCTTCAAACAGCAGCAGAGCTACTGATGTTAGAAACTCTTGCTTATTTGGACCACCAAGATAATTTTTAAAAAATTCTGTTCTAACATGTAGTGATTCCACTTTGTTATCTCACAAAATGTTTAATTTAGGTGTGATGAGAAGGCACTGGAAGACTCACTTTGCAAGCGTGTCATAGTAACTCCAGATGGTAACATCACAAAACCTCTGGACCCGGCTTTAGCTGTCTTTAGTCGTGATGCCTTGGCCAAGACTCTGTACTCAAGACTGTTTGATTGGTAAGAAAAATCAAACTCGTTCATCTAGAACACAACTTTATTCTAGACACTACATGCAAGCAGTAGCAAAAGTGCATCAATTTTTATCATTTGTTCAGGATGTTTTGCAACTATGGACTTCAGCCAAATTATCAACTTAGATAATGTTTCCTTGGGAACATCAAATATGGTTTCTGCTAATTAATCAGCAGGACAAAGCTGTCATAATAGTTTTCTGACATTGCTTCAGTTTCTCAATTGTACATTTGGAATCAATCCTGACCCCATCAAACTAGGAATTAACAAGAGAGGAGAATTGAACATTGCAGGATTGTGGATAAGATCAATAGTTCAATTGGTCAAGATCCTAATGCAGCAAGCATAATTGGAGTCCTTGATATTTATGGCTTTGAAAGCTTCAAGATCAACAGGTACGTAGGAAACCATTTATGAAGTTATCTTCAAACAAATATTTTAACAAGTATAACTAATCATATGATGAATACTGTAGTTTTGAGCAGCTATGTATCAACTTAACAAACGAGAAGTTGCAACAGCATTTTAACCAGGTAGGGATGAGATTCCTCTGCATAGTTTTGACCATCTTGATAACATTTTAATTTTAATTTTTTTTTTATTCACGTGGATCTCTATCCACAGCATGTATTCAAGATGGAGCAAGAAGAGTATACAAGGGAGGAAATAGACTGGAGCTATGTAGAGTTCGTAGACAACCAGGATGTTTTGGATCTTATTGAGAAGGTAAGAGCATTGCATGTCAAAATAACGTATTCTGTTCCTGAAATATTGAAGACATGGTTTTTATGTCCTTGCCTGCAGAAACCGGGAGGTATAATAGCCCTTCTAGATGAAGCCTGGTATGTGATTCCCTTCTACGTTGAAATAGATATAAACTAATCTAGTTGTGAAATTATTTACCTTCTAAGCAAAAATTCATACCTACACAGCAAGGCGTGCATGTAGCTCAGGGAATTAAATGTCAGTTAAACAGTGATTTGAAGCAGTTAAAATTGTGGACATTAAGTAATGCTAATGGAAAACAGCGGGAGGGAACCACATGATCGTAAGCGATGTAATAAAACTAGTTGTGAAAAGCTACAGAAATGTAAGTGAATGTTATGAAAGCAAGTAAAACATTTCTTTTGAAACTTGCTTTGCATAGTAAGAGGTAATCAAAGTTACCTTACCAAAACTAGCACCATAAAAATGTCTGAATCCTTATTCTAAAGAGAAAAAAAAAGGGTCTAAATCCTTCGATTTTCTAGACCCATCTCCATATTTATCGATAGGCAGTTGCATGAATATAATAAAAGAAATCAAAAGGGGAAAAAGGCAATGAATAGATGCTGAAATCATTGCATGTAAGCATGAGCAACTTTCTAATGCAGCATGTTTCCCAAGTCAACTCATGAGACATTTGCACAAAAGATGTACCAGACATATAAAGCTCACAAACGCTTCAGCAAGCCGAAACTTGCTCGAACAGACTTCACAATCAATCATTATGCAGGAGATGTAAGCGATGTTATGAATCTCATTCTTGAAAACCCAGCCAAAGGAGCTATATCTGTGGGTTTCTAATCATTGAGCCACATTCTGTGAGCAGGTTATTTACCAAGCAGATCATTTTCTTGATAAAAATAAAGATTATATTGTAGCAGAACATCAAGCCCTGTTAGATGCTTCCAACTGCCCTTTTGTTGCTAACCTTTTCCCTCCACTGCCTGAAGAGACATCTAAGCAATCCAAGTTCTCTTCAATTGGTACCCGCTTCAAGGTAAGCATTATCCGCTTAGAATAGCAGCATCCTGTATGATACGGAAAATAATTGAGACCATGACTGACTCTTGGCTCAAAATTAACATCCAGCAACAATTACAAGCTTTGATGGAGACATTGAACACGACAGAACCACATTACATCAGATGTGTAAAGCCAAATACAGTACTAAAGCCCGGAATCTTTGAGAACTTCAACGTCTTAAACCAACTAAGATGTGGGGTAAGATAAATTCACCTGGTTCCTTATTGAGAACATATAACTTTGATTTTCACTTTTCAGATTGGGAAAAACTTATCTGTTTCCAAACTATTTATCAACTTGCCCTGACTGATAATGATTATTCTAATGGATTTTACAACAGGGAGTGCTAGAGGCAATTAGGATAAGTTGTGCAGGTTATCCAACCAAAAGAACATTTGATGAGTTCCTTGATCGTTTTGGAATGCTGGCTCCAGATGTTCTAGATGGGTATGAATTCTAGTTACTTTTCATTTGGCATAATGCATTTGTGGCATGGAAGTCTCAAAGTCAGGGCTGGAATGAGAGCAATGACCTGTTGAGCTACATAAATTCTTTTGAACCAAAATTGTATCTTATCTAACAGAAGCTGACTGCAGTTGGTGACAGCTGAGTTGGAACATCTACTCAGCTGTTCCTCACTAACTATTCTCCAACGCTTAAATCACTTGAACTTCATATTGATCCAACCTTAACATCCACTGTTTCTTCTGGGCAGATCGGACGAAAAATCGGCATGCGTTGCCATCTTGGAGAGGATGGGTTTAAAGGGCTATCAGGTATATATGTTTAATCATGACCATAACAAAAAGGATTAAGGTTCATAGACTATGTAAGAAGTACAAAAAATGCTGTGTTAATGTAACATTTCCCCCTAAATGCTTGGTTTAGATTGGGAAAACAAAGGTGTTCCTCAGAGCTGGGCAGATGGCTGAGTTAGATGCACGAAGAGCTGAAATTTTGGCTAATGCTGTCAGACGAATCCAGAGACAAATACGAACATATCTAACCAGAAAGGAGTTCATCACCCTAAGAAGGGCTACAATTGATTTGCAGAAACTCTGGAGAGGTTAGGTTTCTTTTCCCCAAGTAATTCTATCTTGCACTACAAAACATGAAGGCAAACAGATCAATCGATTAAGTCACTTGTGTTGACGAAGAATGGTTAATTAGTTTGCATGTCATATTTGGGCAACAGAATCCTATGCAATGACAACCCCAATGACAAGGACCAAGTACTTATGTTAATTTTTTGGAATTGCAATGCCTGTTAAAGAAATGTTTTTAATATGTAGATTTAATATGGTTGGTTGGTCGAATTTCTTTATGATTTTCTATAGAAAAGTCAGGTTTTGTGGTCATGACTTGATCCTAACTGAAAATGAACCAGACCACCATTTGAAGTCATAGCCTAGAAGAACAGAAGTCAGAAAGATGACAATACTTTTTGCCTTGCCTCTTGTGCAGCACAAATTGCACGTAAGCTATATGAACAGATGAGGAAGGAAGCAGCTTCTATCCGTATACAAAAGAATGTCCGTGCTCATAGAGCGAGAACATTTTACACTAGCTTGCAAGCATCAGCAATAGTTATCCAAACTGGAATGCAAGCAATGGCAGCACGTAATGAATACAGATACAGAAGAAGAACCAAGGCTGCAACTATAATTCAGGTGATGTACTATCTGGCTGTGTACTATCTGGCTGGGCTACTTACTGAAGTTTTAAATCATAGGGAATCAGCACTAAAGCATTCAGATGATTAATTTCTGAGTGATAATTTTTCCTATCTTATCAAATCTTTAATTTTATAGACTCGATGGAGAAGGTACCGTTCTCTTTCTGCATATAAGCAGCATAAGATCGCAACTCTAGCATTGCAATGTCTTTGGAGAGCAAGGACAGCCAGGAAAGAGCTTAGAAAGCTCAAGATGGTGAGTGTAACTACCTATAAGCAGTTCAACTGCAGTTCCATACCAGTTCTTGACATTCAACTATTCTATTGCACGATAACAACAGTTGGTATTTGCACAATAGAAGTGACAACTATACTGATGCAGGCTGCAAGAGAAACAGGGGCACTTAAAGAAGCTAAGGACAAGCTAGAGAAGCGTGTTGAAGAGCTATCATGGCGACTAGAATTTGAAAAGCACTTGCGGGTATATTTTATATCAAAGTTCCAAAAAAGTATAAATATAAGAAGAATAACAGTTTGATCATGCAACATTTAGAAATGGACGGTATTCATCAACAAATTTAAATGACATTTCACTTACAGTGCAGGAAAACTGTCACCTACATATTGAACACATCATGTATGCATTCTTGTAGATGCTGATTTCACAATCAGTTATATAGATAGACAGTGACTCCCCAAAATGCCCTGAGCCAAGAACTTTAAACTCAAATTAATGCAGATGACCATTTGCCCAAGAATCTAAAGTTGTCAAGAAACTTGCTGAAAATGTCCAATCTTGCTACAAAGCTCCTCTTTAAGTTTCCCAAACTGTACCCATGACATTTGCGTGTGTGTGTATGTGTAGCTTGATCTTGAAGAAGCTAAAGGGCAAGAAATTACAAAACTGCAAAGTTCATTACATGAAATGCAAGGTCAACTAGATGAAGCCCATGCTGCAATAATCCACGAGAAAGAAGCAGCAAAGTTAGCTATAGAACAAGCTCCACCAGTCATCAGAGAGGTGCCAGTTGTGGACAATACCAAGTTGGAGTTACTTGAGAATCAGAATAATGAATTGGAGGTATGACACGGTTCAACCACCTAACATCCTATAGCAGTATGTATATTACATTATGCTGCATTAATTGATAATTCTGACACAAGTTGTAGCTTTATGCATAATTGTAAATAATTAACTTGGGGAGTCAAAAGTACTGGAAAAGAGTAAATTATCAAGCCTGACAGCAACTTCATAAGTCTACTGTTATCTAGATGGATGATATAATTTATGTTCTGAATGCATAGAATGAGCTAATTGAGTTGAAGAAGAAGATGGATGAATTCGAGAATAAGTGTTCTGAACTTGAGAAAGAGAGCAAAACAAGAACTAAAGAGGCTGAAGAATCACACCAGAAAACAACGAAACTTCAAGAAACCATTGAAAGGTAATCCTCCATGGCTTTGTTACACAAGCACCTCTGTGGTCATTAGCTGGGGTTTACTAACTCTTTATGATTTTCAGATTGGAATTAAATTTGTCCAACCTCGAATCAGAGAATCAGGTTTTACGACAGCAGGCTTTGGATGCATCAACAAATGAGGATGTCTCTGAAGAATTAAAAATGTAATACTCAGTCACATAATTAAACCTGAAGAATTCATTTTTTTTCCACCTCTCTACATTCATCTTCCATACAAACTAACCAACAGAGAAAATTCATGATGAGATGCAACAGAGTTCGGTTGATAGTACAATTGATGAGTGAGAAAAGGGATGTCTGCATGTGTGTGTGTGTGTGTGTGCGTGCGCGCGTGTGTGTAGGAGGACCTGCTTCTACATGGCAGAAAAAGTACTATAACATAACATCAGACAATTAAACAAATCGTGGAAACATGGAATGTTGTAGATTATTTAGCAAGAGACCCTGTAAATCTGATTGGGTACTAGAAATTGATTCAGTTTTGTATGGTCAAGTTGAACTGGTTAAGCAGCATGTCAATTCACCATGAAAATTCTGAAAAATCCTGAAAGCCAAATATTAAACTTGTCATTCTGGCACAAATCTGAAAGCTTTGTATACTTTTATCCAGCCTTAAGAGTAAGATTGCAGAGCTGGAGTCAGAGAATGAATTGCTCCACAAACGACCAGTAATTGTAGACCAGGCAGTGACTCCTGAAAGGATTCTGCCTCAAGTCAAGGTATGCTTCTCTAAAATTGTCCGTTTCCTTGGACAAAGTCATCACACAATTTTTCATTAACCTTGTTAAATGATTCAGATTTTTGAGAATGGACATCAAACAGAAGAGGAGTCTCAAATGACAAAGGTATGGCCACCTTCCTTAAACACACATATTCAGAAGCAAACAGATACTGCAGAGAACTAATCCCATACCTAATGATAAATTTGTTTCCAGGAATCCGGGCCTCCCGTCTCCCTCTTAACTACACAAAGATCCCTAACAGACAGGCAGCAGGTACCCAGCTGGAAGCTGAATTCTTGCAAACACCCAGAAAATAATTCCAAACAAGCATCTGTGTTTTAATCATGTAATTGCTGAAAAGGACATTCTCTTATTCTACTCTATGAACAGGAAAACCATGATGTACTTATCAAGTGTCTTACCGAAGATAAGCGGTTTGACGAGACCAGACCTGTTGCTGCTTGTGTAGTGTATAAAGCACTTATTCAGTGGAGATCCTTTGAAGCAGAGAAGACAACTATATTTGATAGGATTATTCACACAATTAGATCATCAATAGAGGTAGCATCCTTCAACCAATTGAACCATATTAACCATCTATAAGGAAAAGGACTATCAGTTAGTTGTGTTACTGATTTTCCATGTTGTGTCATTGAAGAGTCAAGACAGCGTCACTGATCTAGCATATTGGCTATCAACAACTTCTACCCTTTTGTATCTGCTTCAAAATACTCTTAAAGCAAGCAATACAACAAATATATCTTCACAGCGTACCCGAACCTCCCCCGCAACCTTATTTGGTAGAATGGCACTGGTAAGTTCTTCTATCTATCAAGTTAATTGTTTAGTACACCTAATTCAATGACAAAATCGTAATACTCGAACGTGCAATATCAGGGATTCCGTTCATCTTCAGTTGGCATGGGAATGTCAAGTGGTTACAGTGGAATGGTAGGAAAAGGAAATGAACAATCAAAAGTGGAAGCTAAGTACCCAGCACTGCTATTTAAGCAACATCTGACTGCATATGTTGAGAAAATATATGGGCTGATCAGAGACGGTGTTAAGAAAGAGATTGGTCCATTTTTGAATTTGTGCATCCAGGTAAGCATATTGAATAAGAGTGGATTCACATCACAAAGTAAGAGTTGAGTCATTTAATGGCAATTTCATGTTTGCTTAAATGAACAGGCTCCAAGATCAATAAGAGCTAGACCAATAAGAGGGTCATCCAAAAATATCCATTCGAGTATTGTTGCCAAACAGCAATCATCAAATATACATTGGCAAAGCATTGTCAATAGGCTAGATCATACCTTGGGCATCATGTCAGAGAACCATGTAAGAATGAATGTCCTTTCTAGTGGGTTTTCCAGACTTAAAGTATCAGTGCATAGACTCGCGAAGGAAGTGTTTATCACCTAACCTTGGGAAATTTTCAGGTCCCTCCTGTGTTCTTAAGGAAAATCTTTAGTCAGGTTTTCTCATTCATAAACGTACAACTTTTTAATAGGTAAGGAGATTTTTTTTTTTTTTTCCTTATCTTTTCATTTTTTTTTTCATGTGTTTAACTATACATTCTCATAATCTATGCTAATACTCTATCTAAATGGTTGATCTGGAAGCTTGTTGCTTCGTCGTGAGTGTTGCTCATTTAGCAATGGAGAATATGTTAAGGCTGGTTTGCAGGAACTGGAACAGTGGTGTCTTAAGGTATCAGATCAGGTAAGCAAAAAACCAATTAAATCTGTAATTAGCAATGCAGAAAAGAAGCAAATTTATTGTAATATCTTGCTGTCTTTATTTCACAGTTTGCAGGATCATCATGGGATGAAATCCGACACATAAGACAAGCTGTAGGCTTTCTGGTACATCTTCTTGAAAACTGAAAAGGCCTTTCTTTCTTTCTTAGAATTAGTTCCAGAATGGTGCGTTCAGTGTGAGCTAATTAAGGATTGTTTTACCGATATATGCATGTAGGTTTCGCATCAAAAGGCTCAAAAATCTTTGGATGAGATCACACATGAACTCTGCCCGGTAAGTAATTTAGTGTGTATATAGTAAATAAACAGAATAATTAAGACGGTGGTATGATATAATTTGTTGATTCTATTTTGATAGATGTTGAGCATTCCGCAAATATATCGCATTGGGACTATGTTCTGGGACGACAAATATGGAACTCAGGGATTGTCTTCAGATGTAAGCAAAGAAGTCTCTCTTTTATTTGTGTATTATTTATTTGGAAGTGCACTTGATTAAGAACAAAATAAATATGTTTTGTAGGTGATTGGGAGAATGAGAACCCTAATGGCAGAAGATTCAATAAGCATGCCTAATAATACATTCTTGCTTGATGTTGATTCAAGGTATGATAAGGACTAAGACTAAAAAAGTTTTCTTTTTATGACTACTAATTTTCCTCTGCAATAAGGAGGAGGAGGAGGGAAAAAACTAATAATGTAAATAACAATCATTTGGTTGGGTTTCAGCATACCTTTTTCAATGGAAGAGATATTTGGATCCCTGAGTGCAATCCGCCTATCTAATGTAGATCCTCCGCCGCTGCTCCGCCAAAGATCTGATTTCCATTTTTTATTGCAAGAAACACAAACAAAAACAGCCTAAGCGTGTCTTTGATTTCATTTTTCATTTATTAATTTATTTTTTTATACACAGTTTGCTTTGCTTTCAAGGGGTGAGTGAGGTGACCGAGTGATTTCTTTTTTCAGAATGTAGTTATTCTTTTGTTTGTAAATCACATTCCCATCAATTTTTGACCAGTTAATGCATATGGGATTTTTGTAATCACAACTGTTCCTGAAACGGGAAGGATTTTTGGTATCAAAGAAGAAGAAGATATTAATTGTTTAGTTCACAGTGTTTCTATAATTTCTTTGTTGAAGCTTGTGAGATAAAAACACCAGAAAATAATCAGCTGCCAACAAGGGTCAAAGTTGCATGAATCAATTGTGACCATGTTAACATTTGACGGAGGCAGTGCAAATGTCCTTTGTTATGGTTTTCTTTGCATATTCTGCTTGAATAGTTCACGAAAGGATAGGATGACCAAACTACCCACCAAATTAAAAAATCAAAGCTTATTCGTCTTTAGTATCTTCTTAATTGGCTTCTTCTGCTTCCAGTTCAGTAGCATCAACAGATAATGCATCGCTTATGGTGCACTTGCTTGCGTCATAATTCATCAATCTCGACCCACAATGAATTGATTGCAAGAAATTGAAATAAGCATACTTGATATCGAACTGCATATCATACCCTGCCACGCATAACAGTACATTAGAATTCAACAATCACATGAAATTTATTTTTAAAAAAACAGAAAGAAGCCAAGAAATACTTGATTCTTACAATAGTTTATGGCAATAGTGCATCCATTGTCATCTGGACTCTGTCGAACATGATGAAACCACATGCTTGGCCTGCATCAACTTCACAAAATTAGCCTCAAAGTTATGAAGAATTTATTATTCAGCACAATAGTGCAGCTGCGCTGCATATCCTCTAAAACTCACCAAAAACATTCACTTGTATGAACTGTATTTCAAAGTAAATGTTTCAAGCAATTGTATACATACAAACTAATGTGACTGAAGCAAATCTAACAAGTAAATGAAAATCTTTCTTACAAGTAGAGAATCTCTCCAGCCTTGACAGTACAATGAAAGGGCTTCGGACCATTGAAATACAAAGGAAATTTAGACATTTCGATCTCCTTGGTCTCTGGAGGCAGATAAGGATTCACGCTGCACCAAGGCACGTATCTCATCGGCTTCTCCAACTCCAATCTAAACTCTCCACTGCCACCAGAATAAGAATATTGAGCAGCTGGGTAATCTCGAATGTACATGCGGTGCACATCAGTAGGAGGAAGTAGCAAAAATTGCTTCTCCCCCGAAACAACAGCGTACAGATTCTCGTAATGGTCCTTGTGGAAGGAAGTCTCAGATAAATGGTTTCCAATCCACAGATTCACTGCCTCCGGAAGGCAGCCTCCCAGTGCCTCAGTAGCCCACGGAATGTGTGCATCACAGTCCGAAGCCAATGCTGAATATTCCTCCTGAAAGCAGTTGTTCTGCTGCTGCAGGTACGCCACCAGATTTTTTCTTTCTGGATTCAGAACAAGATCAAGTGCACAAGGGAAAGGAACACGCTCCATGTGAGCAGAGACAAAGCATGTTTCTTCTTTTCTAGGGTTTTCTAGGGGAACAAGGGAGTCAGCATGGCCATCTGGGGTGAGGTGTAAGGAGACGATGGAATTGGAAAGGGTGGAAGAAAGGTAAGAAAGGTTAGGCCAGAGGGTAAGAGCAGGCCAGTGGGAGATGGCGTTAGAGATGATGCAAGGCTTGTTTGGGGATACATAGTCTCTTAGGAATTGGAGTGGGCTTGGAGCTGAGTCAAGCCGTTGTATTCTGTTTCCTAGGCTTAGCTCCCTCACTTCCCCCCACAGCCCTTCTAGTAAGCTTTCTTTCTTCTCCATCACTCCACTTTTCTTGTGCTTCTGTCTGTCTTATTATGTTCTGCCTTTCACCGCTCTCTATGCATGTCATTCCCACATGCCACAGTTATTGTCACCCCCAAAAAGCAAAGCATGTTTCTAGAACACAGACCAAGGGTACGTAAACATCTCATTGTCTATGCTAAGCCTCAAGCCTTTACAGCTACAAAGAATTGTCCAAATAAACTCAACTAACCACCTTACTCACACTTACCAAGTGAACATTTAAATAATTCCAAATTACAGATAGCTCAAGAGTAAGAGAAGCATAACTGAAAGGTCTCGCAGAGAAGAAATGTTGGGCATGCCAGATAGGAATATTACAACTGCTGCTCCTAAGTAAGACGACTTGTTCTGCTAACTAACACTATTAACCTGATAAAGATATTGCAGACAGGAATGAATTTCCACGATCTGGTGAACAGCAAATACAATGTTTCAAATCACAGACGCAACTTATTCAAAATCACGTCACAGTCACATATAATCAAACACATGGATTGTTCTCATAATTTCCAGGATATCACAAACACATTAATTAAGTTAATCAATTTTTAAAACTTACGTAATTTCCAATTTGCAAATCGAATAATGAATATGTTAGAGCAAACAGAAGAAAGTAGACCTTTACTCGTCTTCTCCCAACAAAATTAACTAACTACTTGTTTTTGCCGAAACTTCATTAAATTTCCCGGCAAAACAAAACAAAACAAAACTATCCCACAAAACACTAATGTATGCATGTATTTATAACATAACTTGACAAGCCCATCTATATTAAAATAAAAAAGAAATCCTAAGAATTAGAAGCGGAATGCATTAAGGGGAAGAAAGCTTGCCTTTGCCTTTGCCTTTGCGTTATCGTAGCTGTACTGGGTTTTGTTTTAGAAGCCCCCAAAAAAAAAAAAAAAACCTATTTTACTGATTGCTGCTCTGCTACTAATGATCCATTATTAGTAATTAAGTTGGAGTTTTTGAAAAGTTCTAGTGTAAAGACAGAGAGGTACAGTGTAGGAGAGACTAGAAAGAGAGAATCCCTGCTTCTCTTCTACTACCTAAAACAAAGACATGCTAGAGTAAAAAAGACATCAGCAGCTGCGGTTAAAGGGCTAAGGGCTGTTAGCAACGGGCCCGGCCTTTGCGAAAGAAAAGAATACTGTTATACTTCTAATTATTTTTTATTTAAAATTAGATTATTCTATTATTATTATTATTATTTTATCAATTTTAACATGTAAATGTAATTTTTAAACAACTAAAAACAAGAAAAAAATTATAAATCATTTATTTTTTCTTTCAAAACTTGTTTTTTCCCTTAAATGATAAAAAATAAACAATTAAAGAATATTTTAGGAAAAAATAAATTTTGAAGAAAAAAACAAAGCATTGATAAGTTTGGGTACATTCTTTAGTTGTTTGAGAAGTTAAAAAACCAACCACATGCAAATATGTATATTTCTACCATTATAATTAATGAAATTTAACCAAAAAAAAAATCCAATTCAAAATTAAATTTAAATAATTTAAATTTTGAAAAAAGTTTATACAATTTAGTCATTATCTTATGTAGTTGTCAGACTAACTAATAAATTAATCATTTAGCTGAATTCAAGTTCAATTGTTACGCTTCTCTTCTCTTCTAATAAAATAAATGTATGATCATTATCAGAATCATTATACTTGTTGATTATTAATGAACTTATTAGATTAACTTATATATTTTTTATGCATTATAAATTAGTTATTCATCAATACAAGTTTAGCGTAGGATGTATTTAGAAACTTTTGTCCAGACGAACGAATATTTTATAGAGAATCCACAAAAAAGATTTCCTTAATAATTAGCCGTTTTGACTCTTTAGAATATTTTGATAAATTTAGCAGATCTTTTCGGATTAGGAGGGCCGAATTTAGGGCATACAACAACGGCTTGATGTTCACGGACCAGCTGTGCCTCTCGTCTCCTACCAAGTCTAGCACTTGGCAGGACAAATCTTCTTGCTTTGGACGTGCTAGGCATCTTACCTTTTCACACCACACAAATTTAGGCCTATCTATAGCAACAAATTCTCAAGTCGAAATCCGTGATTCATAGAATAGGAGAAACAGGAGTTGATTATAAATTAGTTTTCTATTTTTTAAAAAAAAACGAGTTAATTAATCTTTCTTATTTTAAAAATTAATTATTTAATTAAAATTAATCATATTTAATTTAATATTATTTAATTTCAAAAAATATCTTATTTTCTAATCAATTTTTCCACAATATCTGTTTATTATTATTTTTCTTTTTCTATATTTTTTATAAAAAAAACATAAAATAGAGGAAAATGACTAAATAATTGGTTTTTGAACCAAAATAAACTAATTTATTTATTTCTCAAAACCAGAGAGATTAATTTAGAATTTACTCGGTAAACAGAGAATAAAATGAGAAAACACTGAAGAAACAATACCAAGAGGGCAGATTCACTGCTCTCCAATACCAAATACACCCCAAATCTCTCTTTAACAAAAATGCAATTTTCTCAGGATTCATTTTACATAGTTGACTGTTAGGAAAAGCTAAAAACAAATCAGGGCTGTTGTTTTTATGGATCAAAAGGAACCAAAAACCAGCCAACAATATTTCTCTACTTATATTGGACTAGCAACTCAAAGCTAGTGTTAACTTGTTCATATCATACATTGACTTGATGATATGATCATTTCTCTGTGCGAGTGAGAGAACCAGGTTCAAAACCCAGGATTTTCCGTCAATCAACAGTCGGTCTCAAATGTTCTCTTCAAATACCACAGCTTCCTCAGCTAGAGAATGTTTTTCTAGAACTGCCAGAGTCTCTTCCTTAGCACTGAAATTACAAAGACAAAAGTAGCGAAGTTACTACAGCATCACCAAAAAATAGAAAATGAAAGTAAAAGAACCATCCGCATCCACATTACAAAGCTTTACGAAGCTTCATAAATCCAAATCTAGTTTGACAGAAAAGAATTCCATTTTTAAATAATTCTAGTTTGGTATCTGCAGTTACTACTAACATGCACACCCAGAAAGGTATGAGACAAATTTTCTATGAGCAACATTTCAATATGGATTCAATTAAACTCTTCATAAATCCAAATCTAGCTCAGAAAATGGTCTATGATCAGCTCAATGTGTTGTATAAAAATTCACAAATCAAAACTGGTAAAATGCAAATTGCTTGTTTCATTTTTCTTTACAGCAAAAAATTGGCCATTTATGTGACTGAAATATATTCCAATATTGAGATTATCAGTCCAGGACAAATGTCTCGAGGGTTTCATCTGATTCTATAAATCATCTCGATCCAAAGGTTTAATTTACCTTTAGAGCATTGCAACTATGAACCAAGCACATATTGGCAATTTTATTTTCTTTTAAAATTTTGACCTGAAGAGCTTATGACCATCTCTGTTTTCTCTTCTATTCCTGATCCATTTACAGAAGGAAAGCTAATTGTAATTTACCTTCCAGGTCTAAGAAGCTTGTACTTTCCTGGCCTGGTGAGGTCTACAATTGTTGATCCTGCACGATTGGATGGAAGTACACCACCATCATAAACATATGCACAACTTTTCCAGAGGTTCTCAAAATCCTTGATGCAAAGGCTACTGGGCTGCCCACTAAGGTTTGCACTCGTAAGGGCCACTGCTTTTCCCAAACCACGAGCAACTACCCTGATGAAGTTACAATCAGGTACCCGGACTCCCACACTATCCAATCCTGGGTTCAAGGATTTCTCAAGTGCACTCGACTCTCCTGCCAAAAAATCCAGGCATATTATTTTAAAGCATGAAGATGAGACCCTAAAAACTAACATACCAAAAAATTATAACATAGATACAAGGATCTAGGATGACAAAATCATCCGTTTACATGATCATTTAGTTAGTCTATTAAACAAAACCTAATCCTCAAATACATCAATTTTTTCCCGTTCCAAATGTAAGAAGACATGACTACAGACCTCGCTTCAATACAACAGTAACAGGCCCCGGGAGTAGAGAATCAAGTAAGCCATGAGGCAGATATTCAGTGACGGCGAATTGTTGTATGTCTGACACATCACCAACACAGATTGCAAGAGGACTTGTATGCTTACGTCCTTTCATTTCATAAATGCTATTGACTGCTTCCAAAGAACTGCCATAAGAGAAAACGGCAAATTATCAAATATTAAAATGCGATTGCAGGAAGAAGGAAATTAAGACATGCCCAAATATTGTGGAAATGTTCAATGGAAAGGAGACCATGAAATTTACGTATATATCTTTGCATATTAGCATCATCTTTCTCTTTAAAGCTGAGAAAGAAGTATCAATAGTTACAGAAAGTAAAACTATAATAGTGATCTAGAGTATAATACCAAGCTCCATCAGTTCAATAAGAGGCATCTATAGATAGGAAAATCTAGGTTCAGTCATTTCTCACAATCCAACCAATTTATTTATCTTATTAAACAATCAAACATGACACTGCACACCACCATGAGAGCAATAGAGGGAAGTCAAGCTTAAACAGTCCAATTTAAAAAATTTGCAGAAGCAATTAGCTACAAACCCATCGACTATTTCACAGCGAACCCTCCATTCTTCTCAAAGTCTTCTTTACTTTTTAGATTATCTGTTTATTTTGCACAAAAGCATGCCCAGATTCCACACTTTCATGCATCATATTTTTCAAATTCAATTCTTCCAATTAAAAAGTGGGTCCAATGCACAATGAAACAGGAAAAAGAAAATAATACTCATCCTAGTACCAAGAAATAATAATTTAGAGGAATTAAACACAAATTGTAAAACTGAATGAATCAAAATGTCATACCAAGCATCACAAGCAAAACCATACAGTGTATCTGTGGGTACTGCAATCACCTTCCCTGCTTTGAGAGCTTCAATTGCTTCTTGGGCATAAACTTCTGTGGCAGGCCGAACCACCTCCAACTTATTTTCTACGTCAACATGACAATTCTCCATGCTAGAAACAATTTTCTTTGAAAACCCCAACCCCAGCCCTAATTGCCTTATATGGGTAAAAAATGGCACAAACCCAAACTTTGGGACACCTAAATATAAAGCAAATCAGTAGAAAAGGAGTTTCTTAAGTGAAATTGAAATATGAACTAAGGGAAAATAAAAGGCTTAGATAGAGAAGCGATGATTCTGAACATGGCATAGACAAAAAGCAATGGTTCAACCTTTACTTCTGCTTCATTTTCTTAACAACTAAAGAACATTATATTGGAACTTGCATGTCCTTTATAGACAAAAAAGAAAAATACAAAAAAAAAGGAAGAAAATCTATAGGATGTGTGTGTGTGTGTGTGTGTGTGTGTGTGTGTGTGTGTGTGTGTGTGCGAGAGAGAGAAGGAGGGAGGGGGACTGACGATTGTGATTATAGAGCACCTCGGAGGGGAAGGCCAGCTGTGGCAAGTGGCAATTTGACTGCAATTCTTGAAGGAATATTCATGCTAATCCACTTATTGTTCTCTTCGAATACAGTCCGAAATTTCTCCCAAGTTTCCTTCTCTTATGACTAGCTTTCCCAAAGTCATGGACATAGTTGTGAAACCCGGTCTAGACCTCAAGCAAGGAAAAGGACAAGATTATTCTCATTCGATGACCAGGTTAAAAAACAATAACCACGAATTACCATCCAGGTGAAAGAAAAAAATAAATTTCCGCAGGTGGAAAGTGAGGGACCTATCCAACTTAAAATTACCAGTATTCGATTAACAACTGGAATCTATGTGATGCTAAAGAAACATAGAGGACAGAATTGTTAATGAATCCAGAACATTTAACAAGAAATTAGCTATTGTGAACCATACCCAAGCATGTTGGGTTCGACAGGTAAAATCATAACAAACTATATCTTATATATCCAATCGCTAAAAAAAAAAAAAAAAGTTAGGGTTCAGTTCAGCATTGTTGTTCAGTTAACAATAGCTACCAAGAACTAACCAAATGAATTAAGCAACTCCAGTTCAGATTCCAAAACGTTAAGCTAGGTCTAGGTCTCTCTCTTATAAGTTAATTAGTTATCTTTCTAAGCAATTCATAGAAAATCTATGGGGGGAAAAAAATAAAAATAAAAAACTAAAGAAGGCTAAACGAGGATACTTACTTGAGACTTACAAAACACCATTAGGCAACAACCCTCCTCAGTTATTCAAGCAAACAGTCATGCAGATGCAAAAGGTGGCAATATTTTCACTTATACAAAAGAAAAAAATATAAATTATCTATTTTTAGACCACCCACAAGAAGAATAAGAGCTTGGACTGCAAAATCCCTTCCAGTTTCCACCCTCCCTCCAACTTCCCAAGATGGAAACTTATTACTCAAAAGTCAAAAGTCCAAACCCTTTCGAAACTTTATCTATCTCTCTCCAGCTATATGCGTTATAGAAAGCTCAAGAAACAATGGGCCCATTGTCCATGAAGAAAACCAATTAAAGCCCAATGGAGAGGAGAGAAGAGACCCTTGTGAGATTCATCAAATTGATCGACACGGCGGGGGAAATCATGGAATGGATGGTGATGGTGAGTGCTTGAAGGGAGGGTCATCTCAGACTGCGGGGCACAGAATTGTGTATTTTATTTCAGACGTTAATTTTTTTTATAAAATCGTTACTTCCTTTCGAACTTGTGGCCAGTTTAGCGTTCTCTCTCTTTCCTGCTCTGGAAACTAGTTTATAACAGAGTTGCTTTTGGGTTTGGTGTGTTGGAGATCATGGCCCCAAATCCTCTGAAAGGCTTTTTAGCCTCCATTACAACGGTTGTTACTGCAGGTTCTAATTTTCATTTTCTTCAATTCATCATTTTACTTGCAATCAAGGATTTTATTTATCTTTATCTGAGAAGTTATTTTGTTGGTATGGGGATGATCTTCAACATTGGTTGAACTCAATGGGAATGTTTTAATATTCCCAGTCCCAACAGGTCAGTGGCCATATGGGCTATGGCATTGCTTTCATTAGCTGCTACTCTTTTTACATCAAGAAAAGTGGAAGATGAGTAAGCCTAATTGAAAGTTGGGTGACTTGGATTCTGCTTTTCAGGTACTAGTCACCCAATGTGCCAGCTTATGCCATGGTGACAGTAGCATTAGCTCTGCTATTTGATTTTGGTTTGAACTTCATATGACATGTCCTCTCCTCTCCCAACTTCCTCGAGTACAATTTTTGGTAAGTTGCTCTTGCTTATGATCTTGAGGTTGTAGGTATTACTTTTTTGGCTCTCTATGAGTCAGTATATGTTATGTTCAATGATGTTGTCCTCTGTGTTCTACAGATGAATTCAGCAGGGAGCCTTCAGCCTCGTTCCTTCGAGGGAAGGAGATGAGCAGCCCATTGAACCCATATCTGATACCCTGTGGAAATGGCTCTTCTGCCAAATTTGCAGTTTCTAAGGAATTTGTCTTAAGCTTCAAAGTTGCTAGTAACAGGTTCAACTTCATGTCATTGGATTTGAGTATAAAATTATAATTTCTTCTCTCTGTCTTGAAATGAATAGTAAGTGACCTTAACTAGCAAGAACAAGAACGCTTTATGTTGAAACTCAAAGCAATGGACTTCCGCCGTGCGCATATTTGAACTTCAATCAGCATTGCAATCCTAGATCACGTTCAAAACTCGGAATGAGCAAAAATAGCCTGTGTAACACGGTCGATCGAGACACTGTACCTAAAAGGTCACGATCAAACGAGTCGATACTAAAACTTATATCTTTTAATTTTTTTTAAATTAAGTTCTTAATTTAATTTTATTTATCTTTAAATAAGTCATTAATAGTATATAACCATAGGATTTTCTCATTAACATAACGAAAGCATTATTCTAAAATTTCATTATTTATAAAAACATTTCTCACCATAATTAATATTCCTAAATAATCTTATTCCAATATTTATATTTATATTTTAAGTAAAAATTTTCAACATTCATAAATTTAACATCATTACATTTATTATTTTAAAAATAAATATTCATTTAAAGCATGACCTAATCGTTAAGAACACGTAAAGACGAGCACATGAGTCATTGGTCATTGAGAGCAAGCATCAACATCCTCAACATTTGCATCGTTACCTACACCATAAAACGGACGTGAGATACAAATATCCCAATAAGTGTAGCATGTATGATTTTACATTAAAACTTTTTGTACATAAATGTCTTCAAAATTAAGAAGGCCCATTAGAAGATACTAACATCGATTAGTAAGGTCTAACCTCGATAAAAACATGTATAAAAAATAACCTCAACATTTAAGAGTCAAAAATCAATCTTTAAACCTTAACGTTTATGCCTCAATAGGCAACCTCAATCTTTAAACCTTAATGTGTATTCGAAAATGACCTTATTTGTTTGCTTAAAATATTTTTTTTCAATCAACATGTAAAATTTATGTATGCATATGAATGCACCTCAAGACCATCATATCGGATCAATCACATAAAAACACATAGCATTTACGTCTATAGTGTAGGAGAGTTACACTTATTTGATTCGCTTAAGACCATTGTTTATCATAACCTTTCTCTAAAAATCGATACCTCGACTTGATTTAATACCTTGAACATACACACCATATAACATAAGGAATTGAATATTATTATTTTATCCCTAATCATTTAATTTTTTATTAATTCTTATTGTTTTCTTGTAATTTTTTTCAATTAAAAATCCTAATTAAATCATCAACTCTGCTCTAATTTATTCAATTCTCCTTTAATTATATTCATATAATCCAATGTCATTAAATTTTAACTTAACCTTTTCAATTCTTATTTAAATGCATTTAATCATCAAATATTCTCTAAAAATTTAAGATTTTATTACTAAAAATATATTTTTTACGTAATCAATCATAAATCATGAAATTTTCAACTTAATTATGCTAAAATCATATAAAAATAAATAATTAAATAAAATATTTTTCTTATCTTGAATATATAATCATCAAGACTTGAATCTTTTTTCAAATATCTTGGACTTCACTTCTTACTCAATTATATTGTCTCTTTCTCTCTTTTTGAATATTTAATCACCAAGACTTGAATCTTCTTTCAAATACCTTCACTTCTTACTCAATTATATTCTCCCTCTTTCTCTCCCTCTCTCTTTGAAGTACAAGCTTATGAAATGACTTTCCTAAACGAGGAGAATGGAACCTATATATAGGCATGAGAAGTCGAAACATTTGAAAATTTTAAGTGCATGGATTAAAAATAATAAAAGATCACTAATTTTCTTTTTTGTGACCACAATTGGCTTTCTTTCATGACCACTAAATGGCTTTCTTTCATGACCACTTTCTTTTATTTCATAGTCATTAACATTCTTCTTTTATGGTTATTTTCTTTTCCTTCATGGGTCATTCATGTCTCATCTTTAATTTAATATATGTTTCAAAACTTTTGCTCTCCTTTCATAACAACTAACATTTCGTTTAAAAAGCTATTAAAACTTATTATTATTGCATTATTATTTTATTAATTATTGTTATTATTATTATTCTTTAATTCCTAATAGTTTAGTTTAAGATTACAAGAATAGTTTCTATCTATAAAAATATAATATATAATACCTAAATATATATATCTTAAAACTCCATACCTAACCATCACATCCTCTAAACACATAAAAAAATATTAAATTGAATACACAAATGAAGCCCATTTGTATATATACACACGATATATTATCACGTAAAGTTTTTTGGGTATTATAGCTCGATAGAATTTTGGTGAGCTCAACTCATAGAATTCAATATATGTATTTTATAATAGGTGGCTCTTATAGATCACAAGGAATGTAACAAGTGTTGAAGCCATTAATGAGCCAAGCATAAACCGTAGATCAACTACTATCCCTAAGATTTCATATGGATGTCCATCATGTCACCCCTCACAAGTTATGGATTATCTTCGTTGGTTTTTGTGCTCTAGATCATATACCATCCGGGCAACCAACAACTCTTACACTCGAACTTTTAACTACCAAGAGCACAACACATATGTTGGTCACGTTGTTGTGATACATCAAGAAAAATTTGGAAGCCAATCTAATAACATAGACCATATATATGTGTGTGTGTGCGTGTCCGTGTCCGTGTCTCGTGTGTGTGTGTGTCGAGTTACAATGCATCAAGATTACATACGCTGGAAGTCAATCTAGATAAATTCAACTCGAAAAATTACCGATTACACATTTGATAAAGCACATATGTTAGTATAATCTATATGAAACATTTGAAAAGAAAAGGTTAAATTACATCAAAAAACACACCGAACTATTGGTCTAACTCACATATATTTATAACCTTTTAAAAAAATTATTTGATTGTCATGTGTTATTTTTTTACATACATAATCAATCTCTCTCGTAACTTCTCCTATATTAACCGGACATGAGATCCGTGTTATCCTAAAAAATTGAAATTTGGCATTGCTTGTTTTTTCTCCTAAAAAATTTAATAAAACAAAGAAAGAAGTCATAAAATTTAAATATTGAATTGAACGACTCTCTTTTTCTCTCTTAAAAAATACGATTATTCTAAGCACTTACATCATTTTCTCAAAACACCATTAAACTAGGCTAGTCTAGCTAATTTTTTTTTTTGTGCCTTTTTTTTAAACTAAAATGAAATTGATCTTTTCTTCTTAGAAGATGTTTATAGTGGTTGAGGTTTCTTGATGTTTTCGTGTACATCATTTTGTTTAAACAATTTTTGATGAGGAGATAATGGCTTGAGATGTTGTGTTTTTAATTGTTGACAGCTTCGTTTATTTATATGAAATACGGACTTTGTCGTTGATGGGTATAGTTTAACATTGTAAAAACATTTATTTCATGAAAAGGCCTTTGATTATGGGGGTAAAAGTATTGGAATGCTACCTAGTAGCTTATAAATTTGATGGAGCCTCGCACGTGTGGTGTAATATGTTATGTTATTAGGGTTTTACAAAATTAGGGATTCTAAACTTTAGAACTTTTTTTTATTGTGATTAGAACAAATTTTTAGTGTTTGAAGTATTATTGTCCATGATATTGAGTGTTATATATGATTTAGATGCACTTTATAACTCGTTTCATTTGTTATTGTAGAATATTAATAATTTTTAAACTATTTTATGAGGGATCGTTTGTGTATGACCTTAGAATTAAATATCTTAAGGCTACTTAAGTCGTAGATAATACTTTTCTACTAAGGCTTTTGTTTATGATATATATCATATCGATGGGTATCATAATATTTTCTAGATGTATTATAAGTATCCTAATAAGGATATAGATACTTAATTAAAAGTATTAATAGATCATACGTATTTCTCGAAGATTGGAGCAAATATAGTTCCCAATGCTCAAAATATTCTTAAGGGATATGTTGTACATGGAATTAATTGTCTCATCATCGATTTTTATTTTAATGATGATAGTGATGTTAACGATAACATTTAGGATTTTGATTACGGTGACCAACAAAACGAGGAATATGAGGCTTTGTTGTAGATGGAGATATATAATGTGATTGTGAGATTTATAAAAATAATAAGTATGAAAAAAAGGTTTAGTGTTGATAAAACTAAAGATAGGGATGAGAAAGAAAACATTGACGGAGAAGAGCAATTGAGTGAATTTCATGATGACTAAGACAATAAGTATTTGTTTTATAATGAGAATGACTCGAGTTTACGAGGAAGTTGAAAGTTGGTTGGAGAAAAAAAGAAAGAAAATGGACAACAATAAGTCGTTGATGTTATGGGTGGTCGTGGATGGTTGTGAATGGGATGGTGATATGATTCGGACCATCCTAACAATGATGACATTAAAAGTGTAGATGATTCTGATGAGAAAGAAGGTTTTAGAAAACCTAGATATCCTAGCTTCAATGTTGAGACAAATTTAAAACAAAGATTGTGTTTTTACTTAGAAAGAAGTTTTATAACAAATTTGTGTTAATGGGAGCCTTTAAAGAATACTCAATCCATATTGAGTATGAATATAAGTACAAGAAAAATGATAAAGACTTCATCATTGTTGTTTGTAGAAATGAATATGGTTGGAGGATCTATGCCTCACCCAACTCGATTAAATGGACATCATGACGAGATAAAGACATTTATAGATAAACATTTTTTCAGTTCTACCAAAAGATTGAATTACAAATAATGATATTTTGTTTAACATTTGATGGATGTGCTTGCATTTAAGATTTCAAACAAATTCAACTAGAAAAAGAAAGATCAGTAATGGTGTTAATTTTGGATTTCTTTAAGATTTTAATTGAGTAAGGTTACTTTAAAAAAAACCAACTTTCTTTTAGGGTTGTGCGGGGAAGGTTTTAGAGGGTGAAAATGAAGTTAGATGTAATAGATTAAGGGAGAGATTTTTCTATTTTTAGAAGAAAAAGTCCTTGCCATGTGAGATTGAGTGAGTGGTGGGAATGAATTAAAAAAAAAGAAAAAAATGAAGAAAAAGCATGCATACGTGTATGAAGGGTTGGTGCCACATGTTAAGTTTTTAGAATAGCATGCGAAATCACATGCGGTCAACGTCAAAAAACTGATCCGAGAGGTCTATTCTTTATCAAAAAATAATACATGGTAATCAATTTTTTTTTAAAAGGTTATAGGTATATGTGAGGATGACCAATAGTTTAGGGTGATTTCACATAATTTAGCCATAGGAAAATCTTGAAAGTGGGAACACTTAAATTGAAAAAATTGAAAACTTGATGCACTAAATATGTACTAATCAACACTAAAACAAGAAGACGACGCCGTTTTTAGAACGAACTGCAGCGGAAACTTTCCCCCATCCTTTGTGGGAGGTATGCTGGAGGTAGGCAAGCAGCAGCAGCGGTCACAAAGATTGATGAGAGACACAGAGACATAAGCAAATGGCGTTGATAATGATGAGATCGGTAGCAACGATTGGGAGAGAGTTCTTCACACTGAAGCGGCCTTACAGTAGCACCCGGGCATTCTCATCCCTATTAACGTCGCCGCCGTCCAAGGCCGTCGTCTACGAGCAGTTGGGACCCCCTGACTCCGTGACAAGGTATGTATATATGCATGTACAGTATAATTATTTTAATGATGAATGCTAAGTAGTGGGTGGGTGCAGAGTGATAAAGATGGAAGGAGTGGAAGTGAAAGATAACGATGTTTGCGTTAAAATGATGGCAGCTCCGATCAATCCCTCTGATATAAATCGCATTGAAGGAGTATACCCAGTGAGGCCACCTTTGCCTGCAGTCGGTGGATATGAGGGTGTTGGAGAGGTGTTTTCTGTGGGCGCTGCAGTTAAACACATCTCTCCTGGCGATTGGGTCATTCCATCTCCACCCTCTTTTGGTACCCACGGAACCCCGTAGATAGATAGATAGATGTCTTCATTCTTCTTGTTATTGTTGTTGTTATATGATATATATATTTTTTTCATCACTATAGGAACGTGGCAGGCTTACATTGTTAAAGAGGAGAGTGTTTGGCACAAAATCAGTAAGGATTCACCGATGGAATATGCTGCTACTATTACTGTTAATCCTTTGACTGCTTTAAGAATGCTTCAAGACTTTGTCGCTCTAAATTCAGGTACTGTCTCCATTCCATATCTATTTTTCCCATTAAACTTAAATTTCATTTTTTGTTTCTTTTTAATTTTTTTATTATAAAAAAATTGCAGGAGATTGTATTGTGCAAAATGGGGCTACAAGCATTGTAGGGCAGTGTATCATCCAGCTTGCTCGACTTCGGGGCATCCATAGCATCAATATAATAAGGGATAGGTTTTGATTCACTTTGAATCCTTTAGTGTTACTTTTCTAGTTTGCTTAAGCATTGCGTGTGCGTGTATGTGTGTGCACTTTCTATGCCATACCTACATTTGTGTTCAATTTCTGTTGTTGCATTTGCTTGGTGAAGTAGATGTGCTTCATCTTCCATTAGAGTGATGAATAAGATTAGGTAAAATGAATTCCAGATTGGCATTTTTTTTAACTATTGCCAAGGTGAAATTCATTCGGACTTGTTGTACTGAAAGGCCAAAAAAGGTTTTATGTCCCCCTTTTTAGGTGAGCTACTAGGTACCCTCAACGGCTTTGCCTAAGTGAAGCATGGATATCCATTCCTACTGGACTTAATAGATAAGTATTATGTAAAGTTGAAGCCCATATCTGTACAAATATTATAAACATCATTTTTTCTATTTTATTTCATATAATTACGAGCTTCTTGGAACTATTTATAACTTTCGATGATCAATAAAATAGTTTTTTTGAGTTTTATTGATTGGTTGAGAGTTGGGATGATTTGGTGCCTGTTTGATATTGGTGTGCTTTTAACACACGCTTGCTTTTACTTGTTTTTGATCAAAAAGTAGTGTTTGGTCAAGGTCTACTTTGCTTTGAAAGCAAGGCACATAATAATACCTAAGAAGGAAACTGCTTTGCTTTCGAATTTTATTGTTGGGTCTGCTATTTTCGTAAGTAAAAATTTAACTTTTAAAAAACAAAGCAGGCAGTTACCAACCAGTGCTTTTACTAAGGCTACTTTCAACACACAACACAGCGCTGCAATACCATAACATAGCATCCTTAAACAGTTTTTCCTTTGTTTCCTTCAAAGAAACCAAGTTTTCAAGGGATGACCAAAATATGTTCTGCCTTTTGGAACTCCCATCTGTATCACTTAGGGCACATTTACTTGGATTATGGAGGAGGTGTGGCTTTATCATGATTTACATAACAAATTATAATGAAGTTTTAATGTGGTAAAGACAAATTATGCCTATAAAGCAAGGGAGTTCTCTATGGTTAAGCACCGAGTTTTAAAGCTGTGATGTGAGATGAAAGGTCTATTTGGTGATTTCGTATCTTCTGAGTTTTTTTTTAATGCAATTTCCTGCCAACTTACCTTCATTTACTATTTTCTATCAGGGTTGGGTCAGATGAAGCCAAGGAAATGTTGAAAAGACTAGGAGCTGATGAAGTGTTTACTGAGAGCCAACTGGAAGTGAAGAATATTAAGGGTCTTCTGGTACCATCATCATCTATGGACTCATTATGTTTGATAATTTACTAAATGAAGTGGGAGGTGTTTATTCCTTCTCACATGTTATTGGTGTCATTAAAGTCCACCCCTCACCCTTCTCAATGCTAATTTATTTGTTAAATATGGAGCAAATCCATACTAAGGTATGCCATTTTTTTTCCTTCTCATTGACATACCAGACTAATTTGCCTGAACCTGCTTTGGGATTCAACTGCGTTGGTGGCAATTCAGCTTCTTTGCTTCTCAAATTCTTGAGGTGTGGGCATGCAGTGACAAATTCTCAAGAAACTTTGCCTTTGTTTTCTTTTAGTTTAACATGCACTTATCTTTTTATTATTATTATTTCTTCATTGTGAAAACATATATACCATGCTAATAAACTCTTGTATTCAGGCATGGCGGAACAATGGTAACATATGGCGGAATGTCAAAAAAACCCATTACAGTATCTACATCATCTTTCATTTTCAAGGTAAGTCATGTATTCTCTTTCAAGTCAATGTGTGATAATGTGGTGGTCGTTGTTGAAATTCAGAAATTGCATTTTTATAAGATGGGTAAATGACAATAACCCCTTTAAGGTATCATGAAATTACATAGACTGTCCAAAAGTTTGAAGATATGACAAAAATCCTCTCTAAGTTCAAGAATTATTTTCTTTGTTTTTTTAGGGGGTAAAAATTGGATGACAGACAACATATAGATCTTATGACTTATTTTTGTGGACTTGAGTTATGAAAAAAGAAAATGCAGAGTTTTAACCCCATGGTTCAATTTTTCTATTGCTGTTTCTTTCTCTTTTACCTTTTTGCTATTATTTCAGATAATTGTTCACAGCTCTAATCCAAGGCTTTTAACCAGCTCTTAAACCTCACGTTAACCCTTAATCCTAAACAAATCCTAACAATCCCAATTTCATACACCATAACTATCCTAATTTTCAACAAAAGCACTGAAGGCTCAATGTGCTTAAAGCTCCTACACACTTTGTGGGATGGATGGAATAATAAAGAATTGCTTGATGTTATCTTTACTCGAATATCCTTTTTTTTTTTACTTGTAGAATATATTGGGAGATGGTCAAGATTGACCTGAGCCTCCAAGCATGTACATTAAGACAGAATTCAAGTTGCTGTTGAAATTGTCTTATAATAAAATAATAATAAGATGAGAACAACAACATCAACCATAACGAACCATGAGATATATGGTTTGCTTGTCAACTAGGTATGTAAATAAAGAATCATCATTAAATGGGAATTAGAAATGAATTGGAATAAAAATCAATTAGAATAAAAATGCCATAAATGTGACCAGTATATATAATTAGGAATGCGTAAAGTTATACCATAATCAACCAGTTATTGAGCTGGTGTTATGGTGGTAGTAGTTATGGTGATGATGATATTCAGCTGGTAGCTATGTGATGGAAGCAGCAGCAGCAACAATGATGGCTTGATGGTTAGAGTGGGAGGTGGTATAGGACCATAGGTTCCAACATATACTCCCATTTTGATTTATCTTTTTTATTAGGATCCCATTTGCTTTTATGATTGAGCTTGATCCCTATCTATTTCCATTGGTCTTTCATGAGGGGTAAAAAAAAAAGGAACACTAAACAGGACTGGGGATCTGTTACCATACTATATCTCTGGTAGCACAAGTAAAGATAAAGAATGAAACAAAAATATAATTTAATGCAATCCGTTGTAAACTTGTTGGTCACTTATTTGTATTTTCATCCCTCAAACCTGTTCTACAATCATCGTCATTAATATATGATGTCCAAGTATGATAGTGGTTCCTTCTAAGCCCATAAGCAATGCTTCTGTTTATAATCTCCTGCTTGCAACTATTAGCTCTTTATTTTATGTTGTCTGCAGGATCTTTCCTTGAGGGGATTCTGGCTGCAGAAATTGATGAATTCTGATAAAGCAAATGAATGCAGAAATATGATTGACTATCTTCTTTCCCTGGCACGAGAAGGGAAGTTGAAATATGAGTGCGTTTACCTCGTGCAAATCTTGCCACTTTTTCAGTCCCCATGGAACTACTTCTGTGGTGCCAACTGTTAATTTTTCTAAAACCTGGGTGTTGTACTTCTTTGCAGGACGGAGTTGGTTCCTTTTGACAATTTTCACACTGCATTGGATAAAGCACTTGGAAAACTGGGGAGCCAACCTAAACAAGTACTGAAATTCTAAGCCCTAAAGATCCAAATCGTTTGCTTGGGTCTTCCTGTTCAGTACCTGTTGTATTTATTATAGGAAACACATGCTGAATTATACTCTCTTGGTCCATATTGTAAGTACCGTACAGTGATATCTGAATTAGATTTTCTAGGCAAACCATGCTTATAGTAATTTTTGGTATTCTACCCAAAAGATAACTTCGGCACTCCCATTCTGGGATATTTCACTGCATGTTGCAAACTGTTTTCAGTGACTTGTCTAAAGTTTGTTGCAGCTAAGTGGATTAAATTCATGCAATTCAACCTGTTGGCAGTACTGTAAGGCTTATGGTTGATACAGCTGTTAGTTTTGACAACAACTAAAGAGAGCAACACATAAGACCATGTCCGTCTACTGGGGTGCTTTGGTTGGCCATGTTGTACATCCATCTGCTAGTGACTATTTTGCTCCATCGTACTTTAACAGCAAAAATCTTGCAAATATTGATGCTGGTATTTTTTTTTTCTTTGGTATATTACTCAAGCAAACATTTTTTGTTTCTTTGACAAGACATTGATGGTAGGATGGTAATGAATCAAGGTCGGGATGATATATATATATATATACCGCATACATCATATTAATATCTTTCAATATAAAATTTAATGTTATTATTAATATATCCTCATTGTTTACTCTATGTTAAAAAGATCTTAAAATATCAGGTTGGGTACGAGTCGTATACTGAGATGGATGAGCTTCTTCATTTAGCCTTCGTGAAGCTGGATTGGGTTTTCACTTGACCTTTGGAGGATGCAATAAGCCCTGAAGGCCCTGCAGTACCATCTTGGGCCAATCCTTGGACAGCCATGCCTAGAACCCCAACAGGTCAAAACGCCCCGTTTTACCCTTAGGGCGTGCGTTAAGTTTGTGCAGGGCCTGCAGCATATTCCTCATTTCCTCACTGCGGCGCAGCAAATCAGGACTCCCCCAATGTGGCGGCCATTCGCGGCCCTCCTGGCCCCGGCCCATCCCATCCCACCACTCTCGTCTAAGACCCATGAGCACCCGACAACCCGCCCCTCCTTAGTTTAAGAGTCCATTCTGTGGTTAACGCTTGGTCAACCGTGCCCAGAATTTCTACATGTCAAGGCGGCTGCTTTGATCCCTAGGGTGTGCGGTAACCACAAGGAAATTTCGTACGCAATAAACAAATAAAATTAACAAACTAACTCATGACTCTCGTTAATTAATTTACCATTAAAGGAAGTTTGGGTGTGGCAGCAGTAAATTTCCTCGCACAAACATAACCTTTTGTGGCACGCCACGTTTGAAAAGCGATCCAACAAATACATCTCATTCGGGAACTTTTTAAGGCCCATAGCCTTCGCTTTTTAGGAGTGGCTGTATTCAATTTGGTTGGAGCACGGTGGAATCTTGCTCCTCACAAACTTATTAAAACGCAAATGGTATACAATTTTTTAGTCCCTGTATTTCGATTGAATTGGTAACTTAGTGCTCCATACTTGCAAACATATAATTTAATCCATCAATTTCCTTTGATTAATTCCTTTTGATTTTTCTCCAGGGTTTCAAAATTATAGATGATGACAAGGTTTCTATCTTTCTTCCATCAGGTTCCGGATAGATTTGAGGATTTCCATAAATAAAAATATATTTTTTATATAATTACAATGAAAGTTAATAAACAATGAAAAAAATAATAATAATTCGATGTAAATGTTAAATCTTACAATATGTAGTTAAATATAAAAAATAAAAAGATAAACTCAACAATAAATTTATTTTAAAATATTAAATCTTTAAAAATATATTTGACGAAAGACAAAAAATATTAAATAAATATGTATTTAGAATTTGGTTGCTTATGAGATAAAAAATATATTCTATATTTTTATTTAATTAATGTATCTAAAACAAAATCCTTTTTTTGGATCCGGTTTTATTTAGTTTTCATTAGGATAATTTTTTTTAATCTATATTCAAGTGGTTAGATGGTATATTTGGGATTAAAAAAGAATTGCATGTTTTAAGAAGACGATGATCAACAAGAATTGAGGGATTAAATCATAGGTTTTGAAACATAAGTGACTAAGCTATAATTAAGTCGAAGCACAGTGACTTAGCTATATACGATAGGAACTGAAAGATTAATTTAATAAAAAAACAAACGGCAGTATAAAGACATATGATTAAAATAAAAAATTAAAAAAAAAAAGAAAGAAAAAAAAAGGAGGGGAGAGAGAAAGGTCTAAGCAATTGACTCGCTCTTCTTTTATATTCAAGAGTCACAGATCTAAATATTCAGTAATAATTCTGATTTTGTAACCCTAGGCAATTACTACCACAATACAATTAGAGACTGAGGAAGGGAGATAGATACAGAGATCTGTACTGGTAGTGGTCGCTGAGTCTCTCTTTCCGGTAAGTGTCAGACCTTCTGTAATTTTCATTTATTTTTTAAGATCAATCATTGTTTCTCGTATTGAATTGATTTTCCTCTTCTGCTTTTCTTTGCTGCTTTGAAAGTAATTTGTTTTTGGATTCGTTATTATCTATTATTGCTTCTTTTTTTTCCTTTTTTTTTTTGTTTTAGCTTTGGCGAAGTTAGCTAAGGAGTAATAAAATTCTTTGGATCCGTCAGTTTTAATTTTACGTTCCTATTTCTTATACTGCTTTAACTTTCTTTTCTTTTTTTTTTCGCTCTTAATTTTTCTTAGTGATTATCATTTTCAGGTCAAAGGGGAGAATTGATTGAATTCACAAAGGTTTAGGTACCTTTGTTATCGCAATTGATCTTTCTCGATGGGTAAAGGAGGGGAAGACTATGGTAAAAGAGAAAAAATCGGTACCGAATCTCAAAACCAAGGCAATGTCTTCCCTGCATGGGCTAAGGATGTTAAGGAATGTGAGAAGAAGTATGAAGTAAATCGTGAATTTGGGTTATCAACTGGGGATGTTGAGAAGAGGCTAAAGATCTATGGCTACAATGAATTAGAGAAACATGAGGGTGTTTCAATTTTTAAACTGATATTGGATCAATTTAATGACACGCTAGTTAGGATTTTGTTAGCTGCTGCGATTATATCTTTTGTCTTGGCTTGGTATGATGGTGAAGAAGGAGGGGAGATGGAGATTACTGCCTTTGTGGAGCCGTTGGTGATTTTCTTGATCTTGATTGTCAATGCCATTGTTGGGGTTTGGCAGGAAAGTAATGCAGAGAAAGCATTGGAGGCTTTGAAGGAAATCCAATCGGAGCACGCCACTGTTATAAGAGATGGAAAGAAGTTCTCCAGCTTACCTGCAAAGGAACTTGTTCCAGGGGATATTGTGGAGCTGAGAGTGGGTGATAAGGTGCCTGCTGATATGAGGGTTTTGAATTTGATTAGCTCCACGCTTAGGGTTGAGCAAGGTTCTTTGACAGGAGAGAGTGAGGCGGTGAACAAGACTGTTAAGGCTGTTGCAGAAAATACCGATATTCAAGGGAAAAAATGTATGGTTTTTGCAGGAACAACAGTAGTGAATGGGAACTGTATATGCTTAGTTACAGAGACGGGAATGAATACTGAGATTGGGAAGGTGCATTCCCAGATTCATGAAGCTTCACAGAATGAGGAAGATACCCCATTGAAGAAGAAATTAAATGAGTTCGGAGAAGTTCTAACCATGTTAATCGGAATTATTTGTGCCTTGGTTTGGCTTATTAATGTGAAGTACTTTCTCACTTGGGAATATGTAGATGGTTGGCCAAAGAATTTTAAATTCTCATTTGAGAAGTGCACGTATTACTTTGAGATTGCTGTCGCTTTGGCAGTGGCTGCTATACCAGAAGGGTTGCCAGCAGTCATCACTACATGTTTGGCACTTGGAACTCGAAAGATGGCTCAAAAGAATGCACTTGTTAGAAAGTTGCCTAGTGTTGAGACTCTTGGTTGCACGACTGTCATCTGTTCTGATAAAACTGGTACTCTAACTACCAATCAGATGGCTGTATCAAAGCTTGTGGCTATGGGGTCTAGGGTTGGCACTCTTCGATCCTTCAATGTGGAAGGGACTACTTATAGCCCTTCTGATGGAAAAATAGAAGATTGGCCAGTGGGTCGACTGGATTATAACCTTCAGATGATTGCTAAGATTGCGGCAGTTTGCAATGATGCTGGCGTGGAGCAATCTGGGAATCATTATGTCGCTGGTGGACTGCCTACAGAGGCTGCATTAAAGGTCACCTTCAAAAATTGGATTTTTTTTTCTCAGTTAATATAATGTAGTGAATTTGTGTATAAACAGAGTTTTGCAGAAGGCAGTGCCAACAAAGGCACAAACAGCATGATTTGTGATTTTGAATTTGGATGTTGTCCCTGTAGTCTCTCTCTCTCTCTCTCATTGTGTGTGTGTTCTTGCTTTTGTATGTATTATTAGTCACATGTATTTTCTTGCAACTGTATATATGTGGATTTGTTAGTATGATTCAGGGCTGAGGCTTGTTTGTCTGTGAAAGATATAAGGTTGCTTTATGATTAAAAATTATATGGCACAAGGACTCGGTTAATATGCAAGGTTTATGGGATACAGATTCCTTACTGGCTTTTTTTCGTTCTTTTCCATGCTAGGTTATGGTTGAAAAAATGGGATTTCCTGGAGGGCTCAATAATGAATCATCTTCTGGTCATGAGGATGTTCTAGGTATATTACAGCATCTTGTTTTATTTCTCTTCGCTTTTTTTTAGTAGCTCTAACATGTATCTTTTGGTCCTATATTCTTGTGCCTTGTAAGCTTGCTGTCGACTATGGAATAAAATGGAACAGCGGATTGCAACCCTTGAGTTTGACCGTGATAGAAAATCCATGGGGGTTATTGTGAATTCCAGCTCTGGCAAAAAATCACTACTAGTGAAGGTTCATTCTTCCCTCTTATTGTCTTGTAGGTTCAGCCTTTTGCAGTTAAATTGTTTTGTTCTTTTGCAGCTAATATCAACTATGGTTGGTAATGTGGATCACGAAAAAAAAAATTACAATCAACAGATATGCTTAGTCATGAATATGCATAAAAAGTTGGTGTTGAGTCTGAATATCATTGAGATGATTTAAGCAGATTCCTGATTTGTTTCTCCTTCTAAAACGCCTTTCACCCTGCATACATCATGCATAGTAGACTAATGTGTATGGTTCATCAAACAATCACATCAAGTTGTATCATTGATTAGCATGAACCTAATTCCCAATCCTTGTTTAATAGAGTTAAGGAAAAATTATCATCACAAGGATTAACATGCGGTCTGCCGTTTACCTTTTGTTTTCGTCAGATTATGTGAAACAGTCCTTGAGGTTTTTTTTTTTTTTTTTTTTTTTTTTTTTTTTTTTGGTCTTTTTGCACCTTGTTCCCCCATTTTCAAAGTGACACTTAAGCATCCAGTGAAACTGTTAGTCAAGGGTTGAATATAAAATTTAGCCTTGACAACCTTATTATGCTCTCTTACACAAAGATTGCAGTCATCATTCTCAAATACCATCCTACCTTCTGTTTGGCTCACCAGCTGATTTCCATGCAGCATCCTCTTTTTTCAAATTCCATAAGCCTTGAAGTTTTGGTCATGAAGTTTGTTTGTTAACAGTTTGTTGTGGACAACCACATTGATGTGCTTGACTCAAACAGGCACCCTAGAATAACTAAGTTCATGGTTTAGTAAGCTGATTGGAAAGAAAATGGTTAAAAAAAAAATGAAGCAATTACCTTTACCAAAAAGGAAGGGTTCGAACATGCTTCCCCCTCCCATAGGCCATACTCAACCTGTTTTTTTATATCTTCAACTTTTTATTTATTTATTTATTTTTTTAACTTCTGTTCTTCTCAATTTTATTTTGAAGTTCACTTTATTTTATTGTTGTCATTTTTAGGATTCTGTTCTGTCATTAGTGATTAACATTTTCCAGTGGAGGTTGAAACCCTTTAATCAGTCTTGCAAATCTATATATTTTCATTTTGCTTTTTATTTGACCTTGTAGAATCCATGAATGAACTAAAGGTTAAATGAACCTTAAAAATAATTACCATACATTGAAGTGAATTGGATATAACAAACGCACTTGTGAGAGTGAAAATAAGTAAGTAAAAATTGGGTCTTTCATTGCTTGGGTCAGATGTTCTGCAAAATTTGCCAACTGGATGCTTTGAAAGAGGAACAGGCATGATCAAAGAGTACTTTTGTTACTTTTTGTTCTTTGAATTGAAAATTGTACATCGGAACTGAGTTGATGGACATCTTCTGCAAGAACCAGAAGTAAACTATATTTTCTTTTAATTTTAGGAGCCAGTCCTTTCTGTTTTCAGTGATTCTTTTCTCAGAATAACATTCTAAGTGAATAAATAAGTAAATTCGTATAGAAATATGCTGAGTTTTCTTTGTTAATGTTTACTTTCCCACTGGAAAATTGTTACCAACAACATGTAGCCTGGCTGAATATCTTGGGTTTGTGAAATTTTCTTAAAATTATGTCCTCTGTTTAACTTTCTGGTTAAAGTTTGATATGGATGACTACAGGTTATTTTAAGCTTCTGCATGTCTTCTTCTTTTGTCATGTATATGGACTTAAGGTTAATGCTCTGCTTAAATGTTGTAGGGCGCGGTAGAAAACGTATTGGATAGAAGCACATCTATTCAGTTGCTTGATGGCTCTGTTGTAGCATTGGATCAGTATTCGAAGGATCTTATATTACAAAGCCTTCATGAAATGTCAACAAATGCATTACGTTGTCTAGGTTTCGCATACAAAGAGGACCTTTCAGAGTTTGCAACATATAGTGGCGATGAAGACCACCCAGCTCATCAGCTTTTACTCGAGCCTCGTAATTATCCTTCAATTGAGAGCAATCTCACTTTTGTTGGCTTAGCTGGGCTCTGGGTGAGTTGGTTCAGCAATCTTCTGTTTTCTGGTATATTTTTTGGCTTTCACAACCATTATTAAAATTCATTATTTGTTCCAAATTGTGAAAGGATCCTCCTCGGAAAGAAGTTCGTCAAGCCATTGAGGACTGCAAAGCAGCTGGAATCCGTGTTATGGTCATTACAGGAGACCACAAGAATACAGCAGAAGCCATTTGTCGTGAAATAGGTGTATTTGGACCTGATGATGATATCAGTTCTAAAAGCTTGACTGGCAGAGATTTTATGGACCATCATGATCAGAAAACTCATTTAAGACAAAGTGGAGGGCTGTTGTTCTCCAGGGCTGAACCAAGGCATAAGCAAGAAATTGTAAGGCTGCTTAAAGAGGATGGTGAAGTTGTTGCTATGACTGGAGATGGAGTAAATGATGCACCTGCCTTAAAGTTGGCTGATATTGGCATTGCAATGGGCATTGCTGGGACAGAGGTCAGTTTATCGTAGTTTGGTGGATATACATTATGTGCAATTTATGCAGTTAATGGGTGCATGTGTCTGCTTGTATGTGAAAGCATATTGGCCAACTTCTTGTGCTGTAAATAAATCCCATGGTTTGTTCTCTTTGTTGCTTGCTTTGCAAGTGTGTAATCAGATATCATGTGGCTAGGCCATTTTAATCGACTTTATTAGTCCATGCCACTCCGAGCTTCATTTTGTTTACTGACATTAGCTGCTCCATTTAATATTTAAAATTCTTATACCAAATACTCATTTTCAGGTTGCCAAGGAAGCCTCTGACATGGTGTTAGCAGATGATAATTTTAGCACTATTGTTGCTGCTGTTGGTGAAGGCAGGTCCATTTATAACAACATGAAGGCTTTTATCAGGTTTGATATTTTTTTGTTTAGGCAAATTTACGTCCAGTGGTCTTTAAGATAATTTGCATATATTGATAGACTGGAGCACAATTGACACAGGACAGTTAAAGGGCTGTTCTGGTCCTTTTTTAGGTGCGGTGGATAGTGTTTTGAGGGGTTTGAGGTTAAGTTTTTATGGTTAAATATGGTGGGTTTGTTTGCTGGAAACTATAGATAGATTTAGCCTAGATTTCTTGGAGACATCGAAGTAAGAAAACCTAAGCCTCATACCTAGGTTCCGTACATGTCTTACCTAAGGAGATTGTATCAAACGATTGCGAAGCATATAGCTGGAAAAAATTATACATAAACTCTGATTCTCTAGTGAAAGATTACGGACCTTTTGTAGAGTTCCTAGTACTCCAAGTTCAACAAAGACTTAGATTCCTATATAAGAAGTGCTACTTTTTCTATATAAACCTACTTAATTAAGGGCTAACAAGACACAAACATAAAATCAAAACCCAGGCCCTGAAAACTTTTAGAAGATCTGGAAATTACAAAAATTATACCCTTTCTGTGAAAATCACACAAACATATGATTATTCTGCTTCTTTTGTTGTCTTCATGTTCTCTCCTGATTGGTATTGAAGTTGCAAGAAACACACCCTCCACTCTTTTTTACTGTAGGTAGCAGATTCATGGATATTCTGATGTTTTTCAATCCAGGTTGCCCCTCCTGGATTGCAGTACATCCACGTGCTGGATTATCAGGATCCGTGAACTAGATCGTTCACAATCCAAATTAATGTAATCAAACCCTTAATTCATCAAAATTGTGAACTCCACTCCTGAATCTTGTTTTAAGACCCAAACGTTGCACGTTTTTTTAACTATGCTTTTAACTAGTAGATTGAGGCCACTCCCTTGAACTTGATATCAACAACCTTGTCCATAAGTGGAAACAGTGAGGAAAGTGTGGTGCTTTTCTCCACAATGGCAAGTTAGTCAATTTGATTAACTCGTAAAATTTGTTCATCTCTGGCTTGATTATCCATAATGTGGTGCTCTCATAATTGTCACTGTCTTTGGCATATCTGTAATGTTCTCTTTGACCTCTTTCAGTCTCTCATGTCAAGCTGAGTAGCAATTAATGCAGAAACAATTAATTGGAAAGTAATAGTCATGTTTCTAATCCTAATCTCCTGGTCTGCAAAAAGGAAATTAGGTCTTATATTAGGAGATCTACAGCCAATCCCTATTCCACCACCCTGAGGAAACCTTTGCTCGCCTCTGTTATCTTTTGGAACATGGGGGGTCCCATCAACTTGATCTGACCTCAGAACAAGTAATTTTGTTGATATCGGCTTAGGAACATACACTTTGAATTTTACATATGGGGTTTCATGGGCTTAGCCATCAGCCTCCACCATGTATAAATCATATCATGAGAACTGTTGGTCCCCACCAAGTTGGTCCTCACAAATTGTTAGCTTCTGACTAACAAACATTTATGTGATCAGTAGAAAAATCGATTCTCCGTCTTGGTGGATCTGACGTTGGTGGTTGATACAAATCATTAACCTGCCAGAAGGTTAGGTGTTAAGGCCTAAGGATGCAAAAAAATGGTTTGATGGGTGAAGTGTTACGGGGTGTGGTAGGTATGTAAAAATGATGTGTAATAGTTGGGGCTCAATAAATTTCAAATCAAAGTTCAAATTATATATATGATAAATAATGTGTTTTGATGGGACCCAATGGACATGCGTTAGAAAAAGCAAGAGAAAATCAATGATAATTTTGAATAAAAAATAAATTGGCCCCCCTTAACACCCCCCTTCCCCCCACACCAAAAGTACCAAACGAGGTTAAGGAGGTTTCCATGTTAAGGGTTTAACCATGAAACCCCCTTTAATCTAAAACTAAACACAACCTTAATAAATTCAAGTTTCAAACTCTGCTAGACATGGTAAATACTGCACCGTTCCTTAATCATTACTCATAATGAGTCAAGTGCAACCGTAGAAATGTCCCTCAGCTTCTAAGTTCTGTGCATTTTTTATGCTGACTAGTTCTGTCAATTACCAAATAGGGCATCTTTTTATACAAAACTCTGCGTACTGTCATTATTATGAAGTATTGAACCATCCTTCTTGCCCTTGGTTAATCTTGGTCGTGTTGCTTTGGTTGGTGATCCACCTTAATAGGATACTGCCTTTTAGTGCCTGTGCTGTTAGAGTGATAAAAAAAAGTTACTTTGTTGAGAACTTTAAGGTGATTTATATAGAATTCTTTTGTGCATTTCGAATTTAGAACCTTTGTTGCAGAAAATTTGGTTGCCTGAAATGGGTTGTAACTGTATTTATGCTTGAGTTCTCAAATTGATATGCCCAGACAACATGGGAACTTGGTTCAAGCAGTGTCCATGTTGCTTGTGTTAAGGATCACCTAATGGATTGCACATGATGTTTTATTCATGTGTGCAGATTCTGATGCGGGCCTATGTATTGTGCATACATTTATCATTTGTTAAATCATCATATTTTTGTATGAATTGATAATCTGAGATTTGTGTTCTGGTGATGTCAAAAGCTTGCATCATCGGTGACTTGTACCTGTCATACATTCTTAATCTCTTGCAATGAAAATACTGGTGAAGATTTTTCTGACTTGAGGATCTACATTAACAGTCTTCCTCCTATTTTGGGATTGTATGTTTATTCAATTCAAAGCAACTTTTTTCTTTATTACCGTGAAGTAACTTTTCTTTTTGTTTTCTCCCCCAATTATAAATACAGGTACATGATCTCCTCAAATATTGGTGAGGTTGCCTCTATATTTTTTACTGCTGCTTTGGGTATTCCAGAGGGAATGATCCCTGTCCAGCTTCTTTGGGTTAATCTGGTCACTGATGGACCCCCAGCAACAGCATTAGGATTCAATCCACCAGATGGAGATGTAATGAAAAAGCCTCCTAGAAAGAGTGATGACTCCTTAATTAGTGTTTGGATTCTATTTCGCTACCTGGTACAGAAACTGTTTTTTCCTCAATCAGATAACTTCTCTATTCTTGCTCTTTAGTTAGTTCGGATGTTGGAGAACTTGTTAACCTTAATGTGTCCTCGATGTAGGTGATTGGACTCTATGTTGGGATCGCAACAGTTGGTGTATTTATCATATGGTACACACATCACACATTCATGGGTATTGACCTTAGTGGAGATGGCCATAGTCTTGTCACCTACTCTCAGCTCGCTAACTGGGGTCAGTGTGGATCTTGGAAGGATTTTTCTGTGTCACCATTCACAGCTGGGCCTCAAGTGTTCAACTTTGATGCAAATCCATGTGAATACTTCCGATCTGGCAAAATCAAGGCCTCGACTCTCTCTCTTTCCGTATTGGTTGCCATAGAGATGTTCAATTCCCTCAATGCCCTATCTGAGGACTGCAGCCTCGTGAGGATGCCCCCATGGGTCAATCCGTGGCTCCTTCTAGCCATGTCTATTTCATTTGCTTTGCACTTTCTGATCCTCTACGTACCTTTCCTAGCTCAAGTATTTGGGATCGTTCCGCTCAGCCTGAATGAATGGCTTTTGGTATTGGCTGTGGCTTTGCCAGTTATTCTAATTGACGAGGTTCTCAAGTTTGTTGGGAGGTGTACAAGCGGGCTGCGACATTCTGGTTCAAGGAGACCTTCAAAACACAAGGCAGAGTGAGTATTAACTTAACTAAAGGGTTTGATCGATCTTTAGTTGGACTGCCAATCTTGGACCATATTACCTTTAACCCTCCACTTTTCAATATGTGGGTTGCTAAGGACCTTGAAGACTACATTAGATTTTTATTAGGCAGAATCGTATTACTAAAAACACAGTATTATTCTGCAATTTAACGGTGGCCCAAATTTGCCAATTTTTTATTCTCTGAAATTATTAAACTTGCAGATGTTTCATTTTTGTAGGCCCAAGAAACCCATATAAACAGCCACAAGGGTGGCATGCCTGCCAATAGCAAGTGAAATGTTATTTTATGGGGAAAACGAAAGTCAAAGTCAGGACAATTAAATGTGTCGTGGCAAGATTGATAAAATACCCATATCATAATGTAACAAAAGAAACGAGCAAACTTTTGTATATTACATTTTATTAGAAATCCTTCTTGTTTCCTTGATCATCCCCTCACAAATTGGTGTTTGAAAACAAAAGAGAGATTAATTGAAAAATTGATCAAATCTAAAGATTTAGTACTTAACTGGTCGATAGGCTGTGCTACACCACGGGATTGGTAAAGGTATGTAAAGGTATTAGAATGTTCCATTTGATATATAATAAATTAAGTTTGGTTATTTTTTAGTATTGATGTTGACTATGTAAATAATGTTTTTTTTTGGGTCATTTTGCAATAAAGAAGGCAGTGTTTTATGGTTTGTAACAATAATAAACTCAACAAAATCACAAACATGAATTAAAAGGAGCATTGAAGCTAAATAAACTAATAAATTTTTTCATAATAATACTAAAATCCACAACCAATTGTGCATCACTAACCACGTGATAAAAACCTCCTCATAAACAGAGTATTAATGCTTGTTGTAGATAACGACTTCATCGTAGTGATAAAATAACGATTGCAATAACCGATGTTGTGAATATATAAGCAATTGTTGATAAATTCTTAATAAGTAATAACATCTCTAATAGTTTAATATCATACAATAATAATTGAATTTATTACAAAAAATAGATAATAGCAATTCTAATGCATTAATATCATTAAAAAAAAATTATAAAATACACTAAAATTTCAATATACACCTTAATATTAATTTCTAAAAATATCGTCGTGGAAAATCATAATAACAGCTTATCGTTTTATTGTTGATGTTATGATCCTTTTCTATCGAAATTATAATCATAATCATATTGTCCTCTTAAATCCAATTGCTTAAACAATAAAATAGTCATATATGATCTATTTTTTAAAAAATATTGTGAATTTAAAATAGACTGGTGCAATGAGATATCACATTAAACATAAGATATATAACTATATATTTGTGAACTTTTTGAGTTGTAATATTATCCTTAACCATATAATTGTGAATCGGAATTTTTTTTTCCTCCATCAATCATTTCATGATATTTTTACTTTTTTTATTTTTTTAAAAAAATTAAAAAATAACATAAAATGGAAACAAAATGATTAAATAATTTTTTTTCCAAAACAGACCAACTAATTATTTTTTTCTAATTAAAAGGACAAATTTATAATTTATTCGATTAAAGCCTGCATTTGCAAGCCTTTGAATATGTTGCATACAAGATAAACCTACATCTGCAAGCCCTTGAATATGTTGCAGGCAAGATAAACGCAATAAGAATAATTGAGAATAAATTATATATTGTCAATAAATTATATATTAATCCCTTTATTTTTTAAAAAATGAATTAATTTATTAATTTTGTTTCAAAAACTAATCATTTAATCTTTTAACCAATATTCATCATATTTAATATAATATATTTTATTTCATAAAATGTTCTCTTTTTCAATATTTTTTTATAATATAAATTTATTTTTTTCTACGTCTTAAAATAAAAAGAAAAAGAAATTAAAAATAACATAAAAAGACAAAAATAATTAAATATTGAATTTTTTAAAACAAAAGGGCTAACTAATATATTATTCCAAAATAAAGAGATTGATTTATAATTTATATTAACTAAAGCATGCAACTACAAGTTTTGATTCTTATTCTACGTGAAATCTAAATCTTCACGTGGCGTGGATGAAGCGGCTAAAGGCACTATGAATCTGGGTGCCTCACTGGCTGAATTTTAGGTTTTTTTTAAAAGATGCGTAAAAAAATACCCATTGATCCCACATTGGAAATTTTTGTAGATAAAAAATTAATATGGAAAGCACAAAAAGCAAAAAATTATGATAATACAGGTTTCAGAAAAAAATTATATGTGATTATATTGTACGTGATTATCAAGGAGAAGTCCCGGGTACTCCTTAAAAAATCTAAAAAGAAAATCATCATTACATGCAGCAAGGGAAAAGAGATATCATCATCACACGCATAAAGAAAAATGACAGCTCTCCTTCAAAAGTCTAAAAAGAAAATCATCATTACATGTAGCAAGGGGAAAGAGAAATCATCATCACACGCATTAATAAAAATGACAACTGCGTTTATGACGAAACCCGTGCCTGGTGCTTTGAGACCTAGTTAGGAACATCAAGTCCTATATGGATAAAGTTCCTCTGATCCTAAAACAGGGTTGAGCCTTATATACTTTTTGCCATGCCAACAACCTGAAAATAAGGTGACACCTTTTCTGAGTAAAATAAGAACTCACTTATTTTTGTTAAATTATTAATTAAACCGACAACATGCATGTGCACAGGCATTCACACAAAAGAACTATGCAAGTAGAAGAACCATAAGAAACATAAATAAGGGAAAATGGTTCCACCTAAATCATAATTATTGTATTTCAAATTAGTTTCACGTTTACTAGTTAGTGAAGAAAGATGCATGAAAAAAGTGCAACATCTCATTATGAGCATTGCACACAGCAACATATTTAATACCTGAGCAAGTATATTATTGTGTGGATGATGATGCAAAGGGGTCACCGTCCTAGTTGGACCTAACCAAGCATTAAGAGACATAAGCTCACCACCACCAGCACAATAGTAGTCAGGAATGCAAATGTTCTTCCGTAGCTCATCAATCTGTCAAATAACATATAGCGTATTTCAATGTGTTGATGCCCATTGTTATATGCCCATTTATGCGAGCAAAACCCGCCTAATCAAACAATTGATGCTGTGCAAGATATAAAGTGACAGCAGAAGAAGAGTTATTGGAATGAATCCTATCGAGAAATTATGAAAATGTCATAAACTTCTGTTTCCACTCTTGGCATAGACAGTTTTTCCCAGCCTGCAAAAGACTTTCCATTTTTATTAACTTTTTGTTGTAGAATAACATAGACACACATCCCATTCCATAGGGCTAAATATGAATACATATGAACATATCCTTGAATTATGGATATAGGTTTGCATTGAATGTGTCCAATCAAGAACTTCATAGTTGAGATCGTCATAAACTCTATAATACTTTTATCGGTTGCTTATTTAGCATTATGAAGGCAATGCAAGTTATAAACAAAGGTGATTCAAAGGATTAAAACAACAATTTAAATGAGGGTATCCCATCAAACAATATGAAAACTACAAATGTAGCCTCTTAAACAAACTTAGCCATTCAAAACGCACTACACCATATATGCATTCATATATTTGAGGGTTCCGGATTTCTCAAATTCTCTTATTGAGCAACATAATTCATCATTACAACTTTTTTAAACAACATTTCTAGCCTAACATTCCTTAAACTACAGCAAAGAATTAGTTTGCACATCATATGACCACGAAAGAACCATTGTCTAGCTGTATTATTACCAACAATAACATTAACATTTGTAGCTCAAACAAAAGCTTAGTTATTGCAGATAGTCTAGGATTTAATAACCGAAAAAATGACAGACAATTGTCAGACCAATGTTGTTATCTAATCATCTAATGTAAACCCAACAAATTTCAATCAAATAAAACATAAAATCACACAATAATAAATTTAACAAAACCTATTCAAGTAGGAAACTTTATTGCAAAGCTTTTCTTTAACTTCCACCCATGGTATCTCGCATATTGGTCCATAGTTATAGCATGCATAAGTTTGTTAGCTCAACTTTTGCCAACCGTTTCATATAAACAGGTCTCCCTTCTTTATCCACACCATGATTACCATACCATTCTTACCATACGAGCAATACTTCAAAACTTCATCCAATTTTTAGATTCAAAATCCTGAAGCATGAACGGTAAATGTTAGTAAAAAGGATAGCATAGCCATTTCAAGCAAATTGGTAGATAGCCTAATTACCTAAATAATGGTATCGATACCAAATTCCTTTCTCCACTGAAGCATATTGGCCCACATCTGCTTTGCTCTTTCAATGTCAAATTTCCTAGCTTTCAAGAACCTGAAGGAAATAAATTGCATAAGATAATAAGCCATTATTAGTTATCAATCGTAATAAAACATGCAAGACTTGAACAAAGCACAAAATTCATTATGGGTCATGACAAATTACATCAGCATCCACCACTGACTTTAAACAAATCTCAAAACTATACCCAATCTCCTATCTCCATGGTACTCCTTCAGATCTTGAGTCCATATCCAAAAAAGAGCCATTACAGTAGCGACACAAACAGAGCCTAAGGAAGGAGAGATCCCGCCAGCAGCAGCAGTTAGTACAAGAGTTGGAGTGGACATTAGAGTACAGCGTGAACGGAGAGGACAACGAAGGCCAGCGCCAAAACAGTAATGAAAGTTGCTTTAGAGAGTATCGTTTGTTTATTTATGGGATTTTCGAAAATTAGAAATGAAAGAATGCGAGAGAAATTAAAATGCTAGAGATTTGTGATTTGCAAGGTGAACTAGAAAGGAGAAACAAGGAAGGGGCGTTTATATAGGAGCGAAGGGAAAGGTTGGGGTAGTTTCGTGGATAGCGAGGGTTTTCACTGACAGCTTGCAAATTCTTGCAAGATCCAATGACTAGGAGGCAACCAAAGAGGTCACACGATACATTTGTTTCTTTGTCTACAGTGAACATAAGTGAATGAGCAGCAAGTTAATAGTCAAAATATCTAGTTGTTGTTTGATAATCAGGAATAGAGTAACGAGAATGAAAATATAGGAATCGAAATGAAAATTAAAGAATCGAAATGGTATTTGTATTTCAATACTATATTTGGAATACTAATAAGGAATCGGAATGCAATTTAAATTTTTTAATATCCGATTTTTTATATAAATAAAAAAAATGATTAAAAAAATAATTTTATTAAACTATATAGTTGTAAAAATAATAAAGATGATAGTGGTAATGGTAGTGACAGTAATGATTGTCGGAGTGTTAGTGGTAGTGATAATTATGATTGTGCCAATGGTGGTGATAGTGGTTGTTGTGATGGTTGCAATAGTGATGGTGGTTGTTGTGGTAGTGGTAGTAACGGTGGTGGTTCTTGTGAAGAAGATGGTGGCAGTGGTGGTGGTGGTTGTAGTTGTTGTAATGGTAGTGATGATGGTAGTTTTGGTGATGGTGATGATGGTAAAAGTAATTAATAGATAATAAATAAATAAAATATATTATTATTTTGAAAAAAAAATCATTATCATTCATTGTTTTTTATTCTCACATATTACGTGGGAATGAAGTTGTGTATAAATTTTCATTCCCATTCCCTCTCTTCATTCTCATTCCCGTTTCATTTCTTTTAATCAAACAGCTATAATGTGGGAATAAAAGTTTCATTTTCATTCCCATCACTCTATTACCGATTACCAAACAAGACCCTATTCTTTTAAGTTTTTTGTCAATTGATAATTGGATGGATTTTTTTTTTTTTTAGAGACATGTATATGGGAGTAAAATATAATTTAGTCTCTCTTGTTTCAAAACCTAATCCTTTAATATCTCATGATGAAATTGTTGACGGATCCGTCTAATTTATATATAATTTAAAATATCTCTTGAACATATAAACTTATCTTGAGAATTAAACAAATCCTCTTTCTCTCTTCCGTGTTATCTTCGTTGCAAAGATGATTTTTTCTCACATTCTCCGAATCATTGCTTCTTTTTTTCTATCTAATTTATTTTTAAGTAAGTTTAATTTTGGTTTAATAGCAAATTTTGCTTCTATTTTATTGGGATTTGGTAACTTTGAGCGCATAGTATCAAATTGCGTAATTAGATATTATGCAAATGTAATCAAAATTGTTTAATCTTCGTTATGTGTAACGATCAATTGGGTTGACCGTTAATTAGAATGTCAAAACGATATTATTTTGACATTTTTTATTAATTATATTTATAAAAACATATTAAGAAAATTTTAACCTCCTAATATTGGATTTTTTAAAAAAAAAAAAATTTTTTCCTTATAACATATCATAAATTATACATAAAAAATATTTTTAAGCCGCTAATTTTGAATTTTTTTTATTTTTTTATAAAATGTTATTGTAAGAAAACATAATTAACAATACAAAATTTCAATCCTTAAAAAATATATTTTATAAATTAAATGAGTATAATTAAGGGAAGACCCCCTAATTTTATAAATTATAAAAAAAGTTCAAAATTAGAGGGGTTAAAAACATTTATAAAATGTTTTTTTAATATAATTTATAAAATATTTATAATATTTTATAAGAAAGAAGTTCAAAAAAATTCAAGATTAAGGCATTAAAAATATTTTTAAAATGTTTTTTGAAATAATTAACGACTAAATGCAAAACGACGTCATTTTGACATTTTAAGTAACTCGTTAACCTAGTTAACAATTACATATAGCGTTGATTGGACAATTTAGATCACATTTGTCCAATCTCTAATACTTCAAAGTTCAAATTACACGATCTACTATTATGAGTCTAAAATTGCAAAATTGCAATATAATGGAGACAAAATTTGTCATTAAATCGTTTAATTTTTATACGTCTTTCTAGTCTTGTTCTCGGCTTTGTTTTTATGGCACTCTCTATCCCTCTCTCTCAATCTTTTTGTTTTTCTTCTAAATTGTTCTTATTCAATTTACAATAACATACCTTTTTTTCAATTGCAAAATTACAACTCCAATTGACTTGTTACGGTTAGTTTAAACTTTTCTTTTCTGGTTTTGGATTGTTTAATATGGTTTGTTGGTTATGGTTTTTCATATGTTTTAGGGAATGAGTTTTGAAAAATAAAATAGGATTTTATATAGCATGCTAATGTTTATAGAATTGTCAAATTTCAAATTTATTTTTTGCAATTTTGATGATTCGTATATCTGGAGTTTGTAAAATCAAGGGTTTGCAAAATTAAAAATTTGTAAAATTGTTTTTTTTTTTTTGTAATGGATCTTATTCGGTCTCAATTATTTAACTTAATCACTGCAAAGAGGGTAATTAACAACATCTTGAACATTGCACACTGACCGATACAAAAGTCATAATAGTTTTCATCTGTCTAACTAGCTTTTTATATAATTAGAAGAGCTATTTAAAAATAAAACATAATCAAGTAAGGACATCCAAATACCTCATCACTTTAATAACAATTAACAAACGAAAAGATGAAGTTATTATCAAAATTTAAAAGTGAGGGATTAAAGGATTAGTTTTTGAAACGAGAAAGATTAAATGATTCGTTTTTTTAAAATGAGAGGGGCTAAATTATATTGTACTCGTGTACATAGCCCAGGAACCTTAAAGAAAAAAAATTAACAATGACAATGGATAGCCACCCCTTACAACAGTCTGAATTAGCCAACCAATTTGTGCAACACAGATGCATGGAGAGGTTGTCTGATGTTAATTAGACTTGGGGAAAAACAAAGAGACAATAAAATCAAAAGAATTAGGACTCAATTGATAAATGGGTAATACATTTGGAGTTAAATTATGGTTTCAAAAAGATGTGGAATTGAAAACCCAAGAAACCAAACATCTCATTCGTTTCGTTGCTTAAACCCTAAAACCCCAGAACCCAAATCATTAGTATCATCCTTGTTGTGAGAAAGGGAGAGTGGAAGTGCAGAATGAGGGGATTCTTCGACCTCAACATACCCCAAGACACCTCCTCGAAAGCAACGCGCATAAAACTTGTAGTAAAAGCGATGGAGCTAGGATACAGTGGCATCGCATACAACCGCACCATCAAAGGCATCATGTCTGATCGCGACCGTTGCTCAATCCCACTCTTGTCTCTTTCCTCTTTACTCGATGTGGCTCCTTCACTTGTCTTCTCCATCAATCTCCACCGCGACCTCCTTGGAATCCCACGCGCTTCCCCTTTCCGTCAGTACACCCGCTTGACTGTCTCTGTTGATACTCCTTCTCAGGCTCAGGTGCTTAATTCTGGGAATCCTGTTTTGAAGACTTACGATTTGGTCGCTGTTAAGCCTTTGAGTCAAACTGCTCTTGATCACGCCTGTCTTAAATCCGAGGTCTGTATTATTATTATCATCCTGTTCAGAAAATAAAATTGAAAATTGCTTCTGGGTTTTGCATCTAGTATTGATCTGTTTTATTTAGGTGGATATAATTGCTATTGATTTCTCAGAGAAACTGCCGTTCCGGTTGAAGCTGCCTATGGTTAAAGCTGCAATAGAGGTTTGGTGTTCAATTGCTTTCTCATCTCCCTTTTAAATTCTTTCCTTTTGTTGGCGGTTAGGCTAATGTTTTTTTTTTCCCCTTTTCTTTTCTTTTGGTATTGGTAATCAGCGTGGAGTTTATTTCGAAATTACATACTCTGGTCTTATTGCTGATAGTCAAGTGAGGAGGCAAATGATACCCAATGCGAAGGTGAGTTTTGGGATAGTTTAATGCTCCGTAGTTAGCTTAAGGCATTAAAGTTTGGTGATAAGTGGAATCAAATTTATATGAAAAGCTTAAGGTAAAAAATAAATATAAGAGTCTGTCTCATTCCTTGTTTGTGAATGACATGCGATGCACCAAAGAGCTTGTAGCCCAGTGGTAGTGGTCTCTTGCAAGAGATCATGGGTTCAAATCCTAGCAGGCTAGTTCTGCTAAGAGCCTTGGGTGTGTGTTGGGTGTATGAGTTAAAAAAAAAAATGACATGTGATGCATGTTCATGATGAGGTACTTTGCCACACACTTTCTTAGAAATCTGTAATGCTTTGATGTAAATTGTATGCCAATCACATGCCTTGTTTTCCTTCTTTTTTTCCGTCCCACATAACAAGTTTGACATGGTAAATTTATCTCAATTCTCAACGTTTCTTTTACAGAACAATGTCACATTTATTACCTTTACAAGGTAAAAGTTACCATATTGAGGAAATTCAATTTTCTAGTACAATTGTTTATCTTTGAACTGCCACGATGCTAGTACGATTTGGATCTCCAATTTTTGGGGTCCTTGGCAATGATTGTTGCAAGTGTGGTTTAACTTCAGACAATTAGTTCTTAAAGAATTTCACGTTTTTCCTTTTGGGAAGTCTTTCTAAGATTAGGTCTTATATTAGGTGTAGGGCCAATCTCTGTCCAACCCAAGGAAGTCTGTGCATGCTTCTGTTACGGAGACATAAAAAAAGGGATACTGTCAACTTGTTCCAATATGAGAACAAGTGATAGCTGAAATTCACTTGGAATTTTACAAAGAGGGTTTCATGGGTTTAGCTGTCAACCTGTACCATGTATAGGTCATATCATGGAAACTGTTGGTGCCTAGTAGTAGTTGGTCCTTACAAAATTTTCAGGGACCACTGATATTGAATAATTTGTTCAGGGACTATCTGCATTTTGGCCAATAGTTCAAAGAGGTGGGCACATTTTACCCTTTGGATAGTGATCCACTAATAGGATCCAGCTCTCTTATTCATGTGCTGTTAGTCATGTGTGCATGTTCTGATGTGCACTTATTCATAGTGCTTACATTTCTCATTTGTTAAACAATCGTCTTTGTGCATGAATTGATAATCCGAAATTTGGTTATTTTCATGTATATATATACACACACAAATATTAATTAAATAATGGTTAACTTTATAATTTCTTGAGGAAAAATGATTCCTAAGAAAATCAGTAGCATTAATTACTTGCCTTTTGGCATTGATTTCCTGAAATGCTATTGGTTGAAGCTTTTGTCTAACGGTATCTGAAATAGAGATTGCATGTTTGGCTAGTATAGATTCCTTTAATCGTGTTTTGACTTTTTGATTAGCCTCTATAACCCATTGAATGGTGCTGTGAAACAGCTGCTGATGAACCTGCTGCATAAGAAATATAAGGACTTAATGATGCCAATCTCATGTTATTACAGGATTGAGTTTGCATTGGCGAAAATGTGTAAATAACTAGTGTTTTAGCTAGACATCATTTACAATTGTTGCTGTTGTCAACTTGAAGCATCTAAGCTCCAATTCTTCATCTGCTTTCATTTCGTTGTTGAATCTTCTACTCCTCTGGAAGCAAAAACACTGTTTAACTGATTTTTGAAATTTAATGTACATTGAGGCTGTTTCAAATTAAAGCATTGGTTGGGAGTGGGGTGAGCGTCAAGCTCCCTAGTACCAAATAGAACCTAAAAGATTGAAAAAAAAAATAGTTGTGATTCTCATGTGATTCATCCTGCAGCTATCAATATGAAAGTCTTATATAATACTTATAAGCCGATTTATTTTTGTTTTTAGCTGAAAATTTGACTCATGTTTTGACTAATCATCTGAGCTATGCTGTTTCTGAACTTTCAGTTACTAGTGGATTGGACTCGTGGAAAGAATCTGATTTTCACAAGTGCTGCTTCTTCTGTAAATGAATTTAGAGGGCCATACGATGTTGCAAATTTGTCATCTTTGCTTGGTCTTTCTATGGAACGAGCTAAAACAGCTATTTCAAAAAATTGTAGGTATGAAATCATGCAAAAAGCTTAATTGCGGTTACATAGTTATGGTGAGCTAATGTTTGTTGTGTGCTCTGTTTTCCAAATGTCTTGTAGGAATCTTATAACGAATGCTTTAAGGAAAAAGCACTTTTACAAAGAAGCTATCAGAATTGAGCCAATATCATCTGATGAAATATCTGGTATAAAGGAACCTGTGTCTGTAGACTGGCTTAAATGGGATCCAATCTCCAGTGGTGAAGGGGATTTACAACTGGATGATATGGAAAAGTCTTTTTCTGCCACCACTAGAGTATCCAAAACTGCAAAAGCAATTGATTTTTCTGAGGTTTTTAATAGCATGGCATCAAATGGTGCAAATTATTTAACTAGTATTCAGGCAACTGAGACACCAGTTGCAACTAGTGGAGTAACCGAAAAGCCTGGCGGATTTGGTTTTCTTCTTGAAACAGATCAGACTTCATCATACAACACTTCGTTAAAGAACCATACCTATGGTGATGAAAATTTTCAGGAAAAAAATTTACCAAGTGATGACACGAGAGCTTTCACCAACTCTGAGGGAATTAGAAACCAGGTGAGCACCACCAAGGATGAATCAAAGAATTCAAACGTTATGCTTCCTTCAATAGTAGATGAAAGGCATGATGTGCAATCAGAAAAAAACATCCGTAGTTGTGAAAATGTTTCTATGAATGAAGATGTAATGGAGATGGATGTTAAAGATCAAGAAGGTATTCAGGTGACCGAAAAAGTTTCAAGTGGTGAAAAACTAGGAGAGTCTGGAGATGATTCAACTACAATTGTAGATTATATTCCTCATCTTGTTGCTGCTGACGACACAAAAGTTGAAAATGTCTCTTCAGTTGCAAATAACCTGGAAGTTATGATGGATGAAGAAGATGCATGTGTGACCAAAAATGTTTCAGGTGGAGAACAAATTAAGGAATCCGGGGATGAAATGATTGCACTTGCGGATCATATTCCACTTTCTGTAACCTCTGATGGCATGATAGGTAAAGATGTCCTTTCATTTGCAATTATTGAGAACCTGGAGAAGCTACCCGTGGAAGAGCAAGAGCATGGAGATGCTGATACTAGAAGTATTCTTGTCGTGGATGATGATTTAAAAGTAAAAGATGACTCTTCTGATGAAACTTGTATGTCTCTGGAGGAGGTGAGAGAGAGAGGGCAAATGCACGAAGAACAAACTTATGTTGAAAGTAAACATACAGCATCAGTCCCATTTCTGTCAGGTATCCTTTCAGTTAGTTTTGAGAATAGGATGCTATAATGACAGTAATCAGGCTTTATTTTCTTTGATGGTTATTCTAGTTTTGATAATTTTTTTCTGCAATTTAATTTTGATTATCATGATTTATGAGATTAAATGGATGTAATACGTTCATTGGTTTTGTCAAGAGTTTCCCTTCTGACTTTTATTTTGGCATCATCTAATTATAATTTCAGTGTTCTGATTCGTTTCCTTTTGGGGATATTCCACCATATCTATCTGTTCATGATTTTCGCTTTCCTCATAGTACGGTGGTGAGTAGAAACCAGGATAAAAAGCAGACAATTCTGATTAAAAAACTTGACTTCTGCTTAGATATTTCTGGCATGCTTCTTTACTTAATTCTCTTCTTAAATGCCTCAAAAATAAAAGCAAGTCTTTTTAACGATTTCATTCCTTCTACAATCTCATTTTTGTGACTGCAGGGAGATCCAGAGCAAACCGGAGGACATCTCATCAACAACCTTCATTTCCTCTCAAGCGTTTGTTGAATCCCATGGCTTTCAAGATGAGAACTAAAAAATTTAAGCGGAAGGGGTGACTGGTACTTTTTTCCATGTTTCTTTTGATTGGCAGGATAAAATGTAAAAAGATAGAAGAGTTTGGTCATGATAGAAATTTTGTTTGGCATCTTACGCACTATATTTAAAATTTTTGCCTTGACGCTTTGATTTTGAGGAATTATTTAATCTTTACAAATTAACTTGTCGAAAAGAAAAGATGAATTTGTTAAAAATCAGCTATTTTTTTAGTTATAATGCTATAAAAATGAGTTTAAAGGTCTAGCTTCGTGCTCGTTTTCTTTTTCACAAAGGCTTATTTTCTTGTTTTTAGTGGTAGTATAAGTTGACAACTCGTAGAAATTTAGCATAACAAGGCAGATCATGCCCCCGACAGCCTTGTGGCCGAGTGGTATCAACCTTGGAATTTTTTAAGGGGCAGGCTGGGGTCAGAATCCTCTTTCGGCCTGCAAGGGGGCCATAGAATGCCGTTTTAACTTCGAAGTGGTGGTTAGTTTATTCTATGTTATGCCACCACGAAATCCTAAGTGTCTCATCATTAATCGTAGGTGACACGGCTTTGTCTTTGATCATAAAAGGAAGGGGAAAAAATATCAAGAAGAAATTAGTGGGTGATTAAAAAGATTTGTTTGTTTTAAGTCTTTTTTTAAAAAAAAATTGTTAAAGAAGAAATTTAATTCCACGAGAAGAAAAGATTATATCATGCTTAAAGTTCTTAAAAATTTAATGAGACCTTTTCTGACTCAAGAGTCCCTGTTCCATTATGAATAAATGGCCCCTACTGCTACTTACTGCCTCTCATGTGCTTATGCTGACTCGATGTTGACTTTTTTTCTTCGAGAACACCGTGGGGAGGGGGCCTGTGCTGTATTATGGAATTAGGTTTAAAAACTGTACCTAAGCTGCTCCTATTGTCTTTTTGCCTAATCAAGCACTACCGAAACAATCATTGTGCATTATTGTTACAGTAACAAGAGAAGAGTAAATTATAAATTAGTCTATCGAGAAAAAAGAGTTAATTATTTTTCACTATATTAAAATTAATTATTTAATCATTGTGCTTGGTTTAATATTAATTTATTTTAAAAATATTATTTGGCCATATTTTTTTAAATTAAAAAATCAAAATAAATTAAAAACAAAAAAATATATTAAATTATAAGAAATTTTATAAATATAAAGATTAAATAATTAGTTTTTTTTTAAAAAACTAATTAATTCGTTTCTTGAAACTAAAATCACTAGTTTTATAATTCACTTGCCAAAAAAAAAGTGGTTTTAATCTTATTTTTTAAAACCTGAATATTTTTTACCATGTCAGATATGGATTACTAAGTGACTTTTTAATTAATAAATTAAATGTATTTAATCAATAAAAATTCTTTAAAAGTATAAAAAGTATAAGGAAAAGCTAATCAGCTAAAGAACTCTCTCTCTCTCTCTCTATAATTACTCGAATATCAAAAAATTCGTCTCTCTAACTTTTTTTTTTTTTTTGGTACATGAAAGTGAAAAAGTAAGTAAATTATTTTATACTCTTCAGCTATAATATTTACAAAGCAATTTATTGCATGCACTATATCTAATTACAATGGTTTTTTTTTTTTTTATTGCCTTTCACATTCAACTCGTAGTTACAGTCCCAATCAATTTTTATGCCAAATACATCCTTAAAAAGCAACATTTTTTGTTTGTAAGGTTTATAAAGAGAAGAATTAAAAGGTTATAGTTGGTAATTATTTTAATTATATCAATATTTAGTTAGTGAAGTTAGCTAGATAGCTTTTATTTTATTTTTTTCTGTTAGTTAGTTAGTTGCATAGTTAATTCTTATTTTTACTCTTTGGTAATTGCTATAGTATATATAGCACTTGTAAATCATTTTTGTTCTTTAACAAAGAAAGTAGAAGAATTAATTTCTATTTTTCTTCTCAAACTCAAATTCAAATTCTTTTGTCTTTCTTTTCTTTCTTCTCTCAATTTCACTTCATAGTTCATTTCCCAACACATGTATTTGCTTTCAAAACAAACAATAACAAAATCCTATTTTAAAATAAAAGATAGAATGAAACATTTGTACTTTAAAAGGCAAAAAAAAAAAACCAAACAAATACTTAATCTGTCTAAGTAAAGGGCTAGGCATACACTTAGTGGGTGACCCAACGCAGGCCGACCAAAATCAAGAGCGCCGTCCTTCCCACCTTTATGGGTTCCCTTGAGCGTCATGTAGCCAGCCTTTATTGAAAGGGCAAGTTAAATAAGATTCAAATTCTTTAGTTTATTATCTCATGATTAAGCTGCATGAGCGACTAAATGATTATTGATTAAATAATTTAATGCTGATTTGCTTGAAAAGCCAAAGAAACACTTTAAATTTAAGTGCCTCGAAAGGAAAAAAAGGAGGGCCTGCTCTGATATATAATTAAATATATGTCGTTTTGCTTTGTACTAATCTTATTCTCTTGTTTTGTTTTGTACTGAACTACTTACTAATCTTATTCTTCATATATATTATTAAGAATTGCAGATGTCATGAACTACTAATACCAAAGATGTTTAGTAATTTGCCAAGAATAACCACAACACACGTATGGTATGGGCAGGAGGTACAGGTATGGTCTCAAGAGAAGTTAAGGGTACAAATTAATTATATTTCTGGTATGTCTGTCGTTATTAAGAATTAAATTAATTTAAAAAGATACGAGAAAGAAATATTTTGTTAATACACACAAGCTACTTTGAATATGAAGGGAATCTCATCACAAAATTTAATATCGGTGCACAAAACAAAAGGTGGCACAAGGATATGACCTTGAACACCAAAACCTTAAAAAAAAAAGGTTGAAAATCAAAATGCAATTATCCCTTTGTTACATCTCCCGACAAGTACTCCAAGTTAGAAAGCATTGATCAGAATGGTGATTCAATTGAAGAGAGAGTTGATGTAGAGCATTGTCCTTTCCAAGATATATACAAACCCAATTTGAAAAGCATCCACAATATTGCTGTCACTTCCGCGGCTGGATAAACTTCACCGCAACGCATGCATAGGATAGCTTGTGCCTGTCGAATCTGGGAGTTCCTTTCAATCATCGCAATCAAATCTCTCAATTCCTCTTCCTTCTTAGACATTGATGGGGCAAACGATAATTCTTGTCAAGGCGAGCAAATTAAAGCCATGACAAAGCCAGACTCCCATCAATGCATGAACCAAATGGAAGCCAACTTTACTTTGTTCACGCGATGCAATTAATTAAGCGCATAAATTAGGCTTCTTAGTTATCCTACTGCACTCACATATATAATGGTTTGGTAATAAAAACAACTAATACCAGAAGTGTGAATAAATATTAGGAAAAATCTATCAAAATGTTCCAATAAATTAATATTGATTGATTTTTTTAATAATAAAATTCAAACACGAGATGATCACCTCTTGCCAAATAAATCTTGTTGTACTTACTATTTGAACCAACCTCTTAAGAGCATGTCTCTCTCAAATCGCTGCGAGCTAGCAGCTGCTTTGTAAATTAATATTGTTACTACCATCTCTTTCTTTATGACTATATATCAACCTTTTTTTGAAATTTCATATAATTGGCAAACATAATTATTATACAATCGGTGGCACAATTTAGCAGTCAATACTGCGAAGGGTAAGGTAGGAATTAAGAATGATACCCTTCAATGTATCGTACGTACTGCAGAACGCATTAGCTGGAACTCCAGATACAAAGGAAAAAACATAAATATTGCACCTATTTTAAGCTAATGAACAACGCTTTAAATTGGATCTTAATTACATAAGAAGAAACCAAAAAACCTAACTAGAACTTATAATATTATTAATGCATGGCACGCTAAATATAATTAGAAAACCAGGCATATATAGAGCTCTGGCCAAGACTATTTCAAGATTCAAGGAATGGAATTTGCTAAGAATGTATCAAGAAAATGTGTCCAATTATCATCATCCTCTTCATCTTCTTCTCCACTTATGTTGCTCCATTGAAGTTGAGGATTTTTTTCAATTTCATCGTTTCTTGCAAACCGTCCTCTGATTCGTGGTCTGCTGTCTGCCAATATTTTCCTGCATGCATACTAAATGTAAAAACGAAATATTAATTTAGCATACGCTGATAAATTATGAAATAATAATGAATAAATAAATAAATAAACCTTAGGTTTATAACATGATAAAGAAAAATACACGTAATAAAATGCTCATTCATATTGGAATACAACTATTCCAGCTTCTTCATAATAGTATTTTGAGAGTCAAGTTGGATTTGACGTAAAGCTTAGGCATGTGATCCATGAAGGAAATTAAAGCCACAATGCAATAATATATATATATATATATATATATATATATGAGAGAGAGAGAGAGAGAGAGAGAGAGAGAGAGAGGCTAGAGGTAAGAGGTCCTAGCTAAGCTATATATATATATATATATATATATAGTTTAAGTAATTAATCAGCATTAAAATTTAGAATTAGATGAAAATAAATTAATTAAAGACCTTAATCTTCTTGTTGAAGTTCCTCTGGTTCCTTTTGCTTCTGTACCTCTCAATTCTTTCTTTCTTCTCCTCTGGACTATATTTGCATGCTCTGCTCATACTCTCTATAATCAAACTGCTCTCACTCGACAATGGGCTCTCTGCTCTGTGACCCTGCTGCACGACATTAACCCAATATATATGTGTATATATATCCACAAATATAATCAAAGTTAATCTAAATATTTTGAAAAGAATCAGATTGATGGAGAAAAGGGAAAAAAAATAGAAATAAAGAAAAGTGGGTGCTCAGTGCTCACTCACTAGCAAATCACCAGTGCTAAAGACCCTTCTAACTGGGCTGGTGTCCATGTCCAAGAAATCATGGGGGTGAGAAGTGAAATAACAATGATACCCATTCTTTTGAAACGAATGAGTGCTAATACTCCTCTGGATAATACTGCAGCTGCCATTTGCAAGTGAACTTGGCGAACCGTAGCTACTGCAGCACCCACTAGCAGAGTTACTACTAGTACAGTAACTACCAGCAGGACCTAGTTCCATACCAGCACCAGCACCAGCACCAGCTAGTGGATCTGGGATTGTTAACTGATCTGCTAATGGACTCGTACTGTTGATCACGACGGAATTATCAGACAGAGAGTTGTTTGCAAGGAATGTGTTGCTTCCATACATGGCTAAGCTTTACTTTCTTCTTCTTTTCTTTTTTCGAATTTTGATCAGAAAGATGTAGAGATAGTAGCTCCAGGATTGTGGAGTACTTATGCTGCACCAGGAAAATAACAGAAAAGGAAAAGAGCTTGATGCTGACGTGTATGATGACGTCTTTTTGGGATGCGTTGACCTGCCTAGCTGGAGAAAATTATACCTTTTCTTTGAGACAGGCTTAATCTCAACTCCATGGTTTTTTTTTTTCTGTTTTTGTTTTTTCTTATTTACAATTCCTATTTCTTTCGTTTTTTTTTTCCTTTAATACTGTATCAACTTTTTGGTTATTGGAAAAGGTGATAGTTAATGACTTCTCAACTAAATTCTAAAAATGTATGGGGGCAAATTCGGTAAAAATTAAATTATACCTTTTCTTTTCTCATCTTTATAATTTTTACCTTATTTTTTTTATTGGGAGATGAATGGAGCAGCCTCACTGTGTACAAGCTCTTGTGTGTGTGCTCGTGTGTTTTGGCGTAAAAAATATCTCTAGTATTTTAAGAATATTTATCATTTTGTATTTCATTGATTAAAGTTAAGTTAAATATGTTAATTGAATATCATTTTGAAATTGTTATGATTTAATTGATTTAGAAAAATAAAATAATATATAGAAAATAGCAACAAAAATCATATCAAATTCAAAGGAATTTTCAATTAATATGGACTATGATTTAATCTAAATGAATGGAATATAAAATGTTGAGTCGTTCAAAGTAATGGAGTTATTTCCTTAACTATGTTCTATATCCGAAAAAAAATAAAAAAAAAACCTCTTATGTCTTATTGTCAAAAGAATTTTAATGGAAAGTTTCTTTCAATAATGGTCAATGGGTTAATGATATTTCTAATATTGTAACAGTGTCACATTTGTTTTCATGGTCATGAAGCCTAGAACAAAGCTGCCACCAATTCCTTTGGTTCGTACGACCTTTGTCAAGTTGAACATTAGTTATCATGGTTATAAAGCCTAGAGCAGAGCTTCCACCAATACCTCTGGTCTGGACGGCTTTTGTCAAGATAGACAGAGTCATTTCAGATTCTATTATAAATCTCAAAACATAAGTCATAACTGGGCTTGATTACATTTGTGATTGTTGTAATCTCTTGATTTGATTAATTGATTCTCTCTATTACTAATTTTATTAATCAAATATAATTATTATGCTTTTTGTTTATAATTAGAATTTTTTTATTCAAGATTAGGTTAATAAAAATTATCTAACTTATTAGATGTTCGGCTGATGCTTAATTTACTTGAATCTTTAATTTTTTAATAAAAGTTCAAAAAATGACTTTAAAAAATCAAATTCGTGAACAATTTTTTAAATTTTTAAGAAACAGAAAAGGTAAATAACAATATTATGAACCTAATTCTAAACTCTAAATAGAATTAAACTTAAAAAGTCTCAATCAAAATAGAATAAAGGGACAGAAATTCAAATAATTCGTTTAAATGCCAAGCAAAACCTTGTAAGAAGAATGTTCAAAATTCTATGTACAATCTCTCTGATTTTCTTATACAAGCCAAGCACCAACCAAGTAGTTTAGAGAAAAACTAGTTATTTTACCTACACTACGTTGCGGATTAGATGAAATATATAAAATTATTTAGAGAAATTATTTTATTTTAATAGTTTGTTTTATGGTATGAATCTATAAAAATATATGAAATCAAAAGTGAAAAAAAAATTATATTTAACTATTTCTTATTTGTGTTTTTCATAATTTTTTCTTTAGAAAAAGGATTTATCTTTGTTAATCCATGGATTATTAACTAAAAAGAAAATTAAATAATTTTTTTTAAAAAAAGCTTTAGTATTTCAAAAGATTGTGTCAAAAAACATAAAAAACAATTATTAAAAGCTTGCATAGAATTGAACAAATAATTTTTTTTATTCAATGTTGATGAGAATATCGATTTTTGAAAAAATATGAATTTAATTTTTATATATCTATTTACAAAATAATGAATAATATTAAAATAAAAACTATATTAAATTGAATTATTGAATGGTTAAGCCAAAACATTATTTTAATTATTTAATTATATTAGTGCTAGTTTGATTATATATGTGTTAATTCAACCTTAATTAAGTAAATTTATTATTTGTTAATTAAAAAATTAAAATATATTTTAAAATAATATATTAGGTTGTTAATTGAGAAAATTAGTTTACAATTATATTATATAAATATTGTGTAAAACATATAATTAATTATTAATTTAATTTATTTTTTTGTTAATTAAGTTTATTTAGTTATTGATTAAGTCAATTACTTAATAAGTAAATTTAATAATTTGTGTTTAAAATAATTTTTTTGTTATTTTTTACTATGGTAGTGTTTTTAGAAGGGATATCTCTAGTTACATACAAAACGATGGCTAATAATATCGCATTTCAAGCTCGGTTGCTTTTGTCGGCGTTTCTCTTGTTGGAATTATAGTTCCGAGTGATTGCTTATTGCGAGTGAATAAATTAAATCATGATTGTCTTGTTTTGCAATTTTCATTGTGTCCATGCTATTAATTTCTTCCCACACTTCGAGTGTTTTCCATTTATAATTATTTAATTAACATATTCCTTGCGAGTTTAAGGATTAAGAATCAAATCACGTTAGCTACATGCAACATTGTTAAACTAGAGGTTGTCACTTTCTTAATTCGCTATCAATGACTTGAATTTGATCAAGGTTTTTAAGCTGCGAGCATTTCCTTTGTAAGCAAACCAAAAAAATATATCCATACATTTGTGATGTAACTATATATGTAAAGTTGATTTCGGGTAGACATATGTATACATATAATATTGGTGTGTGTGTGTGGGTATATCTCTCGCCTATTGATTTTCGTTTCATGCATATGATGTTAGCTTTTCTCTTTCGAAAAAACTTTGGTCTATAAAGTTTCAAATAAGGTTTATAATTGAGACTCGTAATATGGTTTTATATTCTTGGTTAACACACTCCCTTAGGTAAATGAGATTAAAGCATGTACTCGACTCACCACCACGTTATACGTAACTTTTTTACTAGAAAAATATCGGATATGATGATATTAGTAGAATATGAAAATATATTTTAGTTTCTACCAATTATTTTTTGTTGAAATAATTTAATTTTATTAAATTTTTTGTTGAAATATTTTAATATATATTTAATTTTATTAAATTTTACATATTATAATAATTTTGTAATATATATGTTTAGTTTTTAAAGCTGGAGTAGGTTAATTTAAAACCATTAAAATTCGAATAAAAAAATTTAGCGATGGTTAAAACCGTCTCTAAATACATAATTTATAACGAACGATTTGAAAAACCATCACTAAATTGCGATAGTTTTAGAACCGTCCCTAATTTTCAAAGTTCAACTACGGTTTTTTTTTTTTTTTGAAAATTTGCAACGAGTTTTAATTCAATTAATGATTTTTCCATCGCTAAATTAGCTACGGACTTAAAAAACCATCGCTAAAAATTAGTGACAAGCATTTTGGCAAGAGTTTTCAAACCGTCATAAAACCGTCGCTAATTTTATTTAGCAATAGTTTTTTCAGAATTAGTGACGGCCTAGACCGTCGGTGATTCGTCGTTTTCTTGTTGTGTTTGTCGGCTCTTCTTTTTGCTGATGTAATTGTTTTACTTTGTCCTTGTCATTTGTAATTTTTTTCCCCTTAAAATAAGGCTTGTTTGACTAGAAAAGTGGAAGAAAATGAACTTTTCTTTTTAATTTTAAAGATGTCTTCAATTTTTAATTTTCAAGTCATTTTGTTATTTTTTAAAATAAACATAGGTTAAAGCTGAGCCAAATAGTACATGTGACAATCATTTGGTATGTCGAGTTAACTCTTCCCGACGACTTATTAAATGGGAGTCTAAGTTACCGATTATAAATAGAATATGTGGAAGAGGGTTTGATTAATCAAATCATTATAATACATGAACGACGTATATAATTAACTCATTTATATATACATGAAGTATTTTTCATGTATTTATATGTTAGTTATTATGTTTGTAGTTACTTGTATGGAAGTTACTACTTCTTTTATTGAATTTATTTAGGCTTAACCATTCCAACTATAGTGTTTTTACATTAGTTATGACTCGTCTACTCAACATGAACAAGTTGGAAAGCCCATCAATCATGCCAAAAAACAATTTTGTGTTTGTAGATGAATATGAGTTTATTTTTAAAATAAAAAAATCATTTTAACTAAAAAAAATTCTAACCACCTTGCTTATATATATATTTTTTTGTCTTATGTGTACATTTTTAATTGGTTGTTCTTTACAATCGCCAATATTTAATTGTAAATCCAAAATATGTGTAGAATCTTTTTATAAATTCTATGAATGAAAAATAAGTCTTACTCGCTTTTGAATTTTAAGTCATTTGAGGTTAAGTATTTAAATTTTTTTATTAATTTAGGGGATCCTTGAACTTTTAATTTGTTGAGTTTTAGTCCATCCAATTATTTTAAGCTATCATCTTTCCCTTTAAAAAAATTCAATTCTTTGTATTTTAATTTGAAATTTTGTACACACGTTGAAAAAAAATGCAATCCATTTTTTATAAAAATTTCAGAATTTCTCAAAATAAAAAACTATTTTTTTTTGTTTTTTGAACATTAAAAATATAGAAAATCAAGAAAAATAGAAAATAATTTTTAGGAGTCCCACATAAATCTTATTAGATTATTTTTCTCAAAAAAAAAAAATTATGTGATTGTTATTTTTTGAGATAAATGATTAAAAAAATAATAAAGGATGAGCTAAATATATATATATATATATATATAAAAGTTTTAAGGATCCCCAAAACTAACAAAAATTTAAAAAACCTCACATAAATCTTATTGAATGATTTTCATCACAAAACTATTCATGCGATTATTATTTTGTTAGATAAATGACAAAAAATGGAAAGATGAGCTAAATCTAAAAAAATTAAAAGTTTAAGGATCC